CTAGCCCTATGTTGCCTGTTTGTTTCCAAATATATTGTTATAAAGACCATTATTTTTATATAGTTCAGTTATTTATTTTATTTGCATTATTGTTTTTTGCCTTTATTGTAATTTTTTTTTTACTATTATTGTGTGGGCTTAAAACCTTTTAAAAGGTTTGAAATAATCTCCGGACCTTTTTTAATGTAAATTGTTCTATCAATTGTGCCACAGCGCCAGACATATATTTGCAAAGGTTATCTTCCATTTGTGTGTATGTGTGTGTGTGTGTGTGTGTGTGTGTTGTGATACGTTTCTTCATTGTTACTGTTTCATTTCAAAGAGCTCCAGAAAGCCGCCACAAGCTTTTCCATGGAGTTTCACTGAACATTGCCTTGACTTCTTGACTTTTTGAAGGGTCCCTATACAGAAGCTTAAAAAAAATCCTTATTTTTGACTATTGAGGTGTCCCTGTACATATCGAAGATGGGTGAAGGAACATTGATAGCCAGAAACTTTTTCCGAAGAGGATTGTATTTAAGAATATATAGTATTTTATTCATAAATTGGATTATAACACATTAAGAGACAAACTAAAAAAATCTATTGTATAGTTTTCTTTGAACACCCAAGATGTACGGTTGTATTGTATGTAAATATTGTAAATATTGGTTGCGAAGAAGGAGCCATGTGCATGAAACTTTAAGACATTGAACATAATGTAAAGATAAAATGTAGTGGCAATGGTCTGTAATACGATTTGAGCATCTTCACTATAAGACTTTCTTGGAAATGTTCTTTCACAGAACGTTCTCTGAAGCATGACATGATTCACGATAAAACCGTAGATTTAGCGGAAGAGCTAAACAAATCCGTCAGACACAACTGGATATTTCTTTTTCAGGGTTAGCGAGAATTATATAGTGTTTTTTGTTGTTGTTTTTTTTACCACTGGTGACCAGAATCCAGTACTACAGGACATAAATAAGCTATTCCTTTGAGAAGCAGATTTTCACAGTATTGGGAGAACTAGTATTGAATGACCAAACTTCACTCATGCACCCAACAGTTATAGCTGTGATACAGAGGATGAAATGTCTCCACGGTTTTTGTCTTGTATAACATGACTAGAAAGTGTTCTCACATTTTACCATCTACTTTAACTCAACATGAGCCATGGTATTGGATGGAGTTAGCAGGATTAAAAGTAGGTCATGCAATTAAAAACGATATTGATTTGAGGGTTGTGAATGGTTATTTCAAGCAGGCGATTCCCACACACGTGATTACATGCTTGTGTCACATCCCAAATAGGAATCAAGGGCATAAAAACGGTCCTGAATGTAGCTCAAAAACCGTCATCAGAATCTACAACTGCCATGTGTTCATATTATTCTTATTCATATAGCTTTATTTTTGATTTCTTCATTTCTTGGGGGGCTGCTACCAACATTCAAAAACCCCATGGTCGAGTCACGCAAAATCATATTGATTTCATTTGTACTTTTTTCTTCTTTTATGCTCATGTCAGCTATATGGAATCAAGCGCGACGAGGTTCACAAATTTCCCTGAAAGAAATTTGAGACTAACCGACCCCCTGAATTTCCAAAGCGATTTCAGCTGACGAGAGGCATCGTTTTAACTTACACCAGCACATTTTGCCTGTTAAAAAAAAAAAGAAAGAAGGAATGTGGTGCTTATCTATAGTTGCATTTCAATTCCCCACATTTAGATCCATTGTTTTAGAAGTTAAACATTTTCCTCATGATCTCAGTGACTCTGTATCAGTATTATTATAGAAAGTGCCTAAAGATTCAACCAATATCAGGAAGAGTGTTCCTAAAGAAGTTGATATGAACCAATTGCTCTGTTTTTTTAATGGTATGCAACGCTAAAGGCTGGTTTTACTGTCCAAACAGGAGCCCAGGTCTGTTTCCTCCTCTTAAACTCCCTTTTCACTCCTTAAATGTGGATGCAGAGTAAAGGCACCTGTTCATTTTGTCCCCCACTCATTCTCTTTGGTTCACAGTTATGTGTCCTAAAGCGAATTTGAGTGACCCACTAACACACTATGCATGCTTTCATTATTTCTTTCATTTTGTGTACTTTTCTTTCTCTTTTCCATGTCTGATCTAAACTGGGCCAGGAAAGTAGGACGTACTGCTCGGTGAAGTTTGCGCATTATATAATTTCGTCCGGAAACCATTGCTAGATTCAAGAGCACAACTCCTTGCAAAGCTGGCCGGCGAGTTGGTCCTTTACATCCCTTTTAATCCACCGAACATTCATCCAACATTAAACTTCAGGAAATTAGAAGCGAGAGTCAGAATTCACCAGGAAAATCTGTTTATGGATCACGGGGTATATGTATCTCAGTAACTTTCTGTTTGGGTCGTTCATCTTGGGGAAGGGAAAAATCTGCCTCCCTTTTGTAGTTTTACTCAGGGTGCTAAAACAGGGAGAGGGTGTTTAGCATGGAGACTAGATTAGGTTAGCTTAAGTCTCCAGGTTCAGCTCAGAATCAACAGGAGAAACCACTGGGAATATGTATACTACAACGTTCACTTTGTTACAAACCACTGCTTTCAGAGACAGACTGTCACTCGGGGAACAGGACAGACCGTGTGTGTGTTTATAGAGTTTTTAGACCATTTTTCCAAAACTGAGCAGGTATCATCGTTCGTGCAGGTATCATCGCTCATTTAGTATTGCCATATCCCCATGGGATTGGGAATGCATGATAAGTATACCTCAGCGCCAAATACCTTCAGAATAAGGTGGGAGATCCCGTCCTCTTATGAAACAGCTCAGTACACGTGCATCTACGTCGACCGGATCATGCTTTCCGTATTTTTGCATCAGATAAGAGAAATATGCACTTTGTACAGCTCACCATCCGAGTTTAATTCCCTCTCCAAGCCCTGGTACGTTATAAGCGTGTGTGTGTGTGTGTGCTGTATCTTGACGGATGAGCACACTTGAAGGTTTTAGCTGAACGAGGGAAAACACTATTGGTGCAGTTGGAAGTTTCTATACGATGTCCTAAATCCTCTCTTTGGAACTCCAGAAATGCAGGTTAGGCTTAAACTGAACCGAAAAAACAATCGATTATAAGCTTTTCACTTACAAGTACAAAGCAATAAACACTTTGATTTTAGCTGAGCTCTTTAGGTTGAAAGAATATGGATAAGTAAAAGAAAAAAAAAACGGGGGAAAAAAACACTGGGACATGCTTAGTTCACTTCCTCTTATGCAATTACAGGTACACAGAGAGAGGTGTTCAGTGGTCTGTGGACATTGATTTCATATTCCCCAGCCCTAATGCACGTTTTCATCATTTTAAAATGAAGATAATAATAAAAAAATATAAAATATGAGCCCATATTTCTTACAGGGCAGTGGGCTTTCAACACTCTGCATGTGAAGCTAGTATTAGACCTCTGTTTCCCCCTCAATCTCTCTCTCTCTCTTTCTCTTTCATACCTGCTTTGTGCCCTTCGTATCCTCCTCCTCTTCCTCCTCCAATGAGTTTTGCCTCATGTTCTGTTTTCTCGGCCGTCTCCCTCTTTCTGTCCTTCTTGTGAGTTTTATTCATTTACTTTGATTTATTTATTTTTGTTTTGTAACTGTGCATGTGAGAGCATCACTGAATTGTTGGATATGTTTTAAAAAAATAAAAAATAAATATTCAGCTGCTGAAGCCATGCAAAACATTTTGAATTGCCCTTAAAATATGGAAAATGTTTTCTGAATGCTTTATATAATTTCTGCTGTAAAATAAAATCTTAAAAGAGAAATGTTGCTCATACTGTCCCTTTTTTCTGCAACTTTTCTTTGTTTTTATGATGTAATATAAACTGCTATGAAACAACAATTATATATATAGACTCTATACAGTATACTATAGTTTTAATCATACATTCATGTTACACTACAACTATAATTAAATGTAGCCTATATTTATTTCTATATTTATATATAATATAGCCTATTACAGTAAATAAAAGTAATATACACATATATATCCATTAGTATTATTTTATACAAATATTAATACTAATATGAAAAGCCACTTTCAACTTGTCTGGAATTTTTCTGAGCACGCGCGCACACACACACACACACACACACACCCACCCACACACTCGCGCGCTCACAGTAGTAGCTGGAATATAATCGGGGCCTTCACACATCACACATCAATTCAACAAACATGTAAGTAAAACTACACCAACATCACTCGCACGAGCTCAATGATTCCATATACAGTACATATATTGAATGTCGTGTTTTACGTGTTCATGAATATCAGTCTTTCTGGGTGTGTTTGTAAAGTGTGTGTTGTGCTAATGGGTGTCAATGCTGCCAAATCAACAGGTTAGCGTAGCAGGTTAGCTTACTGAATTTTTACTTTTCATTTTTTTTCACTCTCGGAGTTTAATTTAAGTCGCTTTTTAGTTGGAATCAGCGCAAATGACGCCAACAGTGAACTTTTTTTGTCAATTAAAGAGTTTTAGACCGTATATATTTGTATATCCGCTACATGCTAACGGCTAACAGCTTTTTTCTGACAACAAAGTTTGTGAAAACTTGAAACATCAAACGGAGTCTAAATACACACTTTTTACCATTATAATATCATATGGGATTTGTCTTTGTTGTTTAAATTACATAATTGTATTGTCTTTTGACTTTTTAATGCGGATGCTTAGCAAAGCTGCGGCGGAAATGTGGAGATTTAATATAAAACGATTAATAAAATAAGCGTAGTTAAATTAGCCTCACCAAATATGATTTCACATAATTTCAACAGCCTGATTGCAGTTGAGTTTATATGCTTTGATTGAATGTTGTAGACTGATATTTTTGGTGACGTAGCCTAGTATAAACAGTGTATAATCAACTTTATATAACTTACGTGTATATTAATTGTAATAAATGTATTTATTTAAAGATATATTTTAACCTCTTGGTTGATTCAGGATTTTACCTTAGAATAATTTCCTTCCCACATAATTTTAAAATTCTTGTTTTGCTCCAATGAACTTTATCAAACATTATATGACTTTTAATAGATAATTTGTAGCCTAAATGTATGATAAATTAATCAGAAATGCAACTTTTAATGTTATTATCATATTAAATGTACTTTAAGTATTGGTTTTTTTTATGCTTTATGATGTTGTTTATCGATTTATTAATGAACAGTTATGAAGTATTCACCTTTTATTGCTTTATTGTACTGGTGAGGATGTGTGTGACTTAATTTGAAGTCTGTGTCAGATTAGCTCTCAAAACTTACCAGTTCCCTGGATGTTATTATTGATATGATAATGTTTAATGCTAGGCATAGTTTACAGTTTTAGGCCGAACTTTAGAAGAAATGTAATAGATTGGAATAGTTTTCCGAGTGGAAAATCAAGTTTGAGAACAGAAAATGAAACAGTTGTGTTTAATTACTTGTAAGATTTATAGCATCAGCACAAATGATATCTGCATTGATGCATCAATCAATTGAATAATGATATGATGTATCTAGGGCTGCATGATATTGAAGAAAAATGCAATATGCGTCTGCGGTAACCTGTTAAATAATGCGATATGTGATAAAATATTGCTTTAAGTGTGTAAAATACATATTAATTATATTTAAAAACTTAAAATGATATAACCAATATAGGTTGCACATTCTTTCATGGGTAAAGAAAGCATCACTACAACTTCTGAAAGTGAACAGCAGTTTTAGCACTAGCCTACATAAAGTAATGTCACAAATTTTAACATCAATGTAAACAACAACAAAAAACTATTTAAATACCAAAAACTCTTTGCTCAACTTGGTAATATATAGTTATATCATTATCAAGCTGAAAACTTAACATCAATAAACATAAATAATGTGTTCTTCAGAATCATTTATTCTATATTATTTAACAAAAAACTAAAGTGTATTTTTGTTCTGGATGTCCCAGTTGGATAACAGGAATTGCACTTTTCAGAAAGTTCGAGTGTAACGTTCATAATATTTTTTGGTTTGAATCTGAGTTAATAGAAATGTAGCCGACTTTTGTAAAATAGGGACATAATATCAATTGCAGGCTCATGAATGTTTTGAGTTGTCGCAAATATCATATTTGATTGATGTCAGGTTGTATTGTAATGAAACATCTGATTTACACACCTCTAATAAGTCAGCATTGTGTCATTTACATTTAGAAAGCGCCATATGTTTCTTATACTGGAGGATCTCTGCAGTGAGATTTCTGCCACAGTCACATGACCTGGAGGCTTACGGTGCCTTCCACGTCTGGGTGTGGAATGTGTGTGTTTTCTTTGCTCTATTGAGTCCTGATGTTTCTCTTTCAGTCTCCTGTCGTCACTCTTTAACCGCAATAGACGGCAGTTATAGCCTGGCTTGAGACCTTTCACACACACTCAGAAAAAAAATAGCAAAACTTTCCCTTAGGTGTACAACAGCTTGTCCCTGGGGACATCTTTGTGCCTTATTTATTTACCCCTAAAAGTTCATAGTAGTACTTTAAGGGAACATATCACTTCTCTAAGATACTGAAATTCACCTAATAGAAGTTGACAGGTTTAAAAAAAAAGTTTTGACATGCTGTTGTAACCCTAAAGGTGCAAGTTTAGCACATTTCTTTCTGACAGTGCATGACTGTGTTCTGTGTAGAGATTCAGAGTTTACCTTTACAAATAAACTCGGTTTCATAGAAACTTTGACACCAGATTAAACGTCATTGAGCAAAAATGACTCAGTTAATTGTGAGAAATTATGATTCGAGATTTGGGTATCTCATGCAATGATGTTGTTCAGACATTTTTGGGACTACTGTAAATCAAAAGTCGTGGAAAATGGTTCATCCTGAATGCGTTTATGTCATTTTCAGTGGACTTTTCATTATGAACTTGTTCACAGTGTCTTTGGATGTTTACAGAGCGCTTAACACATCCAAATCATAATGTTCATTTAATAAACTCGTTTGAGCTTGTTGAGTGATTTATACCTCCCATTTTCGTCTTTAGTCAAATGCTTCTACATGTTCCTGTAATCTGGTTTCACACCACTTTGAATTGATGAACTCACCTGTCATCCTCTTGTAAAATCCTCTGTATGGTGTGTTATTATGAAAACAGGACTTTTATGTTTACGTGTGTAGTTTTAACAGTTCTCCCAGTTGAATCAAGCTCATTTATGTAGTCTATCAGCCCCTAGGTGGCAGTAGAATATCACATACTGTTTGTCACACTAGATTTCTATTAGAATAACAGGACATGTATGTGCTTAAAGGATTAGTTTACTTTAAAAAAAAAACTGATAATTTTGCTGATAATTTACTCACCCCCATGTCATCCAAGATGTCCATGTCTTTCTTTCTTCAGTCGAAAAGAAATGAAGGTTTTTGATGAAAACATTCCAGGATTTTTCTCCATATAATGGACTTCAATGGGGTCCAAACGGTTCAAGGTCCAAATGACAGTTTCAGTGCAGCTTCAAAGGGCTTTAAACGACCCCAGACGATGAATAAGGGTCTTATCTACGAATCTTTTTTGAGTCATTTCGTTCATTCAACGAACGAAATGACTCGGAAAAAAAATTCATTCATTTTGATGAACGAGTTCGAACAGGAGAGTCACGAACGCGCATCACAGAACAGAGCAAGGCGAGCATTTGTACTTATAAAACTTAAACTTTTTTATTTATTTTTTAAATGACCGATCGTTTCGCTAGATAAGACCCTTATTCATCGTCTGGTGTCGTTTAAAGCCCTTTGAAGCTGCACTGAAACTGTAATCTGGACCTTGAACCGTTTGGGCCCCATTGAAGTCCATTATATGGAGAAAAATCCTGGAATGTTTTCATCAAAAAAAACCTTAATTTCTTTTCGACTAAAGAAAGACATGGACATCTTGGATGACATGGGGGTGAGTAAATTATCAGCAAAAGTTTTTTTTTAAAGTGAACTTATCCTTTAACAGATGCTTTCTGACTAAAGCACACAGCTCAAATCACATTAGCGGCAGTAATGAATACGTTATGCTAAGCTTTATTCACTTAAAAAAATTGATCCGGACTGCTCAAGTAGGTTTTCCATTTGTTTGCCTGGACTTTTCCAGCTGTCCTGGCAAATGTTTTTTTGAATGTAACGTAAGAGTGTCTCTCTGTCCCAGGTCCGCCCCGGGTGCAGATGGCTCTGGCTCTGCAGGGAGTAACCGCAGGCTTCAGCAGACTCAGGCACAGGTGGATGAGGTAAGAGGACACACCTGACACCGGCTCCCAGTGCTCTTCATGGACAGCTAGAAATAGTCCACTTCATTTCCGTCTCTCGATCTTCTCAGGGATGGTTTCTTTGTGATGTGAACAGCTACACAATTTTAGGACAACTAATGACAGTAAAATAATGTACAATCATGAGTCATGACTACTAATGTGCTTGTACCTTGAAACTCCACCCTGTCAGACATGACTACAATACTACAATTATAAAAAAAGCGAGTTTGTACTCTTCTGGTTTTAGGCGCCATCATTGAATACATTTTGTAATGACACAAACTGTTTCGCCTGCTGCTAAATTCTCAATTTTGCCAGAAACTCTTGTTTTTTTTTTTTTCTGATTTAAATACATGTACTCACTATATGGCTATGTAAGACAAAATGATTGCGAATGCGCTGAGACCAAAGAAACCTGAAGAAAATTCGAGGGCTCCTTGTATGTGTTTCTTTTAATGAAATCTTGTGACATCCGAATAAACACCTAATCAGACATACGCATTGACAGCTTTTCTTTCATCAATCTATTTAATCAAATGTTTCTTCAAGTGCATATCTTTAATTGGGTTCCAAGTGGTGCAATAGACACTAAGTACTTATGCACAATGTCCTCAATCATGTGTTGTATGACATTTATAGTTATTTTATCACTCAACATTGGCTTCTGATGCCCCTCCCCCTCCGCCATGTCATTAAAGGGATAGTTCACTTTGAAATACATTTTTGATATGTTTTAGCTTACCTCAAGGGCATCCAAGATGTAGGTGTCTTTGTTTCCGCAGTAATTTCAATTTTGATATTTTTAGGTCAAACCGTTCTTGTCTGTCAGTCATATAATGCAGGTCTATGGTCACCACCTCAAAGAGCATGCACAGAGAAGTCCAAATTAAACATGATTTAATGACTCGTTAATGTAAGTACACATTGATGGCCTATAACACGAAACGAGCGGTTTGTGTGAGAAAACGAACAGTATTTATATCGTTTTTACCTCTTGTAACCACAGCCACGTCCATGTGATCCGAGGGCGCAGGCGCTTCGGTCTTTCCGGAAATTTCATACCCTGACTATTATCATACCACTATGCAAGGGTGAAATATTATTTGCATTCTCTCACAAATGTTTTGCGTTCCTTTGAGAAACAATTCCCTTTGCAAGCAAACGCAAAGTTCCTCGGGGAGCGCAAAACTTTTTTGCGAGCAAACGTAAAAGCATTGAAATATTTTTTTCTCCCATCTCATTTTTTCCATCACCATGTCCCTTTAGGTGCTCCGTACCTTTCTAATCTATAAGAAGACCATAATCCATGAGAACAAGATATAGTAGTACAATCTCAATTTTACTACCAGTATAGTAGTATAATATAAATATAAACTTAGTGCGGTTAGTGGTTTGTTCAAATTAATATGGTATACTTGTAAAAAAAAAAAAAAAATCTTACTGACCAAATTGTTGACAAGAAATTAACTTTTATTCTGCAAGAACACATTAAATTGACAGTGAAGACATTTAAAATGTTACAAAAGATTTTTTTGTGTTGCGTTTTCTGCAGAAATATACAGTACCGGTCAAAAATTTAGAAAAATTACTTTTTTTAATGTTTTTGAAAGAAGTGTCTTATGCCTAAGCCTGTATTTATTTGATCAAAAACAGTAATATTGTGAAATATTACAATTTAAAATAATTGTTTTCTATTTTAATATACTTTAAAATATTTTTTTTTCTGTGATGCAAAGCTGAATTTTCAGCATCATTACTCCAGTCTTCAGTGTCACATGGTCCTTCAGAAATCATTATAATATGCTGATTTATTATCAATGTTGGAAACAGTTGTGCTGATTTTTTTTTTTTTTTTTTTTTTTTTTTTTACGTGTGCAACTTTTTCAGGATTCATTGATGAATAAAAGTATGAATGTTTGGCAAAAAAAATAAAAAAAATTACTGACCCGAAACATTTGAACGATAGTGTATATTGTTGAAAATGAACAGCATTTATTTAAACCAGAAATATTTTGTAACAATATACACTATTGTTCAAATGTTTCGGGTCAGTAATTATTTTTTTCCCAAACATTCATACTTTTATTCAGCAAGGATGGATTAAATTGATTTTTTTTTTAAAGTGATAGTAAAGATTTATATTGTTAGAAAAAAATTCTATTTTGAATAAATGCTGTTCTTTTTAGATTTTTATTCATCAATGAATCCTGAAAAAAAGTTGCACAGGTTAAAAAGAAATGAAGAGTTTGGTTCCAAAACGCGATAAACGCCATTTAAAAAAAAATGAGTTACTGCAAAAATCAGTATTATATCTGGTTGGTATTGAAAAGTCAATGTTTAATTTTAAGTAAAATGCGATATCCGCCGTGTTATTCTGTCATGTTTTCTCCCTTTCTTTCCAAACCGCGACAAACGCCAGTCTCCCTTCTCTGCAGAATGCGATATATCCGCTCTCAACCAATCACAACGCACCATTCCACGCAATGTAAACATTAACGGCAGCGCCTTAAACACACCCGGCTTCCTAGTTTTTCTTATCTATTTTGTACTTTTCGATCAACAAACAAACAAAAAAATGAATAATTTTGACGGCATTGATGAACCGGTGGTTGTTTCTGCGGTGGGTAAGAAACGTAAGGCATCGAAATCGAATCATTTACGTGAGGAGATTAATAAGATGAGGCACTCGGGAGGAGGAAAAATGTTTTCAATCTTCTTTACAGTTCTTAATAAAAATATTATACTAATAAACTTACCTTGTTGTGTATTTTCAACAGTTTCAATATGAAAAAAAAAACTTTTAAATTGATTCAATGGATTAATTGCGTTTTGAATTTTAAATAAAAATGGATTTATTGCATTTTGGGGAAAAAAATTATCCGTTTTTATAATAAATCTTTGAAAATCAAAACCTGGATTTTTTTTTTTTTTTTTGTTATTATGACCTACAAATGCTATGTGAAAGTTTGAAACAGAAAATAGTGGTTTTCATCTTTCCACTTTCTTGGTAAAGAAAACACATTTTTACTCAAATGAATCTAAATGGATTTATTGCGTTTTGGAACCGAACTCTTCAAATATTAACCAGCACAACTGTTTCCAACATTGATAATGAATCAGCATATTAGAATGATTTCTGAAGGATCATATATAATAAGGATAAGGATGAATTATATTTTAAAGTATATTAAAATAGAAAACCATTGTTTTAAATTGTAATATTTCACAATAAAAAAAAATCTGTATTTTTGATCAAATAAATGCAAGCTTGTTGACTTTATCTGTGTGAATACTCCCTGAAGAGCACAGTGTAATCCTCCTGCAGTATTTCCACTTCTCTTCTGCAGCTCACCGCAGTCATATTCATGATTTCTGTTTGAGGAAGTTCATATCGGGACATATACAGGTCTCCGTGCACTTAATGACTGTTGACCTCTCCCAACATACATCTTCGTTCAGTCTGGGTCGTGCTCATAGGCTGCCGGCTGGTTATGTAACACCCCGTCACTATGGTTATGTAAGAGAAACATGGATCTGCACACGCCGGTCCCCCTCCCACATGATCTCTCTTAAATGGGTGGAGCTCCGTCATCCTGCAACAGGGTTTGTGGAGCACTAGAGCATATGTGAGGAGGCTGAGATGTTTGTGTGCCGTTGCCATTGTCTGTTATGTAATTCTATTATAGCAGGGGGGGTTTTATGCTTTCCATTTCTTCTGCTGAAGATGTAAGAATTGTTCAGACCGAATATGAGCAACTGGATATGATGTCATCATCATCTCTAGAGCGTTTTATTTTTGATAAATAAAGATGATAAACTCAAAACATACCTCTTACTCCATTATTAATGGATCAAAGTGCATGATGCTGTAAAACAAACTAAATGCTGTTGATTCCAATAGGAATACAGATAGAAACTCATGAAGTCAAGAGTTTATATTGAGTCTTCAAACACAGTCATAGTAGAAAAATGTCCCTCCAGACAAGATGAGTCATCGTCATTTTCCAGTAGCAGTTAATATTTAAATATATATTAATACCAGCTAAGACTGGTTTCCCAAACGTTGGATAATCCTGAGAAAATGTTCATCTAGCCTTGACCTAGTTGGACAAATCCTGCCTCGAAGAAGATAAGTGCATTTAGTTTTCAGTCCTGATATTTCTTTTCCTAACCAGCAACAAAACTTTTTGTCATTTCACATTGAGCTCCGCCCACAGTAAAATCAGTCTGAAATGCTGCTGTATATGTATTAAACATCAAATATGTTTTTGTATCCTGCACTGCAGCATTTTTGCTTTCAGTGTGGACAGACAAATGTCGCTGGAAACTTCCCATTCTGTCAGGTTAAGACACTCGGTTTCTTTCAGTGCTGTTAGTGTGAAACGCTGATCATTGAAGTACAGGCTCCTGTTGCTTGCCTGGTTTTAAGAAGTCTCCAACCATCCTGCCAAAAGTCTCGCATCATTAAATCGCTTAATAAACCTCCTCTGGTGTTCGGACAGCTGTGTGTTTACACCCATGGCAAGATTCCTTGACCCTTAGATTCACTTTTGCAGAGTTCATGCTCTTCTAACCGCAGTCTCCCTCCAGGTGGTGGACATCATGAGGGTGAACGTCGATAAGGTCCTGGAACGAGACCAGAAGCTCTCTGACCTGGACGATCGTGCCGATGCCCTGCAGGCCGGAGCTTCCCAGTTTGAGACCAGCGCCGCCAAACTCAAGAGGAAGTACTGGTGGAAGAACGTCAAGGTGACACAAGAGTTCAGCACTCATATCATACACTCATTTAGTTTAAATGCCTTTTATAATAGATATTAAGGCTTTAGAGATGATTGGAAGTTTTGTTCTTCGTCATCTGTAATGAATAAATATTAATAAATAAATATATTAAACATAATAAATAAATATATTTAACTATAATAAATAATTACTCGAAATAATATAGTCAGAGAATTACTTTTCCTGTTTTCCGTAAGCTCAAAATACTCCTACTCAAAAACAAAGAAACTAATATGCAGCCGATGGTTTCGTTTCGCATCTTGTTATTGTAAAAATACAGGGAGATTTGTTTTTGTTATTCCAAAACGTCATTACAGTTCAAGTTAAAAAATAATATTAATTTTATAAATATAAGACATACAGACATATAGTATTTTATATATGTAGTATACAGGAAATATTAAGACATACAGTATTTTATTTATTTTATATATATATATATATATATATATATATATATTAGGGCTGTCAGTTAAACGTGTTATTAATGGCGTTAACGCAAACCTATTTTAACGGTGTTCATTTTTTGGTCTTTTTGGTCTAGCAAACTTTGTAGTTTTTTTCACACGCTTTTGCAACAGGACGCTGCGCTATGAAACCCATTCATTTCAATGGCTTGCGCCGCGCGAGGACGTTTTATTGCTTCGTTGCAAAGTGCAAGCGGATCTAGCTAGACCGGAAACAAAACAACAGGCACGCCGCACACACTTGTTGCGAGCCGGCCAAATAGTTGGTTAACGTTACGTTTTGAGTGGATGACGAGCGCGAGACGCCGAAATGGATGCCAATAAGATTCTGAATGGAAAGTTTACTTTTAAAAAGTTGCCAAATGGTTCCATTGACAAGACCAAAGTGATCTGTGTTTTGTCGTTGTGAACTGAGCTATCATCATCGCAGCACGTCCAGTCTGAAATACCACTTGATGATGGCCAAGCACACACACACACACACACACACACACACAGCTGATGCGAATCCTCCGCCCCCTTGTCAATATCAGGACCTCGTCAGTATTTCTTTCACCCTTTTATTGATGGACAGTGTTACATTGTGTGAGAGATTATATTGCTAAGTGAGAATGTTAGTGTGAAATTGAACACAGTATTGTCAATGTTGTTTTCAATAAAAAAACATTTGCACAAAGCAAGCCGATCCACTTGTTGATAAGAGCACTAAAATGAGAAAAAAGAATGGGACAAAAAGAAATCAAGAGACATTTAGAATAGATAAAAATGTGCGATTAATCGTGAGTTAACTATGACATTAATGCAATTAATCGCGATTAAATATTTTAATCATTTGACAGCACTAATATATATATATATATATATATATATATATATATATATATATATACAATATTAAAGAGTTGAGATTAAACCAAAGCAGGTAGCAAGTAATATATTAAATAACAATAAAGTGAGCTGAAAGCTCCATCATAGGCACCAAATGACAATGTATACTTGTTTTTTGATTTTGCAGATGTGGGCCATTTTGATAGCCGTGGTTGTGATCATCATTGTCGTCATTATTAGTGAGTATCACAGTATTTACAGGCTCTTTCACTCCAGGGGCAGCAATTGTACAAAATGATAGACGGATCATGAGTCATCGTCCCTGTGATTTAAGTGTTCTTTAATAAGCAATTTATGTGCTAATTAAATGTGTCGTAAACAAAGTATGCTGCATCCATTTTAACCTAATTTAATCCCTGCTCTTTTTCCCCCCTCTTTTAGTCTGGACGCAGTCATAATGATGCAATACAGAGATGAATACTGGTTATGAATTGAGGAAAAGAAAGAAAGGAGAATGAATGAATGAGTGCTCTTCCAATGAGTTCTAACCTGCTGATTTTCAAAAGCATATATTGTAAACTATCCTCAATGTTTGTTTTTTTAGGTTTTTTTTTTTTAGGTTTTGTTTTAATTGAATAAGATTTGAATAAGTTCCAAAATGCCTAATGATTTCCAAATACATCTAACACACTCCTCTGTGCAAACCACAGAACAAGGACTGACTAGATAGTGTACAAGTTACAAAATGATCCAAAACCACAAAAAGTCCTACTTGTATGTTAATATGAGAAACATTTCACTATCATTTGGAGGCCAAAACATGTTGACCAAAAACCAGGCCAAACTTGTGAAAGCCATTTGCCAACGTCTCATGTCATTGATGAATCCCTCATGGACTCTTTTAGTGAGCGGCCGTAACCAGACACTCTAGTTTTGGCCGTGTCAGAGTTTTTCAGTGCCAACAAGACACACGAGCCTTTCCTGAACAACCACAGACGTGCCATCAGTGCCTGGAGACAAACTCCACTGCCATCCCTTGAACTTTACTCTGATTTCACTCAGAATATCTGCACAGAAAAATGCTATATATAAGCTTGAGATATTATTGAAAGATTAAAGTGGTAATTCACTAATAATTTAACTGCATCATTTGTATTACCTTGTGTAGGAATAGTTTGCTTGGAAATATCTTTGCTTAATCAGATTTCAGTAGTATTGGTTTTTGGTGTTTTCTCTTGCTCACGGTGCCAAAACATTTTATGTTTGTTTATCTAAGCTTTTTTTTTTTTTTTTTTTATGTATTTCTTTGTTTGTCTCACATGTGTATAAATTGTAAACAAGTGCAATTCTATGCTGTGGCCTTACTAACTTAAGTGTATTGAATTGCCCATGTTGGCTCAATAAAATGGATTTAACATCGTTTAGTTCTCAACGGAAGCCTTAATTCACTAAGTCATTATGAAGCTTGGTTTTATTGCTGTTACTCAAAGGTTGCATGGATCAGATTGCTTTAGATGATGCTACAAATCACTTTTTATTTCAAATACTGTGTTCAAACGTTGTGTTCGAGAAAAAGAGATGTTCTGATGTACTGCGCTACTGCATTTGTGCTGGTTAAATCTAGTTTGCAGTCTTCATTCAAGACGAAGGTGCACAGTGACATAATGTACCTGTGGAATAGCATTCATCTCTCAAGACAACAATAGTGTGAGGGGTTTCTACAGAAGGCTGTTTCTTTGTAGCCATTTTTAAAACCAAATTTTAACCTTGGATATAAAAGTGTACTCGATACAAACAACTGAAAAAAGACATTGTATTGTGATTTGTACCAGCTCACGACATCTATCTCATATCTTATATGCATGTTAATAAAGACTCAACAACCTAAACATAATTTCCTTACTGCCTCTTTCAACAGGCAACAATTCAGATCCTAAAAGCTGGTAATAAGTTTACCTGCTTAATTTATTTATTATTACAATAAGTACAAGGCCCGAAAATCAAAATCGCATTGCGATGTCAACACAAATGTGAGTGACTGAACGCGCTAAAATAAATGTCCACTTGATGCATTGAGAATGACCCGCAAGCGTCTTAATATAGATATTTATACAAATATTTATACATTTGTATTATTAATAACGCGTATAGAAGTATAAAGTAAGTAGATTAGGCACTATATGCTGTAACGAATCCCCTCACGCCCAATGCAGAGACGGCAGTTTACGATCATTTAATTTTTTTTATAAAAGTATGAGGCCCAAAAATCATAATCGTGCTTGTACGACACAAAATGTAACCCCAGTGGAGGGCGTGGCGTTATAATAGTTTGTTATAACCACGTGAGATCCCCACCGCTACGTCATAGTTTCAATCTGTTGTATACTGGTTGTATAACATGGTGAAACACGTGAGTCAATCCCCATTCTCTGCTAGGCTGTTTTGTTCACGCCCCTCGACCAATCAGACTGTCGTAGGGACTCTGGTAGGGAAACGCTCCCACCCAATGGGAGTCGAGTAGGCGTGGCTCCGGGCGGCCAAACTCACGTGGGTGAAGTGTTGCGTTCCGGAGGAGTAATGGAGGGACACATGAGAAACTGGAGCAAGCTGGGAGCAAGTGAGAAATAAACATCAAGTAAGTGCTAAGTGTTCATTTTTTACTGCTCTCAAGCGCACGAAAGTGATTTATAGATATAATACTGCTGTGGTGTTCAAGAGAGTTTAATAAGACAAGAAACGCAGCGTTCAAGTATTCCACTATTATCTTCAACGATTTCAGGTATATAACACAATTATAATTACATTATTAATTAACTATATTATACAGTCATGAGCACTCACTTCTGATACATTAAATATGTATTATCCTGCTTGTGTTTTTTCGTGAAACATCACGTTGACTTATGCATGTATCTGTGCGCATGCGCAATGCTCGTCCGACTTAAATACTAAATTGTATTACTTGTGTCTCATTTAAAAGCTTATGTTTTTGTGATGCTGCTGGGTATATGTGAGATGTACGGCTCAGGTAGAGTGTTTTAGCGGAATATCTTTCTCTCTGCAAACTCGTGGCCGTGCATGTGCATGGCGGAGGCGCGCATCAGTATCACAAAGTAACATTTAGTCTGTTGCTTTCGTTACATGAGTTCTGTGGGAACTTTAGAAGATGCTTGTTGTTCTTCTGATGCATCTCAAGGATGTTTGGATCGGCCAAGAGTGATGGTGAGGAGGATATCAGTGGTCTGTAGTTGCTTTATATCTTAAATGATGTACATCTGCATGAGCTAGAATGAGCGTTTTATTTAAGAGTTTTATTAATGAGCCAACAAAGTATTTTATTGTTGTTTATCAGTGAACATTTGATGTTTATTGTGAATATACTATTTCAGCCTGAGGTGCCATAAGGTTTATGGTAAGATTTAATGATGAATCAATCAGGGTTACACAGTCATGGAAATGTGCAATCAACTGTTATGGATTATGGATGCCTATAATTAGAAAGCAGTGGTGCGGTGCAGATAGGCTAATGCAACTTTGCAACAAATATTGTGGAATATTTACAGGAATTTCATATTTAGTGTAAAAAAGAGAAGAATTTTAGCAGACACAAATCTATTCCTGCTGGAAATATCAGGCAGTTTTGAAATGTAGAGTCTGGAAAAGTCATGGAAACTTCTCAATGTAGTTTTACTCTGTTCTGAAATATTTCATCAATATATTATCATTTATTATACACGCTTGTGTAGAGAAAAACCTTACCTCAAACAAGTCTGACATCATCAGTTGTCCGTTGAGGGTCTGAGACATTTGTACACTAATTATACTCTTTTAAAAGTGTGTTTAGTTATTTTTTTTATGGTTAAAATACTTTAAGTAGTGTCCAATCTTAGAAAAATATAAGCCGTTCGTAGGTTGATTTCTTTTGGAAAAAAAGCCCTCCTCTGTAAGTACTTTGTCTTTAAGATTTAGCATCTCAAAAACTGATCAAAAACATGTCTCTGTTTTTCAAGTGTTGCAGAAATTAAATTAATGTCCCCGCTCTTGAGTTTACAGCTCCAAAAACATTTACTATCAATAAACAGTGCGACATTTCGACCGTCAGGTCTTCATCAGGCACAATACCCTTTATGGAGTTAGATGCAACACTTTATAAGCACAGGTGATATAACAATAATTAGAAACACACTCAAAATCATGTGACAAATGATTAGACGCACATAAACATGTTGGGGGGAAAAAATCAACTAATCAATTTTCCAGTGTTATTTGCCATGCAGTTGATTCACCAGGACTCGACGAGGACACATATCGGTTATTTTGTGAAAAAGTAGTAAAGTCAATAACTCATAAATATACATGTACTGCTTTATGGTTGTCAGTAATATGCAGTATCCATAAAGATGATCACCTGTTGCAAAAGATCCATTACCACTTCTTTACCGTAAAGACATGAGATATGATAAGAAAGCACTGTGCATAAATGTAAATGACAAAGAAACGTGTTTGTATACGTGTCTAGTATTACATAATCATGTGATCATGTGCATATTTCCTAAAAGCACCGACTGCTGCCCTGTTCTTTCTGTTTGAGTGCCATGTTTTAGCTTATTCTAAATGTCCCAAATAGCATATTTTATAGTTTATCATAGACATATTTTCATTTTCAAGGTCATTGAGGGCCTTTTTTACTTGGCCTATAGCTTCTGTGGGACCGTTCATAAGCGCAGCCTGTGTGTCTTAAAAAAAGCATGGTTCAGACTGATCTCCACTTGTTCTATTTTTTTTATATGTATTTTTTAAACCTGACCTAGTTACACTCTGACACAGCCTATTCTGAGAATGACTGAGTCCGAGTCACTGTAACAGCGGCAGTCATTACACACACAGGTCGTGACTTCACAACACAGAGAGAGAGACGTCAGAACCGTGTGCCGTCACTAAAATAAACTGGTGTAGAAATTACTATTTTAACTCTGCGATAAATCCAATTATGAAGAAGCGGCAAGTATTGCCTTTGTTTTATTGACAATAAAACAGTGCAGACCAAATATTATGCAGGCAACAAAATTTGATGTAAATGTTCTGGCCTGGTATTTACTGTTGTTTGCTGAATCAGAACTAAGAACAAGCTACTAAACCTAAGTATTAAAGGCTGGTGCACTGCATACTTATAAGTAATCAGGCTTAAAGACTTAATACAGATATAGCAACACTCTGGCAACCTCCTATATGGTAACCATATCATGCTGATGTGTTTTGCATGAACAGACACCACTCACATTTTACGTATGAAATATAAAAATTCAAAACATTCAAAGATTTCTGTGAGGCACTTCGGACACGCACCTTCCAATTGAAGTATATAAAAACATGTTTATTGTCGGACTAACCCTAACCGGTAGGACGGAGTGTGTAAGCGATACAGTACGCACACATAACGGTCCTGTATATAGTCAGACAGTTGTATAATATGCGTTCTGAATAGTCCAGTCTGTGGATGACACCGGCAGGCTGTTGCTTTCGAGAGTGAAAGCTGATATGACACCCGGCCATCTTGTGCCGCATGTGCAAAACAACATTTCGTTTCCATTACACGATAACGCCAAGTTTATCAGTTAATGAGACGTAATGTGAAATCAAGTTATTTTCTTGCTAATTTTATCCTAGATTGTGTAGGCAGAGACATAATGAACCTCCCGCATTATACATCCAGAGTTCTGAAAAACATGTCATATTGGCCAAATTATATCCTAAATATATGTTGTGAACAACACGGATCAAGACAACATATTTTCCAAATTGAAATGTTAGGAGATTCAAATGCTAAAATATAACAAAATCTAAATGACAAAATTTCCAATCTTAAAATGCATTTTGGGTATATCTAAAGTGTATTTTTTGTACATATTTTGGACAATGTAAATAATAATGTAAATAAAAATAGATATCTTTAGAAATATCGAAAATATATTTATGTAAATGCATATATACGCACACACATATACACACACTAATATTTTTTTATTCTTTATATAATTATTGTACCAGGTTATTATTACCAAAGTACTTTTTCATGGGTTTGATATCTATCCGTGTTTCTCTTGCAGTTCATTCAATGGAAGACTACATAACCACCCATTATCCGAGTAAAACGTTGTCATCATCGTCATGGATTTCTCTATAGACCATCATTGTTAATGTGGACAAAAGCAGAGGAGCGTCTCGACTCTGGATCCGAGCTTCAGTAGAGGTGGGCAGCGGTCGCAGGAGAACTTACAGCGGGGAATGACGGGAGGAGACGGCTTTCCCGATGGAGAAGAGGAGAGCCCTTTTCCAGGCCCCTGCGTGCGTACGGTGCAGGCGGACCGAACCGGCGGCGGGCAGGACCCCGGGGAAAGCTCTCCGGGGTGTGAGGAGAGTGGAGGAGAGCAGACACACAAGGATGTGGACATGAACAGTGGTCATGAGTCCAGCAGTGGGAACGACAGCCTCGCTGGATCACGACATCATCGGTCCTCGGCCAATTGCAGCCCTGGAAGCACCACGGGGTCAGGAAGCACTAAGAGGTACAGCAATCACTTATACTGAGGGTTAGGGACTAGAACAGTGGTTCTCAACCTCTCCTGCAGGGACCCCCTGACAGGCCATATTTTTGTTTTCACCCTGAAATGGCACACCTGATTCAATTAATTAAAGGCTCAAAGGCTACATGTGTAGCTGACTAATTGAATCAGGTGTGCCATTTCAGGGTGAAAACAAAAACATGTCCTGTTGAGGGGGCCATGCAGGAGAAGGTTGAGAACCACTGGACTAGATCAACACCTAAGTATTAAACTTTGGCAAGTCCATTTGAGGAGGTATAACATGTTTAGGTTAAGTCCTGTCTTATCATATCTCAACATTAGACTCTTGTTTTTCTCTCTCTCTCTTTGTGTCTTCAGCTCAAAGTCTGCCACTGTCTCTTCATCCTCCAGCTTTCACAGCTCTCGTCACACAGAGTGCAGCAGGTAAATGAACCACAGATTTACACAAGAGCTGAATTACTGTACAGTAACACAACTCAGCTTATGCTTCAATGGCAAACTCCAATGGTATTTGTATTCGCAGATATGCATTAATATCAAGGATCATAGAGTGGTCTTAAAACTGTTTGGACACTTAAGTCGCACTTAAAAATGTCTGCATGCAATTGCATTAGATAAAGATAGTGTTCTTGTTATTTATTGTAAAGAAAGATGCACAAGCACACAATTTCTCATTGCAATACATCAGACAAAAAGATGTTTGTTTGGTTTAAAAGAATGAAAAAAGCTAGTGTTGACATCAAATGTTAGTTATAAAAATTCGTCTTTAAAATTTATTCCCTCCACCTTTCAGATCATTTCTATACCCATATAGTTATTATAATCATGGAAGCCAATTCCTGCCACATAAGAAAACAAAATCATGCTTTGTTGTCAATTATGAGATAAAAAGTAATAATGACTTTTTTCTCATAATTTCAACTTTCTGATTTAGTATGTTATTTCAATTTAACGTCATAATTGTGACAAAATTAACTTCATGACAAAAAGACACTTTACATTATATTATAGTTTATATCATAACAACTTTTTGTTATGATTATCACTTTTTATCTCATAATTACAATCGATGAACATTTCAACATTTTATCTCAAAATTATAACTTGGTAAGTCAGAATTTTATTTTTCTTATGTGGTGGAAATGTGCTTCCATATGTGATCCATTTGCAATTGTCCAAAAAGACCTGAAATGAAAGGTGTGTGTGTGTGTGCAGTGAGCAGACGGAGCACGGGCGAGGGCAGACACACAGAGAGATGATGCAGACGGTGCAGGAGATGAAGAAGCGTCTGCCGTCTGAGAAGAGGATGCGCAGTAAAGCCAGCACTGTGGAGGCACTGCACTACGCGCTGAACTGTGTCAAACAAGTGCAAGGTAGACACACTTTTGTTTTGGTGTGTGACTCCAAGCGTAAAGCCACTAGAGCGACTGCTGTTACTGTATAACACACATTCAGATCAGATTATGTAACGGTCCGTCAGGAAGGGCGAACAGCTCGCTGCTAAATCTGTCCATTCTTCAGGACTTTCCCCTGTGCTGCTTTTATTAAATGTTTTACAGTAGAAAGCCTGTGTTGAGATGATGTGGATGGTTTCTGCGTGAGCTCATCGTGTGCGTCATGTGGTTAAGTAATGCTGAAACTCAACACGCTAGAATGCAGCTGCCATGTATTTCCTGTCCTTTGAGGAATAGATCCTCATAGTAGTAACCGAATCAAAACATACGTGTGGTTCAGTGAGGGCAAACACTATGATTTAATTTAGTTAATAAGGCAGCTTTCATTGAAGCGCAGCAGATGATCTGATGGCACTGTTGCTGGAAAGAGGATCCAGTCACCAAAACACAGGAAATACATTTTCACCTGAATCATTCATGCTCTCATTTGTTGTCAGTAGCTTCCTAATGTCAGCTGATAATATGTGTGGTTGTGCGAAGCCCTAATTTTCTGATATGCGTGAAGGAAGTCTTTATCCTGTTATCGCTTGGAAAAATGCCACTCTTTAATGTTACTTGTGCAAGGAAATCTTTCTGCCACAACACCACTAAGGGATTGTGTCACGGATTAGGTGGCTGTAGTCAAACGCACAACCACATATCGCAGAGAACTGACATAATGCAAAACAAGGAGCAGACTGAAACTTAAACACCGCAAACAAGAGGAACTAGCGAGACTAATTAGACACACCTGAACTGAAACTCAAATCAATATGAAACTATGGTGACAAACAGACGGAGGAAACTGAGGATGACAGAACCAATGAATACACTGACAGCAAAACACAAGACAAGAAAAGAAAAAAACCCGCAATATATCTCATTAAAACAGTGTGAAGAAACACTGAAGTAACATCCATGGTTACCTGTACCAATAATATACTGCCCTCGAAAATGTTTCCACAAATTTGCAGCAAGTTCATATTCTCACACGAGCATGCTATATTTATAAATGTATTGCATATTTGGATATTTACCAAAGTTTTTGCTTAATTTGTTTTGTTTACTGCGATTTTGTCATAAATGACTGGCAAGTTTGCAGTAAAGACAGTTTTGCAAGGGTAATATAGTTTAAGTAGTAACAATAACCATAGTATATGTTACTGTATCAGTAATATTTTAAGGGATTAAATCATCATGCATTTTGTTTTATTAATTAAAGCTTTCTTCAGTGCATGGATAGATTTCTGCTCATTTCTGTTTGCTATCACTTGAAAGAAATGTCTGTAATCAGTCTATGATGTAATGTGATGTGAAATTTCCCAGTTGGACTTCTGTGTGGTGTTGTAGTCTCTCTTGTGGACACCAGCCAAACACTGATTAACTTTACTGTGACGCTCACGCTCATTTGACATTCCCTCTGCCGCCCCCTGCAGCAAACAGTGAGTACTACAACTTGCTGATGAGCAGGGGTCTGAAGGAGAGACGGGACGCTACTGTGTGCACACTGGAGGAGCTGGAGAGAATCACGTCAGAACACACACTCAAAAACACGGTACGTCCCTGCTGCGCTTCCTCTCACACACTTAGTCACATTGAAACAGAAGTTGCGATAGTAGTTTCTTCCCTATTGTTACATTTTTCCGAGTGAAACGGCTTCTTGAACAAGTCAATGGGGAATTGATTGGATGGTTGTGGTTTGCTATTGGTGGATCTGATGTGAGTGACAGGTTGCTCCGCTCTCGTCATCAGAGAAGAGAAGAGATGCTGCTGTAAGAGGATTACAAGGACACATGAATTAAAAAAATGCACGAATAAATCATTTATAATCATACTGAATCTAGAATTGACTATCTTGATTTCATGGTGACTCTAAGGCTACACGCAAAAACATAATTTTTCAATGCACAGCTCAATTTTGAGATTTTGCGCTATTTGGCTGTTCATAACATGTAGTTTCAGATTAGTGGAGGGAAAACATCCTAAATGCACTTTATTTGCATCTGTAAATTTCATTTACAGTATATTTAGGTTAAGGCCGTTTTCTCAAAATAATTTTGTCAGAAATCTCCACTTCCGCAGCTTTACATACACCAGATTGTACAGTTTTATTCCTATCTATATTCTGAAGGATTTTACAGAGGGTTTGTTCATTTATCATTTGCCTGATTTTAAACTTTTTTTTTTTTTAAACAGGGTGAAATGTACTGTTTTCTGGCTGTTGACAGTATTTTCTGATTTATGAAGTGATCAACAGATATGTTTATAATCCTCCGTGTGAAAACTTTGACTAATATTTCTGTCAACAAAATGAAAAGATTTTTGAACCTGGTTTCATCCAATGAAATGTATGCAAATGAGTGCATATTTGATTAGATAATGCCTAATTTACATATTTAAACGTAACATTTTAGAAATCTTGTAATGCCAGAAATGTTTGCACTTCTTCATGTAATCACTCAACTGGTGAAGTATGGATTGGTGGAGTCTGTTGCTGTTTTACTCTATTCCCCGTGGGCCGTCTTGCTTTAATGAGCGTGTTCCCTGAGTTCACGAACGGTTCTCTGGTGTTCTCAGGACATGTTTGTGGTGGTCTACTCTCTGGCCTCTGGGAAGGTGGTGTACGCGTCTGAACAGGCCTCCAGCGTGCTTCACTGCAAGAGGAAGTTTCTGGAATCTGCCAAGTTCGTGGACCTTTTGTACCATCAGGACGTCAATGTGTTTTACTCGCACACGGCGCAGCCGCCGCGACTGCCGCACTGGAATGTGGGAACGGACAATGGTGAGTCTCTCCTCATTATAGTTCACTCAAAAAGGAAAATTTCTGTCATTATTTACTCACCCTCAAGTTGTTCCAAACCTGTATGAGTTTCTTTCTTCAGCTGAACACAAAAGAAGATATTTTGAAGAACAGTTGATGAGTCCCATAATTGGACTCATCAACTGTTCTTTAAAATATCTTCTTTTGTGTTCAGCTGAAGAAAGAAACTCATACAGGTTTGGAACAACTTGAGGGTGAGTAAAGGAATTAAAAAAAAAATGGGTCAACTATCCCTTTAAAGCTGGTTGTTTTAATCATACAAACAACAGCTTTGATGAATTCAGCTCATAATAATGAGATTGTGTTTGTGCTCTCCATAGCAGCGGCTCTGTTTGAATGTGCCCAGGTCAAGTCCTTCTTCTGTCGATTCAGGTCAGTCTTCCACCTTATCAGAGGAAAGTTATTTATGACTTAATCCCTGCTTCCTGATGACTTTTTAATTGCGCTTTATACAGCATTACTACTCATTCTCATCTGATATGTCGTCTTATGTCAAGTCTCGTTTAGTTAGACGATACAGATTGCTTCAAAGCAGCTTCATTGTAATAAACAAGAAAATAACAGTATTAATGTTGCATAGTTCTTCAATTATGAAACGAATACAGTTTCAGCTGTAAAGCAGCTCTTAAAGACAATAGTGTCATTATTCAGCTCAATTTAGTTCAGTGTTGATTCAGTTCAAAAACATTCTCAACGTTGCAGAGTTTATTAATTATGAGATGAATTCAATTCAGCTATAAAGCAGCTTTACATCCAGTTTTGCTCCAGTATTGTCAGTCAAATTGGTAATATTACTGAATATTAAGTGTCTTTAAATGCGTGTGTGTGTGTGTGCCATCAGAGGAGGGAAAGACAGAGATGGAGAAATGCGTTATTGTCCTTTCCGGATCACCCCGTACCTGCTGAAGGTTCAGGGATTGAGTGGAGAAGAGCCGTGCTGCCTGTCCCTCGCTGAACGCATCATCTCAGGATATGAGGGTACGAGCCTTTGACCTTTCACCTCAGCCCATTCTGAAACCGTTGTACACTACTTGGTTGTCACATGACCTCATTATGTTGCCAGTTTAGTTCTGATCTAATAATCATTATCTGGGTTTGCTTGTCTTCAGCCCCTCGCATCCCCATGGACAAGCGCATATTCAGCACGACTCATTCTCCAGGCTGTGTCTTTTTAGAAGTGGATGACCGGTGAGTGATTTGGACCTTTAATCAAAATACCATAGCATCTTTAGTGAATGGTTATGTGTTCAAATAATAATTCTATTCATAATAATAATAATCTGTGCAAACATATTATTTTATAATTATATATAATATAATATGCTGTGTAATATTATTGTTATTATTTAAAATATGTTGCACTTAGTAAAGCTGAGCAGATTATTATTATTAATTGAAAAAATATGCCATTAAAGTAAAGCTGGGCAACTTATTAGTAGTAGTAGTAATGTATAGTTTTCTTTTTTGTAATGGACTTTTTCTTGGCAGATGCTTTAAGTTAATAATTTAACAATAATAATTTAGGCTCTAATCAATATTTCTATCCATGTATTTGGTAAGTAGTGGTAAGTTTCCATCTTATATGGCTGTTTACCAAATAAACAAATAATGTTGAGTCAGCAGCTTCGCATTAAGCATATTTTGCAGTGATGATCAGGTGGTATGTTAGCTCTTATATAACAGCATGACTGTGAAGTAACGCCAGCTTTGTTGACCACATTAGTTCAATATCTTGTTACTCTGTGCTGGAATCAAAAGTCTTTTTTGTACAGATAATGAAGGCTTGGACTGTTTTCAAACATGAGACTTAATCGGTCTCATGTTCATTTCAACAAAGTCTTGAAATAAATGTAATTTCTTGTAAATGTGTTTCTGTGAAATGAATCCGTGTGTGTGTGTGTGTGTGTGTCTGCAGTGCGGTGCCTCTGCTCGGTTACCTCCCTCAGGACCTGATCGGTTCCTCTGTTCTGACCGTCCTACATCCAGACGACCGGCAGCTCATGCTGGCCTTGCATCGCAAAAGTACGTCCATTATGACTTTTTTTTTTTACATTTTAAAGGCTTTATCAGTCTTGTCAAGTCACCTTTATTTATATTGCGCCTTATACAATACAGATTGTTTCAAAGGATGCATTCGGCTGTTATTGAGCTGAAGTCAGTTCAGTGTTGATTCAGTTCCGTTGTAATGATCATCCATTATTTAATTAGTTCAGTTCATCTATAAAGCAGTTCTGCAAGAAATCGTTCAGCTCAGGTCAGTTCTTACTCAACAGCGTCAAAGTGTAGTCTCAGAGCAGTAATATTGTTGAATATTAAGTGTCCCCAACTAAGCAAGCCAGAGTCGACAGTGGCAAGGAACCCAAACTCCATCAGGTGACAGAATGGAAATGAAACCAGGCTCAGTTCTCCTCTGGCCAATGAATGAACACGGTGTCATTGTGATTCAGGCTGCACCACAAGTCAGAATTCAGATCAGAATCAGTAGCATTCAAATATTCATCCAGTTCCTTTTGCTTGAAGATCGATTCATCACGCTGGTTTGGAGCCGAGGCTGGTCATAGGGTCTGTGTGGAGGACCGGTCTGGTTCTTGTGGTCTCTGCTGAGGATCGTATCGACGAGGCCTTCACAGGGGATTGTCTAGTAGACATGGTCTCTGATGACATTCAGGGCTGCGTTTTGGTCGTGTCTAGGTGCAGGTCCAGGTGCATCTGATCTGGATATGGACCGGATCCGGCTGACTACGGTAACCTCGGGATGAGGACGAGACCGACAGACTAATATTAGTGAAGATGCCATGCTTCTTATAGGAAGTGCTCCCGGTTCCGGTTGACCTAATTTATGCCGCCTAACAATCATTTAACTGATTTGAATAATAGAAATTGCTAATGTAAATTTTTTTTTTTAAACGCCTGCAGTTGATTTTGATATTCTAGGTTTATCAACTGGCCATAATTTTGAGATCGCAATAGACGTAAAGGACTATAGTGCGTTAAGAGCTCGCTCAAGTACTGAGGAGATAAACCATTCTGTGCTTTAGAAAGATTTGAATCTTGCAAATGGTCTTAATAAAAATTGTCATGATCCCCTCAGTTCTGAAGTACGCAGGCCAGCCGCCGTTTGAACACTCGCCCATCCGGTTCCGGTGTCAGAACGGGGACTACGTGACCCTGGACTCCAGCTGGTCCAGCTTCATCAACCCTTGGAGCCGGAAGGTGGCCTTCATCATCGGCAGGCACAAAGTTCGCACGTAAGCGCCGGCTCATGAACGTGTCAGTTGTTTCTGTAACCAAACCTTCACATTCGCACATACACCATCACTTGTTTATGTGCGTCTTCTCTGTAGTGGACCTCTGAATGAAGATGTTTTTGCTGCACGGAGTAATGCCGAGCAGCCAATCATGTGTGAGGACGTGAAAGAGCTTCAGGCCATGATCCACAAGCTCTTCCAGCAGGTGAGAGATCACTAAACCACAGACAACCTTTTTACAGCCCAAAATGCTCCATTTTTTTTTTTTATCAGAAATCCAGTTAATATGAAAATAATATGTTTTCTATTCTAATATATTATAAAATGCAGCTTTGCATCACAGGAGTAAATTACACATTGCAAATTTCTGATTATTATCAATGTTGAAAACTGTGTCATATTTTTGTGGAAATCGTGATCATTTTTCAAATGAAAATCTCACTGGCCCCAAACTTTTGAACATTTCTGAATAGCTTTGCATGGATCGCTTTGTATGAGGAACAGACCCAAATTACATGAAAACTGTTCAAATAAACTCACTAAAGCCTAGAATCGGTAGTCTGTTACCGTCAAATCGGTTATAGGAAAGCATTCTTGAAAAAATAGTGCTCTTTCATTAGAGCAAAATGACTGCAAAAGCAATCTAAACTATAATAATAGTCATAAGCAATTGCCCACAATTAGATCTTGATTAGATAATATCTGTGCATGCCTACTTGACTTCATATCAGGGTTATTATTGTTAACTAAATCTATTAAAAACATTTTTGTTAATTGAAATAAAGCTGAAATAAAATATAAATATTAGATGGCAAACTAAACCAAAATTAGAAATGTTGTAAAAAGTAAAAAAAATAAACTTAATACTATTTAGGTTTAATTTATTTTTATATCAGCTTTAGTTTATTTTAAAAGATCAAAAACTTAATAAAATGACAAATGCACATAAAAAAATTACTTCAAATTAAAGTGAAAACTCACAAAATAAAAGTAGATGAAAAAATACTTTCTGCTTGACTACAGTTGTAAAGCACATTTGAGCTGCTGGTTTGTTTTAATCACATCTGTCTTTCTCTCAGCCTGTTCATAATAAAGGATCGAGTGGCTATGGCAGTCTGGGTAGTAACGGCTCTCACGAGCACTACATCAGTGTGGCGTCGTCCAGCGACAGTAACGGAAACCTCTGGGAGGACTCGCACAGAGAACCAGTACGTCTGAAAGTGCATGAAATATCGACCAATCAGTGTTGGGTTTGGCAGGACCTCACAGTGGATATTTTGTCTTGTAGATGACGTTGCAGCAGTTTTGTACAGATGTCAATAAAGTGAAAAACTGGGGCCAGCAGGCGTATCGCGACTCCCGGAGGAAGCTCACACCTTTAGGACCAACCACTGCAGGTTTGGACACTATATTTCTTTTCTACATCGGTCCTCAATCATTCATCTCTGTTTGTTTGAGCATAAATAGATGCACTTTATGGATGTAAACCAAGATATACCATATGCAGCCACTTGATCAGAAAACATATGGTGAATTAATACATGTAATTTCATTTTAAGTCTGATTTAGAAGCACAAGATATAAACCCAAAAAACCCACGCTGGTCAGTCCCGGTGTACAGGTATTTGAACTGTATTTGATTTGTTGATGTGTTCCCATCAGTGGCAGGCGCAGGATTTCATCCTAACTCCAGTCAGGGTTTGGGAATTAGAAATCATCTGAAGCAGTCTCTACAAGAAGCCCGGAAACATCCACACATTCCATCGTATCAGCAGATCAACTGTGTGGACAGCATCATCAGGTGAGGCATACGGGCGCTGTGACCAAAACCTCTATCATATCATGTATCATATATCAGATAATATCATAAAATAACTATTTTAGGGGGGGTTTTCTGAAAATGTAAAGCACAGCGAAATTAAAAATATTAGTTTCTAATTTGTTTTTGTTTTTCTAAATTGTTAATTTAATTTAATCATTTAAATATGCAATCCATAATGTTGCATATTATATTAGATTTTTTTAAAAATCGAATAGATTATAAAAATAGCTATATATTTTATATAGTAATTTTTTTCTGAATATGTAAAACAAAAATATCATTTTAAATAAAATGTGGTAATATCTATTATTGGATAATCCAAACAATTAAATATGTTTCTATAATAATTCAAGTTAGTTTAAATATGCAATTCATACTGTTTTATATATATATATATATATATATATATATGTAATTTTGTAGGATTTCAAAATTAAACATTTTATTTTAAAAAAATCTTCCAATTTAAAGAAAGAAGTTACATTTTAGATCAGTGTAGTGTCTATTATTGGATAAATTAAATGTTGTTGTTTTTTAATATACAACCCATACAGTTGTACCCAAATTGACATCATTCATTTTTGATGTAGTCAATGACCCATTAATGTTAATTTGTGTTTTTCCTTCTCTAGATATCTAGAGAGCTGTGCAACATCTGCTCTGAAACGAAAGAGCGAGTCTTTGTCCATATTTACTTCTTCCTCTTCTTCTATGTCTGAGGAAGAGAAACCTGAAGCGGTCGCACAGGAAGACACCATGAACACAGATGGTACGAGTCCATTCCAACCCTCTCTGTATTCTCCTAAAGCCCTGCACAGTTTCTTACGGTCTGTCTCCTGCAGAAGCTGCTCTCGAGGGCGCTGGTGTTCTGGACAGTCAGGTGTCTGCGGGATCAGTCACGACGGCAGCTGTAGTGGGAGCACAGCTCACTGACCTCACGATCTCTACAGAAGCCATGAGCGTTGTGTCCGTCACCAGTCAGTGCAGCTACAGCAGCACCATAGTGCATGTCCCGCAGCCCGAGTCGGGTGAGTTAACACTGACAACACATTCAATGACACAGAAAGTGTTACATTTTTAGGCAGGTGACATAGTCCAGTGCTGTGTTCGAAATCGCCCCCTATACCCTCATTCACTATTCCCTTAATTTAGTCCACTGAAGGAATGTATGGAAACAAGTCAGTGAATTCGGACACTGAGTGCGCCAGAAGCGCTGCAGCCTTTGCATGGTTTGTGCTGCTTAATAATCATTTAAAATGTAGCGAACTGGCAGCTCCAGTAGATTTATCTTGAACTCTGTGATGGAAATTAGCATAATCGTAATTAAACAATCTAATAATCAATTAAAAAGCAATGTATACCTGTATGATAACGCTGTAGCTAGCCACATTGGACCAGCGGTTTGGAAAATGGATGGATGATTCAGCTGCGGGCGCCTCTCACAGTGCATTATGGGTATTCTCTAGCCGTTGAGCATACATCAGTTTGTACACTCGTTATTGTGGGATTGAATGAGTGCACTCAGTAATGTCCACTATGGTTTCGGAAATGGCTGTCCCCTCAATTAGTGTCCTATTTAAGAGTATAGGGGAGATTTCGGACGCGGCCCAGAAATATTTTAGCAGCACCATTGAACTCTGTAAATGTCCTACTGTACCTGCCCCTTCTCTTCCTCCAGAAGTCACAGCCTTAGAAGATGCTCCAATGGGTAGCGAGCCCACAGACTCCGCCCCCACCCCTGCATGCCCCGCCCCCAGCACCTCTTTAGCGGCTCAGGAGGAGTTACTCCTGGTGGGTCTCACCAAAGAGGTGCTGTCAGCTCACACCCAGAATGAGGAGCAGCAATTCGTCGACCGTTTCCGACATCGTATCCTGCAGAGTCCCTACAGCTCCTACCTCCAACAGGACAACAGCAGCATGGCCCATTCTCATCACAGAGGTGTGTGTGGAAACGCTTCGGGAGCTCTAAAATAACTATATATTTTAGTTTTGTTGTTTTAATCTGTATTTTTAAAGAAAAATCCCTAAAGTTTTGTGTGTGTATGCCGGATGCTAAACCAATACAGACCATGTATAAAATTTAAAGGAACACGCCGACTTTTTGGGACTTTAGCTTATTCACCGTATCCCCCAGAGTTAGATAAGTCCATACCCTTCTCTTCTCCGTGCGAGCCGTATCTCTGTCTGACGCACCCACTGCTAGCCTAGCTTAGCACAAAGACGGGAGGTAAACGGCTCCAGCTAGCATACTGCTCTCAATAAGTGACAAAATAACGCCAACATTTTCCTATTTACATGTTGTGATTTGTATAGTCACAGTGTGTACAAATAACAATATCACATGAGACAGCCATCTTCTAACCGTATACATACTGGGAACTATATTCTCAGAAGGCGAAGCACTGCTACTTCTGCGGAGTGATTTGCTCGCAGCTCAAGGGACAAGGGCTATGAGAGGCTGTGCTAAAACACAGCTATTGAGCAATCAGAATCAAGGACTGGAACTAACCGTTTTATTAGTATAATATTATGTTGAGATCCATTAACAGTCTCTATCAAACGATACACACCTTTCCCATCTGCTCTCAGGTGATGTCGTGCGACCTCCGAACAAACACAAGCGTCCGAAACCAGAGGACTCGTCCGACAGCTACGGCTCCCAGCCGGGCAACTACTGGTCACTTCCCGGACCCACAGGAGCGCCCCATTCCTCCTGGCCTTCCTCAGAGTCATCTCAGCTCCCGCCATCCAACATCGGCTTTGTGCCGCCCATGCAAACCGCCCCTTACTTCACCGTCGGTGCGGATCAGCAGCCCATGGTGGTCCAGCCTCACCAAGGTCTCCAGAACCTCCAGCCCATGACTCCCATGATGGTTGTCCTACTTCCTAGCTACCCCATGTACCCCGGCACCAATGGCATGTACCTCCAGGGGATGCCCGTTGCTGCGCCTGGAGTCGTTCCCCAGACTCCCTTTAATATGGGTGGGTTTGTCCCACCTGGTGCCCACATGGCTCATGGGTCTCCATTGCATGGACATGTTCCAGGGTCCACCGTCACAGGTGTTGGGATGCCAGCCGGTGCCTCCGCAGAGGTCGACTCGATTCCCACCCCTTGGTTTGGGGAAGACCTTGATGCAGGACAGCCCACAGCGCTCTTCTCCAGCTCTCGCTCCAGCTCACCCATCCAGCTGAATTTACTCCAGGAGGAGCTGACCAAACCCACCGAACCCCTGAACAGCGCTGGTCCTGAGAGTCTGCACCAGCACCACGCCAAAACGGTGAGACCCTTATTGAGATCTGGGTTGGCGTGGATACTTGTTGGAAGCTGAAATACCCTGCGTAGTGACATGATTTACTCCCATCTGAAACTATTTTATAAAGTTTTTTGCGAATACTTTTCTAATTTTTATCCATGTAGTTCTTATGACCTCATATTATGTTATTATATTATTGTTATTAAAGTATTTAAATATTAAAATATGTAAAAAAAAAAAAATACTTATCAATTTGGCCGCTTGAGGTCCTTTTTTACGTTTCATTAATTATTACTAAAGTAATTTATAATATTTAAGTAAAATATTAAAATGTATTTAAAATATTTAAAATCTTTATAAAAATGAATGTGGGGCCTTAAGAGGCCAATTATGTTATCGTATTAATAAATAAAATACTTAATTTTAGTAAAATATCAAAATATAATATTAAAATAAATTTGTGTGAAATATAATATTTTAATGTGAAATATATTTTAAAAACAATATCAATTTTAAATATTAATATACCTGTAAAAATGAACATGAAAGTGCCATAAGAGAAATAACAAATTGTTATTTTAGTAATTGTTATTAAAATGTTTCAAGTAATTAAAACACTTAAATTCTTGCAAAAATTCATATGAAATGGCCTTAAGAGGCTGATTTTTTATTATTATTATTAATTATTATTAGAATGCATTTATATTTAGTTAAAATATATTTAAAATCTATATTTTATATATATATATATATATATAATATTGAAATGCTTGTAAAAGGGCCTTAACCAGTTATCCACGATTATTGCATATCTTTGTTCAGAAGTTTTACTTAAGAAGCTGAAGTGGGACTGAAGTTTAATCGATTGACTCCAGCTGTCTGTTTATCTGCTCACAGGAAGAAGCTCCCAGTGAGTCGGGGAACCAGGACGCCCATTCTACCTCCAGCGAAATGCTTGACCAATTGCTACAGGAGGACGCCCGCTCAGGAACCGGCTCCAACGCGTCGGGCAGTGGCTCCGGAGAGTCGGGAGGCTCACTGGGCTCCGGACTGGGATCTAACGGAACGTCAACCAGCCATACCGGTGCTGTTCAAAATCATATGTCCATGACACTCAATGTTGTGTGGAGAGAATTAGGCACTTCCACCACAAAATAGCTTCGTGTAGATGGTGTTAAGAGACTTTGGATTAGTTGCCTTGTTTCAACTAGACTGCGTAAAAGTCTCCCAGAAGATTATTTTAATAGAAATTCGTCAAAATTTATAATTTACATTTTGTTCCTAACATGCACTAAAAACTAAAAAAGTGTGGAAACAGTATTCTCTCAGAAATTTGTGTGTAAATTTCACAAACAATGGCATGTAACAAATTGAATTGAACATGACATTTTGAAGTAAATAGTTTTTCAATAGTCTTCAAAAAATCACTTTTTACAGTTTGTATGTAAAAGGTCAAATGTCATTAAACTGAGCCCTGACGTTTCACGTTTACAGGCAGCAGCAACAACAGCAAGTACTTTGCAAGCAACGATTCATCGGACACGTCCCGAAAGGCGCGCAAGTCCGCGGAGGCCCAGGAAAAGGAGCGTACGACCCTCAAGAAGCCCGTGGACAACCCTCTGTGGAGCGCGATCAAGCAGACACCAGAGCCCATCATGATGACCTATCGGATCAGCCCCAGGTAACAGACCCGGAGGAACGTCTTCTCCCTCTGTCCTTCTCTCCCTCTTCCTCTCAATCCCGGGTTCCCGCTCATTCCTCTGAGAAACCTGTGGGAAACGTGACATTCTCAGCATCTCTTTCCACAGGGGAAAGAGATAGCGCTGCCAGGCTCTCTCGCCGAGGTAGTTCTGATCAAGCTAAATGTCTCATTGCGGCGTCAGCCCTGAGGTAGGTGACTCCAGGTGACGGTACACAATGAGACCCGTGTTTAGCAGCTTGATGAAGCGGATCCTTTTAAAAAGCTCCTGATTATGGAAGGAGGACAGGGCGAATACGCCAGTCCAAGATGCTTTAGCAGTATTTAGATGTTGAAATCGAAGCAACGTCATCTAGCAACGTGCTGAGGCAGCCCGAGTGAGTTTGGTTTTGTGTGTGTGGATGTCCATGCAGGGATCAGGACCAGGTTCTGCAAGAAGACCGAGAGAAGCTGCTTCTGATGCAGCCCATGCAGCCCTGGTTCACCCTGGACCAGAAGAAGGAGCTCGCTGAGGTTCATCCCTGGATCCGGCAGCACACCTTCCCACAGGAGATCAACACACAGGTTGATCACACAACACACAGAGAACTTCTCATTTACGTCGGGATCGAACATATGTACCATTATAGATCTATATATTGGCCATATTCATTCATTTGAGATAACAGAAGAGGGAGTTGCTCCTTGTGTCAGACGGTTTCCTGTTATAGCTAAAATGTAAACAATTTAAAATAACTGTTTTCTATTTGAATCTATTTTAAAATGTAGTTTATTTCTGTGATGCAAAGCTGAATTTTCAGCATCCTTCAGAAATCATTAATGTGACCCTGGACCACAAAACCAGTCACAAGGGTCTTTTTTTATTATTATTTAGATTTATACGTCATATGAAACCTGAATAAATAAGCTTTCCATTGATGTATGGGTTGTTAGCATATGGGTTGTAACAATATTTGGCCAAACTATTTGAAAATCTGGAATCTGAGGATGCAAAAAAATCTAAACATTGAGAAAATCACCTTAAAAGTTGTCCATTTATGTTCGTGATTTTACAGTAAAGAAAAATCAATCATTTTGACCCATCCAATGTATTGTTGGCTATTGCCAAAAATATACCCATGCGACTTGTGACTGGTTTTCTGATCCAGGGTCACAGATACTGATTTGCTTCTCAAGAAATATTTTGTATTTATTGTTATTTCTCAATTTGATGCATCTTATATACATGTCAATATTATATCAGCCATCAGCATCATCCTGACTCACGGTTTTTATCTAGCACTGAAGCATATATTTATTTTGCATCATCATAATCTCATAGATTTATTTTAAAATCTTTTTCCAGGGCTGTGTGAGTTGTAACACCATGGAATCGGGTGAGAAACTGAATCTTCAGACTGACTCTCCGAACCCTCCTGACAGCTCCTGTCCGTCACAGGACACCAGACCCACCACAGACACCTGAAAGCTCTCTGCTGCTTAGACAATCACTGCCACTGCTGGACCTCCGGCTTTCTGGGACTCGATGACTCCTCTGCTTTCAGCTGGGATTCTTAGGAAGGGAGAGCCGTCCGTGTGCCAGCCTCTCATAATCCCGCCATCCAACATCGGCTTTGTGCCGCCCGTGGCAGTGCCCACGCAAACCGCCCCTTACTTCACCGTCGGTGCGGATCAGCAGCCCATGGTGGTCCAGCCTGACCAAGGTCTCCAGAACCTTCAGCCCGTGACTCCCATGATGGACTTCTCTGATGTCTCTGAGTTTGTACGCTCGCTGGAGATGGACGGTTCCACATGTGAACGCCGGACATCACATGACCATGCATTTCTCTCAGCTGTTCTCCTTCACAGACAGTCCATGGACCCAAGCAACTGTGAATATCAGACTATAATTTGTATAGTAGTTGGGTTTTTTTAGGCTGTTTTTCAAAATGTTTTTGTTAATATGTCCTCTACTGAATTTTGCAGGCTCAGGAGGGTTTATGATCTCCCAGAAGTACCTGTAATGAGTTTCTAACCACTTGCACAGGAATAAATGTCCCACAAAGTCCAGCATCCTGTTCGGTTGCTGAAGAACATTAGCACTCACCGCCAAAAAAATAAAAAAGCGTCTATGAATGGAAATGAATGATATTTGGACCTGGTTTTACTGTCCAAAGCTTTACTTTACTGTTGCTTATTTTGACCGCTTCATCTCAAACTAGTCTTCTGTTTAATTCATCCGCATCGAGCAGAATCCCCACAATTCAGCAAACCAGTAATGAGAGTGATGATATTCTGTCCTGATAGAGTTCATCCAATCCAAACGGGTGATTTGAATGAGGCCTTAAATGAGTTCTTCTGTCAGTGTTGTTACACACAGTGTGTTAATTCATTGTCTCTGTTCTCAATTTTAAATAATATTTTTCCACCATACAGGTGTCTGAAAGATGTCAAGCAATGTCTTTTACTATGGTATAAAACTCTTAAGTTATGGTGTAATGACTGTAATCTGAAAATTGGGTTGATGGTTAAATACATCGACCGGTGTGTCAAAAACATAACTGGGTCACATTTCTCCCCAAAATAAAAAATAAATACAAATATAATTAAAGCTGCAAGCAGCCAATGTCCTCATATACATACATGGCTCCTTGGACCAAGACACTGCATGCCAATTTTCGAGTCAATCGCACTAACGCTCGGGTTGTTATAGCCATTTTCATGTTTTTTTTTTCCTGTTATAGTGCCACCAAGTGGCCAATTGCTGCATTTTTTTTCTCACTTTACCAAAGTTTGAGCCCATACACACATGTACTGAGTTTGGTGAATAATATATCATACCGTTCAAGAGTTATAGCCATTTTTGTAAAAGTGGCCCCTCCCTTTTTGTACATTTTGGCACACATTAAGATTACATTTAATTGAATGCATTAGTGAGAGAGGGATTGCACTGTATGTGCAGCATCTCTATTAATAGTGAATCTGTAGTTTAAGATACTTCGAAAACAGAAAGAAATATTTAATGTTCAATTTTCTCTGCTTTTTATTGTTAAATCGCAGAATAGTGTTCAGAATAAGTTTTGCAATCGTGTGTGTGTGTGTGTGTGTGTGTGTGTGTGTGTGTGCACGCGCTACTGTCTGTATGTGTGTTACAATGTTCCAGAGAACTAGTTTAGAACTGCAAATTTTGGTTCCTATTTCAAGCATTCTGACAACAGTGATTAACTTATCTGTATATAAACTGTTGAGACGTGCATTCCCCTGAACAATATTGAGAATTGATATGGTATAAACTCAGACAAAATATGATTGTGTTTTATAAGAGTGATTGCTCTAAGTAATTTTATAATATGAATGCAAAAGCATCTGTGAAAAGACTTCATTGATAAGTAGAATGAACAGCAGATGGCAGCAGAAGACCACTTATTGGCTTACTTTCATTTGAAACATTTTGTTATCCACCAGTAAAACAAAGCAGGTTTTCCATTTTCTCTCCATTAAGCATGCTTACACACACACACACACACACACAAAGACAAATGTTTTCAATGTTTTTGGGATGTTATTGTGAAAATATCTTTTAATTATCTATAAGCATTTCACATATTTCTTTGTGATCTAATAATATAAAACTATATTACCACTCCATCATAATAAAAAAAAAAATAGATATAAGCATTTGTTTGTTAGTCAATGCTGAAAGCTGATATAAAATATGTCTTATCCTGCTGGTCCCTCTAGTGGACAACAGTGGGATTACAGGCTCCATCTTACAGTTGAAATGAATGAATGGGACTTTGGTTTTTCACTTGTATCTCGGGAACGAGAAGGCGAATAATGTGAAACTCGGAGCATAGATAGTGCTCGAGGGGCCCTCTGGGTCGGGAGTTACGGCCGTTTAAAGTCGGGGGTCGACGATAGATTTCGCTCAAGGGCCCGGAGAGGTCCTTACCATCAATGTTTGAGCGCGCAGAGACTTTACGTTTTCGGACTGACGGTCAGGTGGTTATAGCCATTTTCATGTTTATTTCCTGTTATAGCACCACAAAGTGGCCAATCGCCGTGGTTTTTTTGGACCAAAGATTGAGCCCATACATAAGTGTACTGAGTTTGGTGAAAATATATCATACCGGTCACGAGTTATAGCCATTTTAGCTATGTTGGCCCCGCCTACTTCGAACGTTTTGGCATCCCGTTGCAAGCGTGAATCACCAAACGAAATTCTTTCGATAACTTTTTGCCTTGAGGGTCTCTAGATGATGCATGTCAAGTTTCGCGTGAATCGGACAAACGGCCTATAGGAGTTTGAAAAAGTAGATTTTTCACAAAATTTTAAATGGCGGGAAAATTTGCATACTGGAAATGAAATCGGAGATATACGTTTAGTCCGTCTTGAGCCAAGGATTACAGTGATATAAGACACTTGAGTCTATTATGGCGCTTTTCCACTGCTGGTACGGCTCGGTACGGTTCGACTCGGCGCGGAACGGTTCGGCTCGCTTCGCTTTTCCACTGCGTGGTACGACTCGACTCGGTACGGCACGGTTCGGTTCGCTTTAGCTCGGTTGCTTTTCCACCGCAGTTAGTACCCCTTCAAAGTGGGTGGGACTGATCGTTATTTTGTCCCTACACTGTTTGTAGGTCCGGTGATAGCCGTGTGCGGCTAAGAGCTGAGCTACTTCTTGGAACACTTTTTCATTCCGTTTTGCCCCATCCAGCTCTCGCTGGATCCGCTCCTCGGCAACCAACGAGAGGAACGTCTGCACCTCGTCCACTTACCACAATTCAGCCATTTCTTTTTAAAGTTTAAAAAACAGATGCTACCGCGTTGGCTGTTGTCTACTGGTTATTTAAATCTAGCGGGTTTAGTGTCCAATGACGCTGGTAGTGACGATTCTGTCTGACCAATCAGTGATCTGCAGTGTTTTTACGTCACATTTTAGTACCGGTACGGTACGCTTGGAACCTCAACAGACCAGGTACCATTTAAAGCGAGCCGAAGCGAGCCGTACCGTACTGTACCATGCAGTGGAAAAGCACCACAAGTGAGCCGTACCGAACCGAACCGTACCGTACTATGCAGTGGAAAAGCGCCAAAGCGTGCCGTACCGAACCGAACCTTACCGTACTATGCAGTGGAAAAGCGCCATATGACTAACATTTTGTCGCTGTAGTGCCATCTATTGGTCAATTGAGGCCTAACATCTGGCCAAGTTTCAAGCCTCAAGGCCTCATGCTTGAACCCCTAAAAATATATTTATTTATTTTCTCCTCCAAAATTATGACCATTGTAGGAGCATTATGATTATTGGCATAGTGACATTTATTTTCATGTCTGTTTCGGAAAAAAAAATGCTTACTGGATGTAATGCAAAAATAGCAATGTAGTCTTAATGGTTCTAAAAAATGGTCTTAATTTTGTCTTTATGTAGATTTTTGTTTTTGTTTCTGGTGAGTTGTGACCTGAATATGTTTCATGAGATTCACTGGTACATATATAACGTATCAAATCCATCATAAAGCATCCAGAAAGACCAACGCATAGCAGTGTACCTACGGTTTTCACCAAACCTCATTCTTGTCATCTTGTCTTTATTTATTGCTCTGTTGTGTCAGTGTCAGAGCTGAAGTGTGTCGTTGTGAGTGTGTTTCTGTGCTGTTGCTGATGTCGCAGGTGTATTATTATTTTCCTGTATGTTATGGTTTGTAGGTTGTTGCGGTAACAGAGCTGCCGATTATTGACCCGTCAGTCCGGACCCAATGGGCTCTATGCACGGCGGTATTTCCGGTGAAGGTCTAAGGATGCTGGATTACTTCCGCCGATCGTAGAGTCCAATGCTATACCGAGAATTTAAATTGGTTTTTATACTCTATTGCTATACTAAAGAAACGTTAGTCACAAAAAAAGACAAAACAGACACTCCTCATTTTGTTTATGCTTCTGTGTTTATTATATTAAATAAACATAACTATATATAAAATTACATCTAAACGTATTAAAGTTTCGTTTCAAAGACGAGAGGACAGTAAAAAAAATTTTCCTCCGCTTTAAATCTCCCCAACCGGAAACGCACGAGCATCCTTGCGTCAAACGCGGAAGTTATGCGTGCAGCCCATAGGAAACTTCTGATTTGTACAGTTTTGTGATCAAAGATACATTTTGTACAGTTTTGAAAGAAAACAAATGTAAATATCAGTACAATGTATTTTACGGAAAAAAAGTGCGAAAGACAATGAACTGTAAAAAGCCATTTTGTCTAAAATTCAGGGAAATATTTTGACACCACATGGAATAAAAAAAAACACCATGACTTATATATGATCCTCATATTTCTCAGTTTTTATCCACTTTTGTATTATGTCGCTTTTAATGGTCTTAAGTATTTCACGTTTACACGACAACATCCACAACCATTTTTCTTAAACATATTTACTTTATTTACATCGAAGCTAAAGAGCAGGTATGTACAAATACATTTTCAGCTATTTTTCCTACAAACATAAATCTATTTTTTGCAAGTTTAGTGCACCAGGCCCACAAAGTTTGTGCACGGGTGTTGAAAACGACAGGTAAAGCTCATGAGAACACTAGCATGTACACAGGAGCATGTAAGTGTTTTTCCACTGGCTGATTCACACACAGTATTTCCAGAAACATTCAGTGTTACTGCCTCGCTTGCGGTACTGCTTCCGGCCACCCAAGAAACGACTCAGAGGATTCAACAACTGCTTTTCAAGCAAGACCTGGACGACAAACATAAGCAAATATATTTCAATAAAACTGCATCACTGTCTCTTGATATAATATTGAATGATGATAGGGTTTCAATAAAGTCAGTCACGTCTTTTACAGCTTGACTCGGGACAAATCCAGCTGTTCTGAGGCCTGTGAGAAAGAAGAATAAGAAGAGAGTGAGTTGCAGACCCATCTAAGGTACTATAATACAGGATCAATGTAAGAAAAAGTGGGAAAACTTTATTTTACTTTTATTTCCTTGTTACACCTTACACATGTAGTTGCTGTATACTATAAATTATGCACAATTACATGCAACTAACTCTAAACCAACCCCTATTTCTCTCTAACTCTGGAGTAAGTACATGTAGTTAATTATTATTAGTCAGCACTTAAATGTATAATTACACTGTAACAATGACACCTTAAAATAAAGTGTAACCGAAAAAGCTTCAATAAACACACCCTTAATAGATTTACTGTTTCTATGTAATGTCTTGGTAACACTTTTTAAAAGGATCTCATTTGTTTACATTGGAGCAAATGAGCAATATGTTTTTAAAGTATATATTAACTTTTGTTAAACCTTAAATGTGCATGTCAGTTCACAGTGCATTAACTAAAGTTGACAGATGTGATCTTAAAATGAAGATTAACATTAGCTCAGATAAATAACTGCTGTAGAAATATTGTTCATTGTTAGTTTTTGTTAACTAAAGTATTTAAATGAATAGTTCAGCCATGAAGGTCTGTTTGTGTTTTGTTTCCTAAAAGCAGCGTTAGCCAACCATGATCGCAAGTTCCGTTGAATTGTGTTGGTAACGACGGAACGCACGCCTGATTGGTTCGTTCAGTGTAACGTTCTCAGCCAATCAATTTCACGTATCCATTACCATTTCCCATTTATAACCATGACGCATCCAAACAAATGTACTCTCTGCACACTATGCAAAATGGTCTTCTGTCCCTCCACCTCCCCAGCACCGCCTGCCTCGATCTGCTACTGCCGATCTCCCTTTCTCTCGCAGATGTTTCCATTCATTTATGTTCTGAGCATTTTGCAGAAGAAAGTCGTGCAGCAGTGTAGCAAATCTGGTCTGCCAAGACTAAACCTACATACATTCTATTTACATTAATAAAATGTTTTGCAAACTATCCCGAGAGTTGTCATATACTTGAACCAACACTGTAAAAAATAAAACATAATCTTTACGGTAAAATACCGGCAGCTGTTTCCAGAACTTTACTGTCAAAAATATGGTAGCAACGTTATTGGTTTTACAGACTTAACTTAAAATTTACAGTAATAAACCGTATTTCATTATCTAATATAATGTTAATTTACCGACATATTGAAGTATTAATATCTATTTTGTACCATTGTAATACACTGAAAATCGCCAATCATAGTAGTGATGAGAGTCATATGACCAATTAAAGATCATCGCTAGCAGCTCTTCCACAAGGAAGTTAAAACTAGTATTTAAAAGCTGCACAGTGTCATTCGCACAAACATTAAACACCATCATGGTAACACATGAAATTAAAAAAATGCAATAAACACTAATTTAACAACATTACATGTAACATAAAACCCTAATGTACATATCTGATTAGAAAAAAAAATAAGAAAACTATGAAGAAACATGTTTATTTCAACAAAAATACATAAAATGTGAAGTGTCACGCAGGGAATTGTGGGAATGTCAATTTACGTTTTTTCACTGTAAATTAAACAATGAGTTGTTCTTTTTCACTTCCAAAAACTGTAAATCTAACGGTATTTTACTGTAAAATTACATTAAATGTACCATTAGATCTATCACAGTTATTTACGTATATAGTAGCCTAAGGAAACTTTCTGTTAACCAATTAACGTTTTTTCACTGTAGCATCTTTTACCGTTAAAATCACGGTAATTTTTTACAGTAATATTAATGCATGAAATTGTTAAGTGTTTCCGATGTCTTATTTGCTTCTCCTACAAAGCAGTAACCTCACATTTGAGTTTCTCAATATGAACTCTAACATTTCTCTTCAAATTCTCCTAAGACCAAATGATCTGAGCTTTCTGTATGACAACTAACTCGTTTTATTCTTTCTCCTCAGGAGAAGCATCTATGAAAAAGCAAGATCTAAGCACTGAAGTTTTCCTGTGGATTGGCTTATATTTAAAGCAACAGCTCACCATCACTGCTGATGTCTCCGGTGATGAGGGACGGGTAACCGAACCCCGCGGCACCCTGGGACAGATACGCTTGTTCCGAGTAACTCAGGTCTTCTGGACTGACCGCCTGCTCCTCTTCTACAAGAACTACAGATGAATATGAGAGATAACACAATTCAGTCTTGAAGAATGCTTATGATATACTCAGCTCTGGGATGTTGGATTGTGAACATGCAACATTTTGTATGTGCTCAGACTAACATGAGGCTTTCAGGTTGTTGGATCGTGTGTGTGTGAAGGAGAGCGGATGAGACTTACCAGGCCTGGTGTAGCTCATCTCTGCCGGATGGACCACCGGATGCCCCAGCAGAGGCTCCAGGATGGTGAGAAGCAAGGCAAAAAACAGAAACAGTTTACACATCATGATGACACGTAGACACACACCAACTCTTTCTTGTGCGACTTCAGCCAGGAGATCTCATCTCAAACTGTCTGTCCTGGACTTATATACTCTTCATCACTGGCCATGTCATCTCCTCCCCACCTTTTACATATCCTGTGCTTGTAAATTCACAGAGGATAAATTAATGTATCAATAAAACTGAAAGACAGATGCGGGTCTGTGCGTCAGGGATGGGATGTAATCCAGACGAGTTCATAAATCCCACCGAACGCAGGTGGGAAAACGGTACTTTGTGTTAGAGCTTGCGGGATGAGTCGGCCAGGCAAATTGCCCACTTAATTAATTTATTTAAGAGGCTGCTGAGATTTATTTCCCACGATGCCCACTGCGGCTCCTCAAGTGTTTCATCCTTACGGCCCTTCGCAGCTTCTATTTTTAAGAGAGTTCAGAAACGGGACGGATTGGAAATGGCAGACAGAAAGAGTGACCAATATTCTTAATGGTGTAAATAAAATAAAAAGGTGAGAGCTATTCTGGCCTCAGAGCAGCATGTCAATCTACTTTATTAGTCTGAGTGATGGACACACTGCTGACTCTGCAACCCACACATCCATCCATCCATCCATCCATCCATCCATCCATCCATCCATCCATCCATCCATCCATCCATCCATCCATCCATCCATCTATCTATCTATCTATCTATCTATCTATCTATCTATCTATCTATCTATCTATCTATCTATCTATCTATCTATCTATCTATCTATCTATCTATCTATCTATCTATCCATCCATCCATCCATCCATCCATCTATCTATCCATCTATCTATCTATCTATATATCTATCTATCTGTCATTCAATTATCTATCTGTCATTCAATCTATCTATCTATCTATCTATCTATCTATCTATCTATCTATCTATCTATCTATCTATCTATCTATCCATCTATCTGTCATTCAATTATCTATCTGTCATTCAATCAACTATCTATCTATCTATCTATCTATCTATCTATCTATCTATCTATCTATCTATCTATCTATCTATCTATCTATCTATCTATCTATCTATCTATCTATCTATCTATCTATCTATCTATCTATCTATCTATCTATTTGTCCATCTGTCTGTCTGTCTGTCTGTTTTCACTGTGACCTACGTAACTGTCTTAAAACCCCTTAAGTGTCACGGGCCCACCGGTGGGCCCAAATCCTTTACATTTTTAAAACAGTAATATCCTATACTAAACCTAAACTAATCTTGACAAACTATATATCATTTGAAAGCTTACAATCTCTAGTTTCCATATTTGGTGATTGATTTTCAAAATAAATTACAGAGGAGCCGTAATTTATCAATTAGCAACAATAATATTTTCATACTCTTAGACCTTTATTTTGAAATAGTGATGAACATGAAAAATCATGAAAGAAGGGTAGAAATCTCAGTTTGTTTTCATGCCAAGAGTTCAAAAGATAGCATCCATTCAATTATTTAAAAAAAAAAAAGGTCTGAATTTTTTTTTTTATATAAAGAAAAAAATTATATGATGTGGCAGGAAGCTAAAACGCACATGCGTGTTCTTTTTATGTTTCTTAGAGGTTGAAATCATATCAAAATCTGCCAAACTTCTCATATTACTTCTGAATAGGATGTGTACTTCATAAATTGTATGAAAATTGTGGAAATAATGGTTCATATCACTCAAAACACATATGGAAATGGAGGCGGCCTTATATGGGCAGTAATGGAGTCTGGTTGTCATCTAGTGAAAAAGTTGGGTACTGCGCCCAAACAAAATCTTACTGAAAGCTCATTTTTTGAGATATCAACCTAAAATTTTAAACACAACTTGTTCAGATTTTTGGCTTTGATTTTTTTGCAGTTTTAGAGTCGCCCAGGTTTTGAAAATATGTATTTTATATAAAATATGAATAATTTTTTTTTTTTACATTGTACATTTTCATAAACTCAAACTTCTATAACTTTTTTTCTGTTTCACTTTCTTAATTTATTTCACTTCTACAAAAATCTGCCAAATGTCTTCTTTAAAACAAGACCAATCTTACGTCTATATTCCAAAGCATTCTTGAATTGCAACCATTTAAGTTCGAAATGTGCATTTTCATGTATATTCAAAAAAAGGGGGGTGACACTTAAAGGGTTAATAATTTTTGGCGCCACTGTATAAATGAAATGTCCATTTCTCCCTCTTCAAATATACTTTCTACTAATGACCGATTGATAGCCATATTAGGACGAATGTTATTAAAATTGGTCAATACAGCATTGTAGGCTACAAAAAAACAAATATTGTAAAGTAGCCATTCATAAGTTACCGTGAAGCCTATGACTACACCTAGTCACTTCATGAATTTGCTGAATAAAATAACTTTCTTACTATTTTTATTATATAGTAACCTCTTTATAAAAGCAGTAAACTATCACATAAACTATCACACTTTGCGAAGGTAGCTAGTTTTGAACATATACAATACAAACACATGTGCCAAATACTTTACTGTAATAGGCCAATTAAATTGTATTATAAGTACATTGCCATCAATATTGTAAACAGTTGTGCTGCTTCATATTTTTGTGAGAACCATGATGCCGTTTTTCAGGATTGTTTAATGATTATAAAGTTCAAAATAACATCATTTTAATAGAATTACTATAAAAAAAATTGTGTACAATGTATTTTTAGGTTTTGTAACCATGTAAAAGTCATTACTGTATCTTTTTTTATTAATTTAATGCATCCTTGCTGAATAAAAGTATTCATTTCTCCAAAAAACTCCGAAACTTTCATTTGAACAGGGTCACATGTGGAAGAACTCCTCGAAATGAGCAGCAGGGGACGCGCGAGGCTCGTGGGAAACTCCACATGTTTCTCTTTGTTTTGACTGAGAACAAAAGTAGCCGAACTCAAACTGTCATTGTGTGTCAGGAAAAACAGCCTAAACATGAAGAGCAGAGGACACGGGGCTCGTTCTGGAGAGAAGGTGCTCCTGTGACAGACTGCAGGCATACTGCACATGAGTGTGTGTGTAATATTGTGTGTCACGTCTAAATCAAGCGTGTGTGTGTGAGAGAGACGCGACCTTCACGGATCTGCGCGTGTCTGGAGTGACAGAAGAGGGTAAGTTTGTTTTTTAATAACGTTTTTATTATTTTTGAAGCACATTCATACTATAGTGTTTATATTGTTTACAGTGCATGTATTATAAAGTCCATTTAAGTGCAGCTCAACAAAAGTAGAAATTTAACATGTTTAACTGTTTATATATAAAGTTTAGCTACTGTTGATGGTTCATTAATACTGTTAGTGATTACACTTCAACACTAACACTGAATGTTTGACTAGCATTGATGTGAGGAGAATTCTGTAGGACATTATTAAACTGGGACCAATAAATGTTCAAATCAGTTTGTTTTGAGATGTAAAACTTACTTATTAATGTGTTTGGATAAAATGTGGAAATCAGCTTCCCTGAATTCATGCACTTTAAAAGGATAGTTCACCCAAAAATGAATATTCTGTCATCATTTACTCACCCTCATTTTGTTCCAAACATGTACATGTAAGTTTCTTTCTTCTGTTAACACTAAATATATTTTGAGGAATGCTGGTAAACAGAAAGTTGATGATAGCCATTGACTTCCATAGTATTTCTTTTTCTTTTCCGGAAGTCTGTGGCTAAGCCATCAACTGTTTACATTCTTCAAAATATCTTCTTTTGTGTTCAACAGAAGAAAGAAACGCATACAGGTTTGGAACAACAAGGGTGAGTAAATTGTGACATAGTTTTCATTTTTGGGTGAACTATCCTTTTAAGGTTTCTCAGATATTACTGCTTGTTCACTGTATAAGTCATTACAGTGGTATTCCGTGTTGCTTTTATATTATAGTGTATTGCATTGATTTAAGTGTTGCCAGCAGTTTGCATTATGATATTCCTTGCAAGGTCATTCTAACCTGACGGCTAAACCTTAATGTATTTCAACATTATATTTGATGATAATTCTGGTGATCTGAATGGATTGTATTTGTGCTTTCTTGTTAGAAATATTAAAAAATAATTCAATAAGCTTATCAAAATAAGATTAATGGCTCACAAACGGGAAACAAACTCCAGAGGAAATAAGAACTTTGCCAACATCTTTATCCTTGACACAATGTGTGTTATTGTTCCAGGATTTATGGAGATTAGATTACGGCTGCTGGCATGTTATAGAAGTCGTACAGATTGTTTCCAGTGCTTACAGTTATAAGTAATTGTTGTAGTGGTAGTAACCTGCAAAATTATTTAAAAGATAATCTGAATGTTTTTTTGATGCTACAGGTTTCTTGACAACATCATGAGACTGTGAGCTCAGTGTGGATCAGTTATGGCAGAAACCGACATCGACAAATCTCACCTGCCCGGTGTTTATGACGGTATGGGTTTTTCTGTTTTGCATCTTTACTTCTTTTGCTATCTTCTCAGCTATGCATGTTAAACGTGTCTGTGTAATTGTATTTGAAAAGGGAACCATATAAAAAGTGTTTTAAAATTGGTTCCATGTTGCAATGTTGGTTTTAACTCTTTCCCCGCCATTGACGAAATTTTCCCGCAGCCCATGTTTTAACTAGGGGGCGCTATTGCACATCTCCTGGAAGAGGACAGAATCTCCCAAAACAATCGAAAAAGAAGCAGAAGCGAGCGATTATGCATATTACTAATGCGGTCATCATATAAATCAAAACAATAGCGTTACCGAATTAAATGTCGACTCAGGAATCGGACTGTGAAGCTTTGTGGGTGTTGATGGACTCGATCTACTCGGCCTATGTTTTAATCATCGTTCTGAATCCGATCCGGACAAAGTCTTTGACAAAAATGCGATTTTATCAGCTTTTTGTTCAATACGCCCATATTCATGTGTTAAAAAAAAAAGAATGAATTAAGCTATAATTTTTTTAAGCAGAATTTCTGTTCTTTCTTTTGATATTGTTCAGATATTCATACAACAAAATATTCCGGGGCCCATGAAAGTTTTGTGAAAATGTCGCTGGCTAGCTAAAAAATTTAAAAAGCTGGCGGGGAAAGAGTTAACGATCAGTTTAAAAACCACAAGAAGTGATAATGTAGGACTATGAGCTATCATGGCATGCTTGATCTATTCTAGAAAACCTCAGATTGCTACCAGTAAGTGTGGTGTAAGCAGTGAGGTTTTTGACTAAGCGTACATTTACACGACAACGATGTACTAAAAACTAAAACATTTTTCCTTTGCTTTTTTTCGCATACAGACGACATTAACGTTGGTAAAACAAGAATTCACAAGAATCCGCGAAAGCGACTTAAAAACACTGTATTCTGCTGCCAGGGCAGTAGATGGCGATGTCACTTTGTGAAGAACTACACACCTATAGACTTTTTTTATTCATTTATTTATTTGTATTAAATGCTTGAAGAAGAAAAAAAAAACATTAACAACAATTATCATTATTGACAACATTACACACCTATAGACTGAACATACACATGCACATGACGTCACCGTTTTTCCGAAAATCGCGTTTTCTAAGAGCTTGCTGGACAAAACCACCATCTCAGTGTGGACAGAAGGACAAAAGAGAGAGGAAAAAGATGCGTTTTCAAACGAAAACATTAGTTAGGACAAGGTTAGAATACTATTCTTCATCTCAGCTACTGCATGCAGGAAGAAAATGCACTTGTAAAAACTATTTATGCAGCAAACTTGCATGTAATTATCCATAATCTTTCAGTTTAGTGAAAGGAAAAGTATTTAAATGGTATTCAAAAATGAAGGGCAAAACTGTCTGAATGCTTAATCAGCACCTGCTAATGTTCCTGTGCAGGTTTGCTGTTGTCTCAGATGTTGTTTGGCAGGGCTGCTGTTGTGTGTTGTAGGAGATGAGATCTGCGTTCAGGAATGTGATGTGAGACCGGACAGATCGAGCGAGAGAGAGAGAGAGAGAGAGTTGTGTGCTGCTGATAAGAGCTGGAGAGCATCTGTCCACACACTCGTCCTCTTATCTGCCCTGGATGAGCTCAAGAGCTTCCTAGCGTTCCTGTTTCTTAAACAGGATTTGGGTCGAGATTCCAATCTTCTCCCGATTTGGCCTCAAGCTGGAGGCAGGAAAGAGGTGTGAAGAGTTCAAGTGCAGGAGAATTTAGATTTACTGCTCACAAAGACAGACCTACAGTTTAGGTCAGTTTAATTCAAAAATCTGTAAACAAGAAGAACGCAGGAGGAACAGGAAAGTGTTTGGTTGTTCATAATATAAACCTATGCGTATACCGAGAAAGCAGACGAACTGTCTGTGCATGAAACGGGACACTATATAAACACCTACCCTGTGAGATGCCTACCCACAATGCATTTTTAGGCCTTATATGCGCTCCTGAAACTAACTGGGTTTTGAAGCAGAGCTTCTGACCTGTTTCTTTGAGTTCATGTGTGAAACTCCCTTAACTTCACTGCCGGATATTTATAGCTTCTGCTTCTGCTCCTCGTGCCAAATATAGACAAAGAAGTGCAGGAGAAAGTGAGTGATTGGAAGAGGAGAGCAGCATACAGGAAGAGACGCTTGATAGTTTCATGCAGGGGTCCCGATTACTGTCGTTACTCTGTTTTCTTTGTTTCTGGGACTTGAATAGCGCCATCTGTTTGTCCCGGGGGCCTCGGCTCAGCTGTGGGGGTCACGACACACGAATGGGGCAGACCACTGTCTTATCCCAACAAATGCACGCTTAACCACCCTTCATCCTTCCTCGGTCTCTTTAAGGGCTGACATTATTTATTCTTACACCATTCTAACAAAATTAGCATTGTTCACTTTTCACCTCCAGGTGGCGCTAATTTATTTGTCTGTCAGAAATATTTGCATTTAAAGCAAAAGTGCAACATTAAATCAGATACTTCCCTACTATATAGTATGCAAAAAACACAGAGTTGTGTCCGAATATTATTCATACTACCCCATATTCATACTATATATAGAACGCCCTCTTTTTTTAAATGTAAATTTAAATTCACTACCTACTCAAACAAATATGCGATTTTGGATGGCCCATAAGTGATTCCTAAATTATTAATGTACTCTTTTAATAATTTACTCATCCTCATGTCATTCTAAATTCATTTGACTTTCTTTTTTTTTGTGAAGAACAATAGCAGATGTTTTGAATAATGTTCACATTGTTGTTTTTATGTACAATAAAAGAATATAATGAGCAGGGCTTGATGAGCTTTAAAATTGTACCATAAAACCACATTACCATTTGAGATCAGGAAGATTTTTTTTTTTTAAAGAAACTTATACTTTCATTCAGTAAAGATGCATTAAAGTTATCGAAAGTGACAGCAGACATTTAATGTTACGGACGATTTCTTTTCAAATAAATGCTGTTCGTTTGATGCCTATTCATTAAAGAAGCTTGACAAATATAATATGGTCTCCACAAAAATATATTAAGCAGCACAACCTTTATTTAACATTGACAATAATCAGCAAATCAGCTTATTAGAATAATTTGTGAAGGATTATGTGGACTGAAGAGTAATGATGCTGAAAATTCAGCTTTGATCACAGGAATAAATTACATTTTATAATATACCAAAATAGAAAACAGTTATTTTAAATTGTAATAATATTTCACCATATTACTGTTTTTAAATAAATCAAATAAATGCAGCCTTAGTAAGCATAAGAGACTATTCAAAAGTGTTTTAAAAAATTACAGACCCCAAACTTTTGAACAAAAAGCCTCAGACCACTTTAAAGAATATTAACCTTTTTTTTAAGATTGAGGTAATTTAGGATTAAGTTTAATTTTCATAACTATTGCTACTTTTTCCCTCATCCTCAGCTGTGATTAAACAAATATTTGAATAATATTATTATTATAAAGGCATCAAAGCTGTTTCCATTGGTTTCAGGAATTGCACGTCACTATTTCTGGTTTAAAACCGGTTCTAACTTTAAGTTGCACAACATTGGCTCTTGTTATGCACAAAAACCCTTTCATGGCATATAGTTTAACTGTGAGTATGCCAACCTTTATGAAACGAGCTTCTGTCCTGAGAGTGCCCGTGTCAGCTTTTCCATGCCGGATCAGGGTGGAGGTGCCTACAGAACCAGCCGGGCTTTTTCCTAACCTTTTCTCTTTTTTGGTTGAGTCCATTTTCTTCTTGAGCACCAGTGCTGTTTACTAACAGAAGAGCATGACGGACTGATATAGGATGAGCTCACACTCGTGTGTGTATGTGCTTCATGGCAGTAGACAGAGTTTGACGAATGGACGCAGGCACATCTTTAGAAACGGTAAATCTAATGCAAAATAACCATTTTTTTATCTTGAGACTAGTCATTTTTTTGAGTTGTTTATAGAATCTTGCATACAGTATGTCTTAGTCATAGACTTCTTTGTTAGCATTTAATAGGTCTTTAAATATGTGCTACAGCACTGACAGATCTGTAATTAGACCTGTCTTATAATGGAGTGTCAGCTTTTATGACTCTGATGTTTAGCATGCTTGTGCAAGAGTTCGTGAGCTTTTATTAGCTCACTGATTTTTCCACGCTTACTTAAAGAGAGCATGAGACAGAGAGAGAAGGAGGGTTGTCATTTTATGTGTTTAATGTGCAGGGTTTTATTTGACCTTCAGCAGAGCCGTGTGTGTGTGTGTGTGTGTGTGTGTGTTTGCTTGGATGTCTTTCTTCAGGTTGCTATTGTTTAATAGTCGTTCAGTGGACTCCTGTCAGAAATGGCTTTTGAGTGAGCGGTTTTGGTCGTTCACATTGACACACCTCTGTAAGCTTTTTGGGCATTATGTGCTTTTCCTCTGAGCCATTGTGTTAAAGTTGTTGACCCAGTTGGCTTGGCAGGAGTTTTCCTGTTTTGGCCCCAGTGTGGCATTATTAGCCGATGGGCCAAAACATAAACCGGTCTTAGAGAATGAATTGCATGCACTGATAACGTTGTTTATTGGCACAAACTGTCAAGCAGGTCAATAATTGCACAAATATGCCACTCAAAAATTATTGAGTAATTCAATTTTTCAACTTAATTTGCACAATAACTTGCAGGCCAGTTCGAGTGCCAAGATGTGGAGGAGGATGCAGCAGATTATTACCAAGATAGACTTTACAGCATCACTGCAATCCTGACTCCCGAATCAGCTTTATTAAATGGCGAAAGTGTTTTAAATTATACCACATGTTGGGGTTGGCTTTAGCGATAGCTTTATTCCTGGTTCTAATGGTCTTCTTCATCATTTGATTCATTGCTACTGCCATTATCAGAGTTATTTTACTATTATTTATATACTATTATACCGTTTATAATCAAAATTAATTCGCTTTTTTTATAGGCTTTTATTAAAAAAAATCAGTTTTAGTACAGTAATTTTAGTGCTTAAATTAAATTAATTCAGTTAGTTGTCAAAGGCAACCTTTCTAATTTCCGTTTAGTTTTTTTTTTTATGTTTAACTTAAGTTCTTCATCTTATATTTATATTTTATGATATTTATTTGTATTAGTTTTGGTTTTAGTCAACAATAACAGCCCGTGAGGAATATACACAAAAGTGGTAATTTTATTTTTGCCATGCAAATAATGCAGCCTTTTCTCAAATAAAGTTATTTCAAGTTACCGGGTATTTCATTTTTGTGCTGAAAAGAATGACAGTGACTTTAAAGAAATGTGGCATTTTAACATGCAAACGATTGCAATTTATTTTGTGTCTTCACTCCTCCTGTGAAATTATGGACTATATTAGAATGAAATGTTTATAAACTGGATATTGCTAGCTCAAAAAAATCTGATTTAATGAGCCTTTTTTAACTGTAAATTGCATGAAATAGACAAATGTGTGACAGAACTTTTTTAATTTTAAGTTGCACCAATTAGACTACATTTTAGCAAATTAACCATTTTATTTGATGAGAGAATTGTGATTATTAATCAAATAAATGCATTGAACATTAGCATTGCTGTTGTCCCGTGTTATAAAGATTACAGTAATTTTACTGTGGTAAAATCCCTATAATTAAGCCTTTAATGACCTGTTAATTTAGTTTAACACTCTTGCCTATAATTTTGTGTTTTCCCCCACAGTGTGCCAATGTTTCTCTGTGTTAGAGGACGGCGCTCTGGCTCACAGTCTTCAGGAGCAGGAAAGTGAGTATAAGCATCTTCTTCCTGTAATCTTGCTCGTCCTCCTTATTTCACTGGGTTAAAATAGGCCTGATCCTGATGCAACTTTTTCATCTCAGTTGAGCAGTTTTACAGCACCAACATCCAGAAGAACCAGGCGGTGCAGGATGATGTTCGTTTGGCCCGGAGGCTTCAGGAGGAAGAGGAAGAGCGAGTGGATCTCAGCCGAAACCTGCAGCGGCTGTAAGATTCGTCAGGCCTCGACACACTTCCCGAATTACTCAGTCAGCAACATCACTAAACCACATTTACGATATGCAAATGACTATGTGGAAAACAGATACTTGACTCGTTGCGTAACTTGATTAGTTTGTATATTAACACAGGAATTCATGTTTGGCTTGAGAGTAAAACCAGCGTGACATGACTCAGGAGAGTTTGCTTTTACCACTTGTATGGTGGATGGACTAGGTACAAAACAGTTCAATAGTTTGGGGTCGATAAGACTTTTTTTGAAAGAATGATGAAAAATACAGTAAAAAATTGTGAGATATTATTACAATTTAAAATAACAGTTTTCTATTTGAATAATTTTTTTAATATAATTTATTCCCTTGTTGCAAAGCTGAATTTTCAGCATCATTACTCCAGTCTTCAGTGTCACATGATCCTTCAGAAATCATTCTAATATACTAATTTACTGAACATTTCTTATTATTATCAATGTTGAAAACAGTTGTGCTGCTTAAAATTTTTGTGAAAATCATGATACTTTTTTTCAGGATTCTTTGATGAATATAAAGTTCAAAAGAACAGCATTAATTTGTAATAGAAGCCTTTTGTATTGTTGTTATAAATGCTATTACTGTCACGTTTGAATCATTTAATGCATCATTTGTTGAATAAAAGTATGAATTACTTACTGATTAGTGTACATGATATTGCAACCAGCACAAAAGAGGACAGCAAAAAGCATATATTATAAATACCATATCATATATTGAATCCTTCAAACGTTCTGTCTGGTTTCCAGGGAGGAAGAGGACTGCAGATATGCACGGCTGATTCAGGAACAGCTCCAGAGGTGTGCTGAGGAGGCCAGGAGACGAGAGGAAGAGGACGAGGTGCGTTTCATCAAAACATAGACTGTAAAACAAGGTTGTTTATGGCTACCGTCAACTGTCTGGGGTTACCAACATTCTTCAAAATATCTTCTTTTGATATATTGGGGAAAAAAATGTTTTGGGTGAACTAACCCTGTAACTCTACAAACATAAATCCACTTTACCAGCTAATTACTCTTCGACGGCGATGTCATAGAAATATACAGAGCTACAGCAAAAACTGAAGTTCAAAGACAAAATTTTAAAGATGGCTGTGCGTTTATTTTGATTATGATTATCAGATGTTTGGTATCATAAATCTTGCTTCTTTAGCTCAAATAATGCTTAGAATCTGGTCCATGCTCATTCTATCTCTATCAGAAAGATGATTGGCACCATATTGAACCACAATACATTCTAGTGGTGTAACAATATATCGTGTCACAATATATCGCAATACAAAAAGGCAACAATATGTATCGTGGATAGTGATAATCTGTATTGTGTATAGTTCACTCAATATGAAAATTACTGTGTGAGAAAGAGTTTTAGTGTCAGTACTACATTAATTGCCTATATATAATGTTGAATACAATGTATAATAATGTAATGGGGATATGGGAATATTTGTGTGTCCTGAGTAAAAAGTGGCCTACATTATTTTAAATATATCTAGTGAGTGACAGAGTGCAAGCATATTCGTCTAAAATAATTCTGTATTTTCAGCTTCAGAATCATGAATATTTTTATTCTGGTGTCACCATTGTCCGGTTCAGTGTGTTTCCAGCACCAAATCCAAACCCGTTAATTTCCACCCCCAAAGTAAAACTAAAGTTAGCATTTTAATCAACAGTATAACAGTATATCAGTATAATCTTGGAATATCGTAATAATATCGTATCATGAGTTCAGTTTATCATGATATGTATCGAATCGTGACATGAGGGTATCGTTACACCCCTAATACATTCACCATATTGAACACTGTGATTTTTCCCATTCATTCCTATACAAATGGCAAGTGTTTTGTTCATTGCTCTGTTGTTAATCATCTGTCCACTCATGTTAAGCTGATTAAAACACCTGTGTGAGGTGGCGGTTGTGTAGAGATGCTTTTGCAGAGAGCAATAAAGGACAGAAAGAACATAAAAGATTGAAGAGACTGAGAAGACTGAGGCCCGAGTCGGATCTTGCACTCTCATGTCCATTGGCTTGAAGTATTCTTTTATGTCCTTTATTTAGCTGTTGGGCGACATTTCTGTCTCCTAAAGGAGCAGCTTTGTCATCATTGTTGTCAGGAGTGCTTTTTGAAAGTGTTCCCATGGCGATGTCTATGGTGTTTCTGGGGTGACGAGTGGTTTGTCACTGAGGAGGTGGACCCGCTCATCTGAAGGCCACGTCCCGCTGGGTGAACACTGAGCTTCTGTATTTGTGGAAAGACTATTTACAAGAGGCTTTCTGAGGCCATCTGTCTGGAGCCCGTTGGAAAAATGTCTTGAGGAAGTAATGGTCTATAGTAATTGGACTTATTTAAAGAGACATTAGCTTTGTTTCCATCCAAAGTTGCACATTTAACTTATGCTCAAAATTGGATTATGGCATTAAACATTTGTGAATTCCATCCCTTGTGTTCAAGAGAACAAAACCATCACCTCCTAGATAATTGGCGCTAAATATCTGTAATAAAAATAGTAGTTGTTGCAATCAAGAAAGAAACTGTGGCTCTTTTTTCAAAGTTCGAGTTCTGGGAGGTCATTATTCCCAACCATTTTGATGACAGACTTTGGCTCTGAATTTCAGAATGACCAAAACCACATTTTAGATGCTGTGCAATGTGATTGGTCTGCTGGTTGCTACAGTTATCCAATCACATCATCTAATGAGAGAAAGTCACCTGAGTTTTTGATGGGATTTGTGTTTCCGACATAGTTCATGCACGTCTTCTGTTAAAATGATCTGCCTCAAAAGAGGCGTGCGTATAATGTTTACTTTTAGTATTTATGCACATCTTGCCGTTTCCATCTAGGTAACCAGCGGGCTATGTTGATTCAGTATTTTTACAGTTTATTTGCGAGGTATTTTGAACGTGGTGTAAAACAGGGACATTTCCAGGGACAGGACGGCAAGAACCGGGACATGCTCCCAGAAAATGGCAATATCTTGTGATGTTTTTGTGTTTTGTTGTGGTTTGGTTTGGTTTGCAGCCTCTGTGGGAACGTCCATCAGCACCTGCTCTGTTTGTTAACTCTGGGTGTTTTTCCCCGATGTGGGCTGTAGTCGTTCTGCATGGACACCTGGTGTTGACTGTCCTTTCTGCCTAGTGGCGACAGTATTATTAGACTGCAAACTGAGCAGTTTAGTGGAGTGGAAGAGATTGGTACTGGTAATATCTTTCTGTATTTCTGCCAGCTTGTGAACAAAGTCTAGCAGTGTGAATGTACAGAGCTGTAGCTTTTTCTTATTCTGGGTGTAAAATCAGTTTTCCAGTAATGGCTAAATGTATCCATCTGTATCTTGGCAGTTTGGCAGTGTCTTGTTGTTCTTCTGACGATATTTTCCTAGAATGGCATCTTTATCTGAATGACCCTTGTCAACACTATGCCAGCTATTTCAAAACAATTCTCACTTCACAAGTCATAAAGCTCATAGTCCTCAAGAGCACAAAAGAGAAACACTATTGGCAAGTCTATTTAGATCACTATATTTAGCCAATTTTATATGCAAAAGTCAAGGTTAAAATCATAACTTATTGTCTGTCATGACAACTCTCTAAGTGTTTGGCATGATAATGGATATTGAATATGACAATGTTGATATGTTTCGTCCTGGCGGAATAGATCTGCTACGCTATTTTGGTGGTTGGTTTGTGTGTGCGGGCGTGTGTGTGCGCGCGTGTGTGCGCGCGTGTGTGTGTGGTACAAAAGCATGTTAGACACACACACATTCCCACTTGAGTTCTTCAGGCCTGAGTCGTTGGTGGGCCAGTGGGGCTGGGCATCAGAATGGAAACTCTTTCACCATGGTGCCGCACAATGAGAAATGCCTCACCGTGGTGCTGAGGGCATGTTGATTGTTATAACTTAACTACACATACTTTAACTCTTCAGTCTGTAGGACACAAGAAGTTTTGTAAACCCTCAGTCTTAAGTGCTGGAATACCCATGAGCCCACACAACTGCATCCTCTGATGTTGTGTGTTTATTTGTGTAGTCATGATTGCATTGACTTTCCCATGGGGAATTCTCTGTCTGTTTAAGAAATGCAGTAAAACCCCCTTCAGGGAACATCCAGACATCCCGTTGATTAAATATAAGGACTGTCTTGATGGACGATCAGTCAAATGATAACAAATGAAGTGCAGCCAAAATAAATCATTCTTTCATCATTTACCTTAAACTTCTCTCTGTTTGACACACAAAGAAGATATAGTGAATTAATAGTTTTTAGTTTATAGTTCTGTTGTCATTCTGTCCTCATTGTTCATACATATCTGCTTTATGGTTTATGTCCAAATGAGGGTGATTAAATGATTTTTTTAAAAATGGGTGAACTGGCCCTTTAATAGCGTGACTGTAGAGCCCAAACTTCCTTTTTACATTACTGTCCTCTAGTGGATAACTGATGTATATACTTTATAGTGTGTGCTTTTTGTCTCTTTTTCTTCCTTAAGGAAAACCACATAAGAAGATGAACGTCAAACTAAAAAGTACCTTACATTTAAATTGAATAATGGATTTTAAATGTTATTTTTAATGTGTGAACTCACATCCTGTTTTTTTTTTCTTTCTCTAATTTAGTTAGCCACCCATTCCTGTTGCTTAAGCTGTTGGTGTATAAAATTAAAATGGTTTCCTACTCTATTTAATTCATAAAGGATCACAAAACCAGGACAACAATGTCACATTACATGTCAGACCTGCATAGTACTAAATACAAATTTACCATGGTAAGCGTGGTTTCTGCCTAAATACTATTCATTTTCCGCCAGTTTATATTTCATGTTGACTTTTAAACAAATTTAGAAAACTGTTTAAACCCATATGAGTTTATTATGATATTTCTGTAGTTACAACGACTGTGGTTAATGTGGTATTTTGGCGGAAACTGGTTAGGATCAAGTGATATCCTCAAAGTCAGATGGTTGTTCTCCAAACTTCTGCTGCTCAGTGTGTGTGAACATTTATAATACAGTGCTCGTGTGCATTATGAGCTTTTCTTCCTTGACGTAAGTGTGTGAGGCCTCAGAAGTGAAGGGCTCAGGCGAGGTGTGTGTCCTGAGAAGCGTCTCTGTGGGCGTCACACGTAGAGTGTGTGTGTAGGTGTGTGTCTGTGTGTGAGCTGTACTTTCCACTGGTCTGGTCTGCTTGTACTCTGGTGGGTGTCACTCTGGTTTTTCGCACTGAACAAGCATGATGTGTTTCTGTTCGAGTGACTCCATGATGGAACTTTTACGGCCTACTCTGACACCTCTGCTGTGTGATCTTAACTCAGACCAGTGTGTGTGTGTGTGTGTGGTCTGAGGTCTTATTATGAATATCACCTCTCCTCCACCCTGATGCATTAGAGATATATATGTAGTTTGGCCGTTGTTAAGCCGCTACTGGCCTGTCAGTAAAGCCAAAATTCAATGTTAAATAATAATGAACACGGTTACTTAATGCATGTTAAGAATTAAAGCTAAATTAAAATTTATATTTTTTTTAAAACAAGACAAAAACATAGCAATATTACTAAAACTGAAAATTAAAATGAAAAAAATGAAATTGCCTGGTCTTATTTGTGAACATTCCCAATGGATGAATCCAAATCTCATATTTACTTCTGATATGCACTATTTCACTCGGAAATATGTCACACTAGGCGTGTGTTTTGTTATTTTCTCTTTGGCTTGCTCAGCTAGAGTTTCAAAGACTAGTAATATTAACTGCACTGACACCATCGGATGAGAACAAAACTATAATAATGACTTTGCGACATCAACACTTTTATTGAACTGAACTGAATCAACATTGAATTGACTTGAGCTGAATAACAACACTATTGTCTTCTGTAGAGCTCAAATTGAATTTGATACATAATTGATGAATTTTACAACAGTAACACTGTTATCTTCCTGTTTTATTCATGTGAATCTGCTTTGAAATCGTCTGTATTGTATAAAGCACTATTTAAATAAATATGACTTGACGTAATGGGCTATTAAAACACATGATGCATCAGTCGTTTTTATTATTGAATTTGTGTGTGTGAATTGTTTTCTGAACAGGAAATCGCTAAACAGCTTCAGGAAGAAGAAGAAATGGAGATGAGACGGCAGAGGGCTGATGCTGGTCACCATGAAAATGACTGTGTTTCTCCTCTATGTGAAGGTAAATGTGTGTTGTTAATGTAGATACATGCTGATATGTTGCACAACTATGTTAGGCTTTGGTCTTAAAAGCTGTTCTCCTTCCGTCAGGGTTGGGAATCTGGGAGCAGGTGCTTCAGGACGCTGAGCTGGCCCGTAGACTTCAGGAGGAAGAGGAGATGTTGCCTCGCAGAGATGTACGTTACATTGAACGCATTTTATTTGCTTACACACACACTTGAGGTCTGCTACTCGAACCGAGCCTGGTTTCGAACTTTTCATGGCTTTTCGTGTATAACCTCAGGTTTGCATAGGGTTCGGGACTAGTGTTACTTTGTTTTTGGAGATTGAATATCTTTGTGCATACGGAGCCCTTATGGGACATGGTGGTGAGGAAAAATAATAAGTCAATAATTGCGTTCCCTCGCAAAAACTTTTGTGTTCTTTACGAGGGAACGCAAAGTTTTGTTTGCTCAATCTTTGAATTTGACAGTATATGAATAAAATTGTAATTATTCAAAATAAATAGAAATGTAATGACAATGCCGTACTCTAAATAACTCACACCAATTAATTAATTTGGTAAATGAAATAAAATTAGATAAAAAAATTAAACTTAAAAAAACTTGACCTTAAAAAAACTTAGAAATGTTACATTAGAAATTAGAAATGGTGCTTTGGTAACTAACATAAATAAAGTAAGTTAAAGTAATAAACGTTTTCAAACTAAAAACAAATTAAAGCTAAATAAAAATATAAAAAATAATAAAATCATATAACAAAATTACTCAAACTTAAACTAAAATTTAAAATGAAAACTGAAAATATACAAATAAAAGCTACTTCAAATATTAATAAATACTATAATAGTATATAAACAATTTTAAAAACATGGTATTATAAAAATATTTTATGTCTTTTCGATACTCAAGTGAAACTCAAATAAGTTGAAGTACTAAAATTGCTCAAATATTTCACTTTTTTTTATTAAAAAGCACATCACAAAATTACTAAAAATGTAAATGAAAACTGAAAATATAAAAATAAAAGCTTCAAAATACTAATAAATATGATTGTAAATAAATAATTACTAAAACAAAATTTTAAGTTTGCTACTAAAACAACACGCATAGTATTGATTATTATGTCTTTTGTTTAGCAGTTTCCTCGCAGCTCTGGATCAGAGGTGGACTTCATTGCGGCTCAAGTAGCCCAAGATGAGGTAACAAAATCTTCAGGATAACTAGGATTACACTGTACAGATTGATAAAAAGATGTAATATACAGCTCCATATTTTCCTGGAATGGAGATTAACATCAAATGTCATACTTCTTGATTGTCAAACGTCTAAAGAAAGATCAGCAGTGATGATATAACTGTCTAACTGCTGGATAAATGCTCATCAGGAGATCGCACACTACATGCAGCAGCGCCATCAGAGAAGAGTCACCGACAGGCCACAAGACCTAGAGATCCAGACCAGACCAGCTGAACCAACAGATGAAGGAAACACCACAACCAGGAAGGTCTGAACGAACCCCATGAAAACACAACTGATTATTTTATTGATTTTATACAACAGTTGTGAAAAAGTAAAGCATGCAAACATGCAAAACAAACTTAATTTCCAATACACTAAAATAACATGGTGTAGAAACATTTTTCGCTCAGAAATTGCTAGTAAATTTCACAAACAGTTACAAAGAAACTGCAAGTAACACATTGAAATATTTGGGAATTTTTACAGCAGAAAAACTGAAATAGTATTTAAGCTGAAAGAAATCTGTAGCATTAAAGCACACAAATGATGCTTTCGCTTTGGGTGTGCAATATATATTTTGCAGACTTTCTCATTTATAGAGGACACATTACGGCCTTTGTCTTAAAGGGATACTCCACTTTTTTTGGAAATAGGTTCATTTTACAACTCCCCCAGAGTTAAACTGTTGAGTTTTACCGTTTTTGAATCCATTCAGCCGATCTCTGGTTCTGGCGGTACCACTTTTAGCATAGCTTAGCATACATCATTGAAGTGGACAAGACCATTAGCATTTCTAAAAAAAAAATGACCAAAGAGTTTCGATATTTTTCCTATTTAAAACTTGACTCTTCTGTAGTTACATCGTGCACTAAGACCGACGGAAAATGTAAAGTTGCGATTTTCTAGGCTGATATGGCTAGGAACTATACTCTCATTCCTGCGTAATAATCAAGAAACTTCACTGCCGTACCATGAGTGCAGCAGGCGTAATGATATGACGCAGCGCCTGAAAATAGGCTACCTTCCGTCAACACAACGGAACTATTTTTGAGTCTACAGAAGAGTCAAGTTTTAAAAAGGAAAAATATCGAAACTCTTTGGTCATTTTTTTTTTAGAAATGCTAATGGTCTTGTCCACTTCAATGATGTATGCTAAGCTATGCTAAAAGTGGTACCGCCAGAACCGGAGATCGGCTGAATGGATTCAAAAACGGTAAAACTCAACAGTTTAACTCTGGGGGAGTTGTAAAATGAGCCTATTTCCAAAAAAAGTGGAGTATCCCTTTGATTTTGTTTTTGGGGTCTACTAGAATATTTTCATGTATGAATGTTCAAAAAAATTTCTTTTCCCATATTCTCCATTATTGCAGCTCCTCTCTTTCCAGTCTGTCAGTAACGCTCTGTTTAGTTCCTGTCTCTATGAAGCCCCTCCTTCTGTAAAGCACAATGTGCTCTGATTGGTCGGCTGGAGCAGTGTGTTGTGATTGGTCAAGCACTTCGAACATGTTTAGGAAATTTCCCGCCCCTTATCATACCCACCAGTTTCAACACACTACTTACTAACTCAACCAGGCCCCGCCCCTTTATTCTGCATATGCCTTGGGCAGGAATTATTTAAATGAGGAATATTGTGACGTGTTCGTTCCCGGAAGAAAACTCAAGACTACAATGGAGCGTTTCAGGGAGTTCAGAAACACTGACACTGATATAGAGAATAACTTTGTGCTTTGTAACTTTGCAGACCTCAAACCGCAACATTACACACTAAAGAGAGTTGAATATGTAAAAAAAAAAAAAAAAAAGTATAACATGACCCCTTTAATTCATGGTGTGGATAGACCTTTCATTTGTAATTTGGTGTAAATGGACATATTTCAGGCCGTGTTGTCTTTAATTTCAGGCTCTTCAGATGCTGCGAGAGAGGCTGAACTCAGACGGACTGCATTCGCCAGTGGAAGAGGAAGACTACACCATTGAAAACCATCCAGCAAGCCCATCATGCACTGCACTGTAAGTCACACATTCCTTATCACATCCACACAATCTGCCATTTCTCAAGAACGCCCTTCAACAGTTACTGTATCTTTGCACCTTGTTTATCTCTTTTCAGCCGAAACCAACACATACACAACATTGCAGAGGAACTGGACCCAACGTTCAAGGCTAGGAAGCGTGAGAGCCAAATTTCCACCAGCCCCCCGTCAGGTACAAATGCATGTTTTATAATATGGATGTTCAGTAACTGTATTTGTAGTACATCAGCAGTCATTTCCTGTTTCCTCAGCAGGTTTGTGCTTGGCCACTCGTAACCCGCACAGTATCTTTTATGACTATTTACCAGAACCCACCTTCATACCACCAACTAAACGGCAGAGCGACAAAGCAGGACGTCACAAAGCCAAAGACAAGAAAGAGAACTGTAAACAACAGTGAACGTATGTTTAACTCAGTGCTGTCTCTTAGTTTTCTTTTAAACTGAATAAACAAGTATTGTATAATCAATTTTATGGACACAGATTTTATAATCTGTTGTTAGACTGAGTTTATAACTGGTGATTCTCTAATGTTCCATTCATGCACTCTTATAAAAAGGTTCAATGGGGTTCTATATAGAACCCTATGGTTCTTGGCTCAATTTGAAAGATCTCTTTATGCCAGAAAGGTTCTATATAGGTAAATTATTTCATAATACTTCATTTTTTTCTTGTGATAAAGGATATTTACAAGCTGTTTAATTCATAACATTTAATTGAAATGAATGAATTAAAACTAAATATATTCAAACTAAATCCATAAAATTATCCCATGATGGAAACCCCTGAAAGGTTCTATATATGAAGTGCCTGACAGAACAATTTAAGGTTCTATAATAGAACTGACAGAGCACCTGACAGAACACTTTAAAGGAGAACTCCGCCGCAAAATGAACCTTTGGTCTAATTACACATTGTTACCTAGTCAACCGTTATCTGAGATTTGTTTTCATGATTATCGAATGTAAATAGTTTTATCTCTAAAAACAGTTTAGCCTATAAAGCTAGTATAACGCTAGTATATTGGGCATAGTGTAATGACAAATAAAAATCGCTTGTTAATACCACTAACAAGGCTCAAAATAGCCCCACACTAGCACGGTAGCATAATGAGGGTCCCTACCTTCAAACCGAAGCATTGAGAACTTTGTCAGTGTCCAGACAGTTTAATAAGAAGATATTTTATACATACAGTCAACTTCGCGTATACAGGCAGAAGCCATCTTTGAAATACAGTCTTTACCAGTCGATCTACGAACGCCGATCCAAGCCTACTGTTCGCGCTCACCTTATCACAACTTATAGCTCGTTCACATCTCACCAGCGCACTTGGATCGGCGTTCGTACGTTGTGTAGGTTCTATAGGTTAAGGTTCTATAATAGAACTGACAGAGCGCCTGACAGAACACTTTAAGGTTCTATATAGAACTGACAGAGTGCCTGACAGAACACTTTAAGGTTCTATATAGAACCCTTTCTTCTAAAAGTGTGCAGCTTGTAAATGGAACGACACTTGAAGTTGGTTTTCCAACTGCGATTTCATCCTGTTGTTAAATGACAAAACACAAACATGACGGCAGCCAGGGAAATGTAATGTGCATAGTTAATGATAAACACTCGCTTTTAATCTATCAAAATACATTGAGTCAAAGGTCCTTTATTATATGATGATACAAACACTGTCGTTTTTTAAAATCTCCGTTGTTATGAATATTAGCATAGAGGGCTGCAGGGACAGTGTATTATTGTAGGCCAAAACCAGGAAACGAGTTAACATTCAAGTCAATGGGGTTTTTTAAGGCATGAAATAAGGTCTGTTGTTAAGGTCGGTCACGTTTTATTCTACGACATAAAATACATCATTAATGTGATTTTTGAAAGCTTTTACTTATCTTGAAAAAGGCAGTTGCTAACATGTGGCTAAATGGGACTACAGAGGTTATCGGAGACATTAAACGGCATTAGACTGGACAGGTAAACTCATCTTCTAGCCTCATGGTTTATAATATAAAGTTGTTCACTTGTGAAGATTATCATGATGAACAAAACATGTGAGAATCACAAACTTTTGTTGGTCACAGACCTTATTTTCTGCAATAATCCAAAAATCTTATTGCGTTTTGTCAATGCGAATTTACGGTTTGCACTACAGAAATACGACATCACTGCAGCGCTCTATTAGTGATGCTTCACAACTTTGTTGACAATCAAACACCTGCTAAGATAACACTCTCCATGTGTTGGGCAATAGATCGTTTTTATGGACAGAAGTTGGAAATATCACGTGTAAATACTGCAAATCTGATTTTGGATGGAATGCAGCATAATCTCCGATTGTAAACAAGACTCGGATGGTTACATTGTGATAGAAGAATGAATATATCATTTTTTTTAACCTTCAGGTATTTGCTTATATGAGTCATTTAATGTACATGCAGTTGAATAACATCTTTGTTAACTAAAACAGGTCACATGGAAAAAAATAACACGAGTTAACTGAAGGATAATACACTAGAGACCTGTGATTTTATGTTTGTGAGAGGGATATAGACGTATTATTGCTTCACAATAGCTTTATTTCACAGCATTTTCAAAGGGGTTTAGTCCACATTTGTTTGTTTTTAAATTTGTGTTCCTCATTTTCACTTGTAAAAAAAAAAAGAGCAGCAGCTCTGTGTTTAATGGTGTTGCGAAACGGGATTCTAAGGCTCAGAGGTCAGAAAATAACCTGAGATGTCTTTTACCAGAAAGATTCAGGGTTTTTGCAGTTGGAAATTTCAGTGGATTTAAAATAATGCTATGCAGGGGAATTCGGATGGTGTTGAATTAAAATATCAAACGGCGTCACATCCTGACAGCCTACAGTATTTCAGTGCGGAGGTCTCTGCTCCCCCACACACACTGTAACCTTCTGTGCATGAGCACCGTGCGATGACATCACCGCATCAACGCCTCCCTGTTCTCTAAAGGGCAACTGAACTTCTACAGTTTAAAGGTCTCATATTTGAGGATTTCCTTTTTTTTTTTTGTGTGTGTTAACATCTTATGTGTTTTCATAATAAAAGTCATCTGAGCACAATGATTTCGTACAGGCTGATTTATTATCAAACATAAAAAAAAAATTCTCAAATTTCCCTTGAATACAACTTTATACAACTTACAACCTGAATGAGAATTTATTGATTCACAACAGAACAATGTTATAGATCAGGATTTCTGATAAAAAAGAAAAAGAAAATGAATCATAAAAAAAAAAAAAAAAATTGTTTACCTGAATGACTATTAACCAACATCAGAGAACATTGTTTAATTATTTAAATATATAAAAACAAAGAGGTTTGGCTGACAAAAAACAACAACTACATTTACTACATTTGCCATGTCGTCATGTGCGTTAGTTATGTCCATTTATGTTCACTGCCGATCATAAATCCTCTCCCGTGGCCTCGTGGGATAGTAAAGTGTCCATCGTACACACACTTCAGAATCTCACCGGAAGTACGGTGAGATCTTCTTCTTCATCTTCTATTTCACCTTCTATATAGTATGTGATTCCTGATGCAGCCGAAATTGGCAAAATTACAATAATGTATTAAACAAAAATGACCCATAATATTTAGTCAATCTCATGTACCTCTCAGGGTGACACTTAGGGTCAAACCTTCTCCTTAAGTAAACCAGTACAACATGTATTCCTTTAGAACGTAGGAAAATACGAGATCAACAGCACAGAAAAATCTCAAATACCTCAGCTGCTTTAATGGCTACAACATGTCACTGGCATCATGATTTACATTAGAATTCAGTAAATAAATTATACATTACATCGAAACACAATATACATATCCTCAATATACACAATGATGATTTGTGCTCCCAGCGTTCATGCCTCTAAAGGCCCGATGCTCTGCGAGAGCAGTGAGTCTATGGAGCTCTGACTGCTACTGCCGTGCTCCTGCTGAGGAAAACAGAAGCTGAGCTCTTCAGGAAGACTCGTCGGAGGCGGTCCTCCTGCGGGTCGGAAGACACACAGAAAAGCATGAAGGTACGGAAACCCTTAAACATGCAGAAGTAAAGACAACGGCAGATGAAGTTTACCTGGTTGCTTTCTTTCTTTATGGGTGACCTTTCTCCTTCTCCACTCCAGGTAGAGGATTGTAGCAAGAGGTATCGTTACGCAGATGAGCCCGAAGATGATGAGAATAACCGTGACCTCTGTAGCAAAGAGCAACAATGAGCGAATCACTTGAAAATGAGCTTTAAAGATGCCAATGGAAAGAAAATGTGAGTTTTAGCCTTTCATACATATACTCTAAAAAATGCTGGGCTCTTTTAACCCAACTTTGGGTCAAATATGGACAAACCCAGCCTAATTACATTTTTAACCCAACATTTGGGTTTGTCCATATTTGACCCAAAGTTGGGTTAAAACAACCCAGCATTTTTATAGTTCATGGACATGACCACTACAAGTTATCGGCTCTTTTTTAATTGAAATGTATTTAATTGAACATCAAGTTCAAAGTTTGTGTGTGGGTGCGTGCGTGCATGTATGTATATGAATTCTAAAAGGTCAAATGCATGAAACATGTAGGGCCGCTTCCCATAATCTGAAATAAAGACCACTTCAGGGTGTTTAGAAACTCCCTGTGATGTCAGGGTCATCAGTGAGGTCACTATCATGCCCACAGGTTTATATTTCTGTCATACATACTTTTCTCTGCATCATTGTACGGCAACACTGTTGGTTTGGTCTGTGGTTTAGGGCCACAGATCACATCTGTAGATGAACTTCCAGGAACAATTATTTGACGGTCAGGCGTACATCTGTGGGTTGAGAGATACATCTTTTGAAATGGCTTGTAAAATGTGGTTTCATCAGCCTGGAAATGTTTTTAACAGGCAGATCGATATCAGAAACAATGTGAGAGGCATCATACTTGGTCCAGTTCACGCAGGGCTGATGGATCTTGTCATTGTACATCCGTGGAGGACACGGCTCACACTTGCCTAAATTCATACCAGAAAGACATTGCAGTCAGATGCATATTACCGTAGTTAATAATATAGAGACTGATCAATTATCTTTATCCAGATGTACCTCTTTCAGCAGGTTGCTCTCCCTTCTCACAGTCTTTCAGGCAGTGAGAGCATTCGTCATTTCCACATCGATATCCTTGTAAACACCCACAAATTGTGTTTCTGCTGGCGGTGCAATTCTCTTTCACCCGCATGCCACCTGTTTTTGATATTTTGATATTTGGTATTATTCGGGCTTGGGTCATTATTGGGCTAGTTTTTACTGGCCATTGTTTTATTACACAGACCGACAACCCTGTCGTCAGCTACCCAGACAGCAACATAGTGTCGGGCCAGATCCAGCCCACATCTGGGCCGTGTGAAATCAACATGTACCGGATCTGGACCAACACTATGTTGCTATGCCACTATGTCTGGGTAAGGGCAGTTTTGGCATATGTATGGTGATACTCAGAGCACTTGAATAAAAAAAAAACATAATGAAGAAGTCTTTAGCATCAGCAAAAATGGGAAAGAAATATATAGAGTATGCTGTACCTCCTGTACACTGTTCACACCTCAGACAGCTCCATCGGATTGCGTCAGTGTTTTCGATGGGGATGAAGTTGTCAGTTTCACAGCGAATACACAGATCATTTGGGTTTGGACCGCATTTACTTTTTAGACGGTGTCCTGCAACACACACACACATACAGTTGGATTAGAAGTCTGAGACCACATTCAAATCTGAAAAACAACACACCTTGAACACAGTCTACGTCCTCTTTAGATGTGTCCTCTTTTTCCTAAACCTTAAAGGGACAGTTCATCCAAAAATGAAAATGCTGTCATCATTTACTCCCCCTCATGTTGTTCCAAACCTGTATGAATTTATTTCTTTGCGCTGAACACAAAAGAAGATATTTTGAAGAATGTTGGTAACCAAACCAAAAAAATACTATGGAAGTCAATGTTTACCAACATTCTGCATTCTCCAATCCATTCTGCATTGCAAAACCAATGAAACCTTGTAATGTTAAATGAATGAGAAGTATTTATTTGACTAGTCGTGTGATTTTGTACAGATGAACCTTGTGCAATGAAGGTAGACACACCAAAAGCATGTTTACTTTTCAATTGTTGACTATAATAGATTAAATACAAAATGCAACACAGAAGCATTTTTACAAGTGGACTTATGAACCTCACTCTATAGACGACATCCTACCGGTGAACATTACACATTGCACAATAATCAAATGGAAAGTAATGCGCTGTGCGGATGAAAGCAGCTGTTTGTGTGTTTTTTTTTTTAAATCACATGATCACACTTTATCATGAGGGGAAACCGAAACGCACTTTATATCAGTGTTCATGTGAAAATACTGTGCTAAGTGAACAGTTTACATTGATATTTGTGCTGTCGCTTGATAACATTGTTGTAAATAGCTATTATAGCGATTTCAGTTTTGGGGTTTAGTCATTTATTCCAAATTCATCTATCACAAATTTATAACTGTGAATTCAATTCTTACATCTGAGCTTCTCAAGCCTCCATGTATGTAATATGCAACAACGATAGTTACGTATATGATTTTTATTTTTTTTATTTATTTTTTTTCCATTTCCATTGATATTTTTGGTGTTGTTTAATAACACATTGTTATTAATATTATTAGAGTAATAAAATGTGGTAATGTTTAACAAAATGATCAATTTCCATTGATATTCCATTCGAGACAAAACCCTGGCATCTTTCGGCTTTCTTATGTAAACCTTTTTTTTCAGGTTTTTACTTCACACAAAAAAACGAACAATAAGCATAAACCATTGTTTCTCAAACCTTTCTGAACCAATGGCCCCTTTTGACCCCAGCTTTTTGCAGACCTAAATAATAATAATAATAAAAAATCATCCTACCCACAATCCTAATCCTTACTATGGAAACAGGAATCTCACACACTCCTACAGAGCACTGTGTATTTAACTATAAACTTAGTTATAATATATTGTATCTTGATACTTGTACCCAAAGTTAAAGTCAAGATCTTTATTTTTTGTTTTGCTGTTTGTTTTATTGTTACACACTATTTTGATGAGTTTGAGAAACATTGATGCAGACAAAACAGATGTTATATTTATAATCATTTTATCCCAGAGTTAAGTCCTTTGCAAAACTCACCTGGAAGGCACTTCGTACAGCACACTGTTTTGCGATCGATAATGTCGTTACTGTTGTCCCAGAGCTGACATCCAGATTCCCCGCTGTGTCCTTCAGCCAGAACCAGGACAGCCACCGCCAGGATCAGTCCATAGAGCAGCTCCATCCTCCACAACAGGTCCTTCTGCTCTCACACACACACACACAGTTCTCTGGAAGATGCTGAGAATAAAGATCTCTAGTGTGCTGCGTCTAGGCTATACAAAGTCTGAAACCCTCACACGTGAAACCACATTTGTAAGTTCCTAAACGTCATGAGTAGGCTACACCCACATCCACACTCACACACAGACGCACTTAGTGTCTGACAGTGACTCGTCAGCTTTCTGCAGTTTCTTTTTCATAGATAATGACGATGATCCACTTCTAAAGTGCAGGGATGTCCCTTCCTTCAAATCTGAATAATCAATTTCATTTCTTAGAGAGGAACCACAACCATTGTACAACATATGCCAATTATTATTTTTTAGATACATTTTATATCGGGGATAATAATGCAATGATTACACAGGTCCCACTCTATATTAAGTGGCTTTATGTACTTAAATGGAAAAATACAATGTACTTATTGCATTGTAAAACACTTTTGCTGCTATCGAGGTGTGATACGGGTAGGGTCAGGGACAGGTGTGTGTGATATGGGTCGGTTTAAGGGTGGCTTAAGGTGTAAGGGAAGGGGCAACAGTGTAATTACAAATGTAATTACATAAATTAATTACAGCTGTAATTAGAAGCAGGTATTTTCAAAATATAAGTACAATGTAAAAACGTACACAATAAGTCTATTGTATCCAATTATTATTTTCAATGTAAGCACATAGTACTTAAAGTGGGACCATTACACATTTACAGTTACAATCCACTGTATTTTCAATATTTAAAGGTGCACTATGTAACTTTTGGCCCTCTAGCGGTAAAAAAAGAAAGAACATTGTTTTGGTTGTGCTTCGGCTCTGCGTGACTGTGCGGATGAATATGATTATGCTACTGCTCATATTCACTATAGGTGTAAGAGATGGAAAGGATCTCGAGCTGACTAGCTGAAGACTGTAGCTTTACCCATTATAGACACGGTACATCCTTGAAAATATATTCCAGCACAGATAATGAATGAGCCTTCACCATAATGAACTAGATATGGCAGTTTATCTGTTCAATAACACACTTACTCTCCTGTTGAGTATTAAAAACACCATCATCTCCGCATCGCTTTTACAGCATTTCAGATCCCTCAGTTCTCCATCTCTGAAAAGCCGAGCCGATGTTGATTCTTGTTTTATTACGAGCTCTGTCTCGTTCTCTTTTCTCCAGCAGACTCTCCTCTTCGGTGTTTGTTTAAAACGGGGGATTCTCCGGAGGTTGGAGATTTAGCGGCTCCATGTCAACCTTTCTTGTTCTCTGACCTCTTACATCACACACACACACACACTCAACTAACCTCTGACCTCTCACACCAGACACGCGTCAAAGCAGCCGGAGTAACTTTACTCTATTTACGAGCATGTACGCAATTTCCCGCGAAAACCATCCCAACATCTCTAAAATATAGTCCCAGACTAATGCATGTTTGAGCTGTTTTAACTGAAAGCATCTTGCACTGATATATCTTAAAATATGTCACTGCCATTGTTGTGTCTCAAGATGCACACCAGTAATGTTTTTATCTAAGGCACATTTATAAGAGCTACTTAAATGTGAAATGTGAACTTGTGAAACCAGGCCATAAACACTTATAATAGGCTTACAGTTAATCAGGATATGACAAACACGTTTTGGGAAGGAGGATTGATGATGCATTAACTCATTATTTACATTTATTTTAAACGAAACAGTGTACCTTTACATTTGTTATTATGTCACATAAAAAACAATTTTATACTTGTGGAATTTTGTTTAATCTTAGCAGCCTATCCAGACAGGTCTAATGATTTAAAATCAACATGAAATTAAATTGGATCCTATTGACTTTTTTAATACGCTTTCCTAATCTTATATTGATTGATTGATCAGTGCACATTATTCCAAAGGATAAAAAAACCTGCTCCTCTGAAACAACTTTCCTTCGCAGCTGATAGACGTTCGGAAGTAAAACGGGCTGCAAACTATTTCATGATGACTTATGAATAATTATGACACATAATATGAAAGCATATTTGAATAGAAAGAGCCAGTCTCTTATATTCTTTGTGGTATTTGATTTTATAAATGAATGTATATATTAAATGGTAGGCAGCATGAACATTTGACATTAACATTCCCTTTTCATTGAGAAAATATGACAGTTCATACATCATGAGTCCATCACGTGTAAATCAGGCATATATTAATAGACTTGTTCTTCAAGTGTGACATCATTTCTGATGAATATTTATTCTCATTAAGCAAGAAACTCCCTTTGTACCTGCAGCCCTGCTTATTACAGTAACATTTACATATTTAAATATGTGGGAATTATTGTAACACTGTTGATGTCATTGTGTGGGGTTTCCTGCATAACTTCAGTGCTCCTCCTCACTTCTATGGCTTCTGAAAGGAGACCTCCATGGCTCCCTCTGCAGGCCGAAGCTGGAAGGTCTGAATCCCGGGGAAAACACGCTGGGCATGTTCCTCAACAGTCCAGACTTAACATCATCGTTCCTCTTTTTCATAAGTGCCAGAGCTGGAGTCAGAGGCAGATTATCACAGTTCTGAAAGACAATAGCACAGGGTCATTTCTTAGCGTTTTAAAGGTATATCACACGATTGAGCTTTAAAGGGATGGTTCACTTTGAAATTAATTTTTGGTATGTTTTAGCTTACCTCAAGGGCATTCAAGATGTAGGTGTCTTTGTTTCCGCAGTAGTTTCAATTTTGATATTTTTAGGTCAAACCGTTCTTGTCTGTCAGTCATATAATGCAGGTCTATGGTCACCACCTCAAAGAGCATGCACAGAGAAGTCCAAATTATACATGATTTAATGACTCGTAAATGTAAGTACACATTGATGGCCTAAGACACGAAACGAGCGGTTTGTGTGAGAAAACGAACAGTATTTATATCGTTTTTACCTCGTGTAAACACAGCCACGTCCAAGTGATCTGAGGGCGCCGGCGCTTCGGTCTGTGTTACAAGAGGTAAAAACGATATAAATACTGTTCGTTTTCTCACACAAACCGCTCGTTTCGTGTTATAGGCCATCAATGTGTACTTACATTTACGAGTCACTAAATCATGTTTAATTTGGACTTCTCTGTGCATGCTCTTTGAGGAAGTGACCATAGACCTGCATTATATGACTGACAGACAAGAACGGTTTGACCTAAAAATATCAAAATTGAAACTACTGTGGAAACAAAGACACCTACATCTTGGATGCCCTTGAGGTAAGCTAAAACATACCAAAAATTAATTTCAAAGTGAACTATCCCTTTAAATACTCCAGCTTTGTGTATGCCTTTTTGTCGATTTCCAGATATAACATGACTCTGGAAATGTGCATAAATAAATTGAAATGCATCAGAGTAAAATGCACTTCATAGTAGAAAATATAGGCTTCAGTAAAACTGCGACTGTTTTTCTAGGACAATAAACTTCTGATTATGCATAAACAATATAAAGATATTTGCACAGATGATGGGCTTACTGTTTAAAAGTTTGGGGTCTGTAAAAGTTTTATTTTTTTAAAGTCTCTTGTGCTCAACAAGGCTGTGTTTATTTGATTAAAAAAAAACAGTAATATTGTGAAATTTAAAATAACTGTTTTGTACTTGAATATAGGCTACTTTAAATGTAATCTATTCCAGTGATCAAGAAACATTTCTCATTATTATGTTGAAAACAGTTGTACCAGTGTTGAACACAAGTATTCACAACACAAAAAGTCTTTTGAACAGCAGTGCACTTTTGAGACATTCAGGTGTGCATTTTAAATCTAGATTTTTACATTTAAATTTGACAAATTTTCTAGGCTAGTGTACATTGATTTACTGCAAAACATTGGGACAACACTGAGAAATGAGTAATGTCATAATTGACAACATGCCACAAATGTGTTTCATAGAAATTAAATTCAAAATAATCATGTTCCATTAATATTGAATAAAACCTCAAATATCATGGAAACATTAAACATGAGCATTATATTTTATGGCTTTTTTAGGGCTATATTTATGCCCTAAAACATACATATATGTATGTTTATCTTTTTGTCCCAACAGCTGCCAAGTCAACTGCATATAAATGATAAATCTCAATCCGTCTTACGGTGGTTCGAGCGCTTGATGCCGTGTCTGAACGATGTAGATTGAGCTCCAGTGTGGATTTGCTGATGCCCGGCGTTGGGTTTTCTGTCCTAGTCTGTCCTAAAGAACTGCGACGTGAATTGACCCGTTTAAGAATGTCACTCAAAGTGCTGAAAGTCTTGCTCCGGGAAAGATCTGACGGTTTCTGTAAAAGAAAACAAGAATGAAATAAGGGCAAAATGGCAAACAACATCCCTTAACTATCCTATGGAAAATGACTGTAACAACAGCCTCGAGTGGCTTTGCTTTTATTTTTTTCAGCAACATGAATATTTTTTGGGTTTTATTAAATACCAAGGTGTAATAGTGTGTTTTATTTACGATAAAGCACAGAAATGACCGTTTCACTGAACAGATCTGTGTATCACTGCGCTCCACCCATATGAACATAACAATCAATATAGGCCTACTGTCAAAACTATTCCATGTACTATTGCCGCAAAAGTAACTGTTTATTAGTTATACTAGTGCAATGCCCGTGCAAAATCAGTTTTTGTGTGTTTTTAGTAATTGTTGGTTTGGTATGTTTGAGTTGCTTAATAGCCTAGGCTACTATTACACAGGAGCCTAAACTCTGAGAAAACGCTAACGTTAAGCGCACCAGAATAAAATATAATTTTCAGAATTAAACAGTGTAGCTGACTTACAAATTCAGTTAAATCGCTACTTTTTCAAAAATGAATCGCTACTTTTTTCAAAAAGAATTGCTACTTTTTCAAAAGTGAATCGCTACTTTTTCAAAAATGAATAGCTACTTTTTCATAGTTCTTTACATAGTTTTTCATAGTTCCATACATAGTTTTTAAACTATGTATAGTTACATTGTAATTAACGTATAATAACACTGTAACAAATGTAAAATTACAATGTAATAAACGTATAATTACATTGTAAACAATGTTTAAAGCTGCAGTCCGTAGCTTTTCCTCTTTGTCGCCATCTCTCTGTTCGAAATCTGTAACTGCAGTGATTCGCGGAATTATCATCTTTACGTGGGTTGTAAATCGGCATGAAACAGCGTGGATGAACACAGTGCTTTGAGGCGAGTGCTGCTGTCAGTCACCGCGCTGTGTGGATACTGTCATACAGAATCACAGATTCACTTTTTTAAAGTTTGACCAACATTAGAATTTTCATAAGAAAATGTCTTCTGAACAAGTAAAATCCATTTTTGTTCTGACCAACTAAGGGGGAAAAAGCATTCGACATGATAAGCTTCGTTAGATTTAATCAACGCGATTTACAGCAACCGTGCAAATTATAGCCTACTTTGTTCTCAAATTGTTCATGTTAACAACATCAGCATTGCGTGACTAATGTTAAATTTAATGTGTTTTATGGTTACCTGTGTAGTTCAGAATTCATATTCTCCATAATAGCAAAACAAGAAAGGCACAACAAAGGAAACTCCATAACTGTGTGAATTAAGAAAACGTACTGTTACACGATTGAACTATTGAAATGTCTTACTTGTTCAGCAGAAAAAAGCCGTCTCTTCTTCCGTTTCGAACCCCTTCAAAACACGGAGTTCACGCACTTTTCAAAATCCCTGCCGATGTTTAAATCCTTGTGTTCGCATGAGACGGTTTCTTTCTCTTTCTCTAGCCACCTTAAATCCGAAGTACGAAGTCTTTTGGGTTTTATAACTGCTGAATCTCCAGTTGACACTGATGATTGTTGTTTGGATCTTTCTGGATGCCATAAGTTTAATTATGTAAAGTGCTGCGAGAAAAGCCTATACATCGAAACATCTCGTCACGCGCAGTATAGCCGGCTAGCCGAAACTCCTTCTTTATGTGTACGGGTGTGACGTAATGACGCAAAGACATGCTCGAATTTCCCGCGGAAACCCACCAGTACCACTGGAATTAAAATCATTATTACAAGCTAACCGTTTTGAATCTAGCTATGGCAAGCAGATAGTTTTGACCACTGGCAGAATAAGTTTTTTTTTAATATAATTATTTTGGATTATTTTTAACTTAAAAAAGTTACGGACTGCAGCTTTAATAAGACTAACAAATGTATAATGACTTTAGAATTGATCATTTTTCAAAAAGAATCGCTATTTTTTCAAAAAGAATAATGTAACAAAATAATAATGTAACAAATGTATAATGATGATAATGTAACAAATGTATAATAACACTGTAATAAATGTATAATTACATTCTATTAAACGTATAATAACACTATAATGTATAATTACATTGTAATAAACATATAATTACATTGTAATAAATGTATAATAAGACTAACAAATGTATAATTAAATTTTTTACACTATTTCAAAAAGAATCGCTACTTTTTCAAAAAGAATAATGTAACAAAATAATAATGTAACAAATGTATAATAATAATAATGTAACAAATGTATAATAACACTGTAATAAATGTATAATTACATTCTAATAAACTAGGGCTGTTTTCGACTAAGGATTTTCATAGTCGAATCTGATTCGTTAGATTTTGCCGTAGTCGACTGATAGTCGAACCTTTTTTTTTTTTTTTTTTTTATAGCAGTTAGACGTTCGGTTGAATAACTGTTCGTCTGTTATAGGACAACTCGCTCTACGTTTATTTAAAATGAACAGCAAGACAACTAGAAGTGAATGTGCTTTCCATTAAATTAATCCTTAACACAAAAAAAACGTTGCAATGAACGTGCTTTGTTTTAAATAAGTAAACAAAACCTTAACAAAAAAACTTAGCAATGAACTTTGCAATTTAGACGCGCAAACTGCGTGCCGGTGTGGTGAGACGTAGCCTAAATGCTCGGGCAGATTCGGCTTGAAGTCGTTCATCCTCGGATGCGGCGTCGCGCGCGATGTTACAAAAAAGCTGTGGACACAGCCAAGCGAAATGGGGTCTTGCCGGTCTTGCGCACCCAACGCGTCATTTTTTTCCGTGCGCACCTTGCGCTCGTGCGGACGCGTCGAGTATAAACAAGGCTTTACTCCGTGTCAGCGCGCGCTCTGATCGGTAAGGTGCACAGACCTCTCCCGAATCATCTCCAGCACTCAGCCTCCGATCGCACCACTAACTCCGCCTCCGTTTCCCTCATAAGATGATATTAGTATTTAAACATTCTCTATGATAAAAAATGTTTGTAAAAAATATTTGAATAGCACGGTTTTGCCGGTTATAGAGTTCTAATGGCGGTGTTCAACTATAACCGTCGGTCTCACGGTTATACAATAACGTCACACCCCTCATAACACTTGCCTACTATTCGACTATGAGGTTCATAGTCGAATCAGACCTCTCCGAATCGAATCCTCGACTATTAGAAGTCAGCCCTATAATAAACATATAATAACACTATAACGTATAATTACATTGTAATAAACATATAATTACATTGTATTAAATGTATAATAACACTGTAATAAATGTATATTTACATTGTAATAAACGTATAATTACATTGTAATAAATGTATAATAAGACTGTAACAAATGTATAATTACATTGTAATAAACATATAATAACACTAACGTATAATTACATTGTAATAAATGTACAACACTGTAAACAATGTATAATTACATTGTAATAAATGTATGATTACATTGTAATAAATGTATGATTACATTGTAATAAATGTATGATTACATTGTAATAAATGTATAATTACATTGTAATAAATGTATAATTACATTGTAATAAGTGTATAATTACATTGTAATAAATGTATAATTACATTGTAATGTATAATTAGATTGTAATAAGTGTATAATTACATTGTAATAATAATTAGATTGTAATAAGTGTATAATTACATTGTAATAAGTGTATAATTACATTGTAATAAATGTATAATTACATTGTAATAAATGTATAATTACTTTGTAATAAATGTATAATTACTTTGTAATAAATGTATAATTACTTTGTAATAAATGTATAATTACATTGTAATAAATGTATAATTCGACTGTAACAAGTGTATAATTACATTGTATAAACGTATAATTACATTGTAATAAATGTATATCAACCTTGAAAAGAATCGCTACTTTTTTACTGCAGAAGTGAACAGTGTAGCTGACAGAACGTTTATTTTTAAACCACAACTTCAATGTGTGCTTCTTTTACAGATATATTTAACGATATCTTTTGCATTTCTAATCCGAACAACGTCAAACTTGTCACTGCACTTACTCGTGCCCGTAGCAAAACACCTGTCAAGTTTGAAATCCATCGGACGAACGGTTCGAGAGATATTCGACTAACAGACAGACAGACACACAGACAGACGTTCCTGTAATTTATAGATAGATGAAGTACAGTGACCCCTGCTGGCGTTAAGTTTGCATCATTCATCTTTCATTTTGAGGTCACACCCCTCCCTCTTTCAAAGACAGTCTTGTCATTATGCGGGTGGTTGATGTGTGTGTGTGTGTGTGTGTGTGTGAGCCCACAGTTTCTGAAGTGCAAAGGGAATAGTATTCAAAAGTTTTCTGTTTCAGGTATAGCCTTTTACTGTTTGTTCATCTTATACTGTTTACGCTTCATAGGCGAACTCACGCTGTAACGTTACCACGAACAGGTGCGGTTTATTAAAAGACTGGAAACGTCTTGCTATAAGTCTCTGGTTTTTTTTTTTTCTGTTCTAGTATCTTTTTTATTTAAGATCCATCAGATTAGACATTTTGGATAGATTTCAGTGATTTTACTTCAAAAAAAGTATAACATTTATACATATGTTTCCGGCTTTAATATTCGTGTGGTAACCGTTTTATAAAAGCAATAATGTAGGAGAGGCCATCATGGCTTCGTGTCGTGCCTAATAACGTCCTTCAGCCGTAACTTTAGTCACAATAAAGCACGGCCTGTCGTACATTAGCCTATTGCTTACGTATCCCAGTAGCACCGACCTTTAGATTGGCTTGTGTGGTTCCTTCCGGGTTTATCATGTCTCTTTTCAGGAAAGGCTCTCGTCTCAGAGCCATGTCTTCCTCTGATGCCATGTTGCGGGATTTGTACACAGGATACCTCTCCTCGTTTTCAGGATTCAGCGGAGGATACGTGATTCTGTCAGGTATCTGCAAATGCCTTTGGGTGAAAGAGATAACCACAAATCTCTAAGAGGATTGCTAACATCTATTCAAATATTTGCTTACATGATTGTCTCTTGTCTATCTCTCTTTTGGACCGGTTATTTACCTGTTCACCACGTCATTGCAATGCATTTCTCCTGGAGAGTAATGCCGCCTGAAGAAAACAACAGAAAAAGCACATGCATGTTAAGAGGAAGCGCAAACATATCTAACAATACACCCATATGAGCTCACATGAAAAGCCTTTTGACAAATGCTGACCTTTGTATTTGATATTCCGGATGCCTGAAGTCTGACAGAAACATTGAATTGAACCTAAAATGCAGATAAGACAGAGTAAGTTTAAGTTTAGTTCAAAATTGTACTTCATTCTGAAATACAACAGGCAGCAGCTTCAGGATTGTGCTCTTCAAAGTGATCACAGCTTGCAGAATATTATATAATAATACTGTATATTAAATATGGATGGAGTCATACATTGTGGGGTTTAGTCATCACATATCAAAAACTGAATATTCAATTCTACAAGCTGTTCATGAAAACACAAAATACGTAAAAAAAATTGTCATTTCACTGTTACAGCACCTGTTTTTTGTTTTCTCTATCTTTCATGTCATACACTTCTGCACATTAAAATTGGATTGAAGCATGAATAATGACTTTTATAATAATAATTGTATATAGGCTATTTTAAGTTTTTGTTACACAAAGCTAACATATAGTTTTATCCAGTGACGTCTCCACTCCATTTGATATCTTTCTTTATGGCAATATACAAAGTATCGCAAAATAATACATATAATATACACTTTCAGGTCAGTTATATAAACTGTGGTGGTTTCTGAAAGTATTTAATGCAAATAGATCTTTTCAAATTATGCTTAAAGTTGTCATTTTTAATTGAGATCACCTTTTATATGCACTACCGTTAAAAAGTTACAGTTTAGCAAGTGTTTTTTTTTTTTTTTTTTTTTTTATGCTCACAAAGGCTGCATTTATTTGATCAAAAATACAGTAAAATTGTATGTGAAACATTACAATTTACAAAAACCATTAACTGTTTTCTATTTTAAAGGTACACAATGTAACTTTTTTTGTTCAAAATTTATACAATTGAAATAATGAGTCAATATATCATCCAAAACGTGTTTTTGTCTTACCCTGATTCACTATGGGAAGCCAATAATAAGTGTTTATATTTTAGACGTGTCGGGGTGGTTATATCTCTCTTATGAGCAGTAGGATAATCATATTCATCCGCACAGTCACGCCGAGCCAAAGCACAACCAAAACAATGTTCTTCCTCAAAATACATGCAGTTTTATTTTTGAACTGCTAGAGGGCAAGTGTACCTTTTATATTTTTTCCATTCATATTCCTTAATGTAATTGTGAGACTGTCACTGAGGTCAAATATCTTTGTATGTTGTACTTACTTGCCCTCCTCCTGATGCCCAGTCAGAAGTCTGCTGTTAAAGTCATTGTATCCTCCTGGATGTCTGTCCAAGAGGGGTCGATGATAGAACTGCAACTCCCCATCATCAGGTGGACTAAATGTGCTGTCCGTGAATCTCCGGATGACCCCCATCGCCTCCCAATCCAGAACACTGTCAATAGGAGGAGGCGGAGGATTGGAGATGAACTCGCTAAGTTCAATTTTGTTGCTGTTTATGTTCAGGGGTGGTTGTTTATTATGTGTTTGGGGTTCTGTAGCTGGTTTTCCAGTTTTCCATGCATCTGGGATTGGAAGCGAGGCAGCATAGAGGATCCGAAACTCTCGATCGAAAGATTCCACAACCTGGCCGCTCATAACGGTGACGAGCTGACGATGCAGGTGAGCATCGCTCCAGGTAAGACTGACCGAGACAAAAAAGAAAAATTAAGAGATTATAAAGGATTCAGAAAATGTAACAATCCAAAAAGGAGCAAAGTAGCACCATAAAACTAAAATAAAATAGTCAATATGTGCAAATTTCCAAGTCTTCTAATACCATTTGATCTCTTTGCATGTTATATGTTTGGCAACAGTTCTTCTAAGCCTAATTGATGGAGTGTGTAGCTTTTCATTTCTTAAACAACCATGTAGGAAGACACATCATGGCCATATTCCTGGATGACAATGTCAAGATTCATCAGGCTCAAACTGTGAACGAATGGTTGGGAGGGAGCCTGAAGAATCATTTTCACACATGAAATGGCACTCTGTACTCTGTAGACTCAAGTCTACTCCTACATGGTTGTTTAAGAAATGATAAGCTACACACTCCATCAATTAGGGTTAGAAAAACGGTTGCCAAATATGTAACATGCTAGAAACATAATAATCACAGCAATAATGATCCAACCATAGACTCTAGACTAGAGCATTTGCCTTTTAAAAACCAAATGGCAACGTTTTTTGTTTGTTTGTTTTCGGGCCGTGTATATCACCATTAAAAAGTTTGGGGCCATTAAGAATTTGAAAGAAATTAATACTTTTATTCAGCAAGGATGCATTAAATTGATCAAAAGTGACACTACATTACATTTACAACGTAACAAAACATTATCATGGTTTCCACAAAATTATTAAGCAGCACAACTCATTTTAACATTAATAAAAAAAAAAAAATTATATATATATTTGAGCAGCAATATTAGCATGATTTCTGAAGGATCATGTGACACTGAAGACTGGAGTAATGATGCTGAAAATTAAGCTTTGATCACAATATTTAAAAATATATTCAAATAGAAAACAGTTCAATAAACTAATATTTCATAATTTTACTGTTCTACTGCATTTCTAAACAAATAAAAGCAGCCTTGGTGAGCAAAAGATACTTCTTTAAAAAAAATGACCCTAAACTTTTGAACAGTAGCATACTTTAATAACTGTGAAAGAGACTAAAAAAAATTCCCACAGAGAGTTGATTTCACTAATTGTCTGTATAATGTAGGGGTGGTGTAGCTTAAAGTCTTTAATGGTATGAGCTGGCAACCCAAAAGTTGGTTCAAATCCCAGAAGGTTCACACCCTTGTTCCCTGGAGCAAGTCTTTCAACAGCAGGTAATGCAAAAGACTGATTTATGAGCTCCATTGTGAAAGCGTCCTTTACCTGTAGCTCCCCATCATCACCGTCTCCAGATCCACCAACACAAAGTTGTTCTTCAGCTCTCCAACAACCATCTTCGTGTCACGCGTCAGGAACGTTTTACCTCCAAGAACGCGCACCATGATATTCTGGAAAATGGCATCAAGGAAGAGATTGAAAATTAGAGAAAATCTAATGTTTCACAACCTTTATTTCTTCACTGCATAAAGATTGCAGTTGGTTTCCGCAAAATTTTCAGCTTTCATCTAAAGGTCAGATCTAGTTAAGTTTCAGAGATGTGGAGCGATTATCCAAACCAAAAACATTCCACAACCACAAGCCAATCGTCCGCAGCACATGAATGTAGCTGAACCTGTTCACCATGGCTTTGTGCGTTCTTCTCATTCATACTTACACAGACACAGAAAGAGAAACTCTGTGATGAAGAGTAACATTTGCTGACAGATGCAGAATATTCAACTAAGGTGTGTCTGGTCTTTTGTCTACAGGAACAGCCTAAGTTCAGTCTGTCGAGGTGTGCATGAAAGTTTTGTGGCTTAAAGGTTGCACAAAAAATAACTGTGAACAACGAAATGTTATAATAAAACCAGGAGAAAGTCATTCTTGAGTGTTTGATGGTTTTTTCCACTCACCGGATGTTGAAGCTGGTGCGAAGAGCAGTTCTCCTCCCCGGATCTTCTGTTGAGGATGATGTACACCGGAACCCCCCGGGATGCAGCGTTTCGGAGGTCACCGATCACCGCGTTATCCGACAATTTATCTGTTACAATGGCAATCAGCTGCCCAACACAAATGCAAAAAACTAGTGGACTTTCTGCTGGTTCATGCTTAGTTTAGTTTTTTGCATTCAACCAACTTATTTTAACTTTAAGGACCTCATTAATAAAGAGGTTCATAATATATAATTATCCTAAATGTGAACACAAGACAGTTTCCAAAATGTTCCTACGAATGATTTATACAACGTCCACAAAAATGCAAGAAAAAAAGTAGATTTTGTCCATGGGGAATTGATTGGATGGTTGTGGTTTGCTATTGGTGGATCTCATGTGAGTGACAGGTTGCCCCGCCCTCATCATCAGAGAAGAGATTTGATTTAAAGATTACAAGGGCACATGAATTAAAAAATAATGATGTGCACAGATAAATTATTTATAATAAATACAGTAATATTCCTTTTGTGACTTTCAGATGAACTGCGATTTGTAAAGAGAAATCCATTAAAGGATTAGTTCACCTCAAAATGAAAATTTCCTGATAATTTTCTCACCCCAATGCCATCCAAGATGTTCATGTCTTTCTTTCTTCAGTGGAACAGAAATTTATTTTTTTGAGGAAAACATTTCAGGATTTTTCTCCACACAATGTACAATGTACGGTAGCCAAATTGTTGAAGTCCAAATCAATGCAGTTTCAAAGGGCTTTGAAGAGCCTCAAAGGGCTCTACATGTTCCCAGCTGAGGAATAGGGTCTTGTCTAGTGAAACGATAGGTCATTTTCTAAAAAAAAAAAAAAAAAAAATGTATATACTTTTTAACCACAATTGTTCGTCTTGTGCTGGTCTGCGACGCGCCAGGCATTACGTTATCAAGTTGGAAAGGTCACGCTGGACGTAGGCGGAAGTACCGCCACTGAAGAAAGAAAGACATGAACATCTTGGATGGCATTGGGGTGAGTAAATTATCAGGAAATTTTCATTTGAGGTGAACTAATCCTTTAATGCATTTCTCTTTACAAATCCCAGTTCATCTGAAAGTCACAAAAGGAATATTACTGTATTTATTATAAATAATTTATCCGTGCACATCATTATTTTTTTATTCATGTGCCCTTGTAATCTTTAAATCACATCTCTTCTCTGATGATGCGGGCGGGGCAACCTGTCACTCACATGAGATCCACCAATAGCAAACCACAACCATCCAATCAATTCCCCATGGACAAAATCTACTTTTTTTCTTGTTTGAAAAAACAATCTCAACTTGCAACTTTAAAATCAAGTGCATCAACATCAACTACTGAACGCCTACAAATATCTCTTTATGGTTCAGAAGTACGGCATTCATCAATGGGCAAGGAAATCAGAAAACGTGTGAGCGCATGGGCCAGTTTCTGTTAATATTATTATTATTTTTAGGAAATCAATTAATTTCAGGGATGCAATTATTAAAAGCAGTAAAACATTACAGTAAATTATTTTCATGCATATTCTGATGTGTTTTCATAAACAATGTCAAAATAATTGAATTACTGGTATGTGAGGCCAAAAAGTTTCAGTTGAGGAGTGCATAAGAACATTTTCATGTCAGTTTCTGACTTTATAGACTAAATGCTGATTTGTTCTTCACTTTTGATCAAATCCATGGTATTTAGGATCAAATCGGACTGTATAATTGCGTTTAATAAATCAGGCCCCTGGTCTAACCGACTGTCTATTTTAGAGCTGATTTATAGCTGAATCGACATTGTTTCATCATTGATGCATTTTGCAACATCAACACTGTTAATAAACTGAACTGAATCAACATTGAACTGACTCGAGCTGAATAACGAAACTATTGTCTTCTGCTTGTGTAGCAGTTGAATCCATTTCATAATTGCTGAACTTTACACAGTTATTGAACTGAACTGAATCAGCACTACACCGAATAATGTCACTACTGTCTTTTTAGAACTGCATAATTTCTCTCATATTTGATTAAAGCAACACCAAGTCACTTTTCCTCTGCGGTCGCCCTACAGGTTGGAAGCGGATTGTCATAAATAATTTAGCCTACCGCAGCCGACTGTCGCACGCACGCTCGCCGTTTATCCAGCACCGGCTTAGGAATGAACGATGTCCACAGACAAGGTAGAGTATCTTGCATGATTTCATGAAAGTATGATGTATTGTGACATCAGATACGAAGAAAAACAAAATAATGACTATTGTAACGCTTGACGTAAAGGAAGTCAAATTTGTAGTTTTCTTATGTCTCATTAGAACTACAGAAACGCGACCCGATCTGGCAATCTTACATAGTGTGGTTATAGCAGATATAGGACCGCAAAGCGAATCCAGAAGTGCCTTTCACCCTGTTACGACTTAATGAACCACTGAAACGATTTTGGCAACATTATTTTAAGGTAAAAATCTTACTTAGTGTTGCTTTAAGTTTGCAGCTATTTATTACTGTGAAGCTGCTTTGAAACAGCTGCTATATAAATAAAGGTGACTTGACTTACCCTAGTGGCTCCTTGTAAGAGCCTCCTGAGGACTACTCGTATGGAGGCCTCCTGTTCTACAGGAGGATTGGTGTATACTTCAACTCGACCCATCTCCATCCAGCTGTACCTTTCTGGCCATCCTAGTTCCAAGCATGGAGCCGGAGTGTCAGACTCTGTGGGGAAATAATGTCCGGAGAAGTCGTCCCCCTCAGAACCGACCTCCACCTCACCGTTTCCATCCTCCAGGACCGCATCGCATTCATGATAGTCCTCGACCCAGCTGGAGATCTGGTTCACCTCGCCGGTGGACAAGAACGATCCGATTTGTTCCTGGTGGAGTTTGGTGTAGAAATCCTCAGGACCGGAGCTCACCAGGCTTTCCACACAATAGCGTTCTTCCTCACAGTGCAAGAAGTCTGGACTGGACTCGGTCAACGGAGCGAAGATGGCGTTCTCATTGAGGCTCTGCTCTTGAGAGTTTGACATGATTGAAACCCAATGATGGTTGGAGATATCCTCCTTCTACCAAAAAATGACTGTGGAAAACTGCATGTTGATGTGAAGAGAATAACTGTCAGCTCCTCTAAGCTTCTTGGACGAGGATGTTGGTGAATTATTCAAATAGTTGAGGTTCTTCTTCATGCCATGAATCTATTTAACTCTTTTTAGCCACCATATGTCAACAGAAAAGCAGGATTCTCCATGGAGGAATCGTTGCTGCGGTTCCTGGAAGCTTTGGATTACTTTCAAATGTCCTAGAATACAGTCTTGAGGAGAAAATAGCAACATCAGAGTTTAAGAACATTCCCAGCGTTTCCTCGTCAAGTTGTTTGGTGACCACCCTTGTGGAAAAGAAGTGCACTTGATTGTGTTGAATGTGCACTTGTAGTATTCTTCAAATCTTAAATGTATTATATTTAAAAAATAAATAAATGCCACTTAAGTGTACTTAAAGAGAGCTTTTTAAAAAAATCACTTTGTAATAATGTCAATTTTTTTAGTAAGTTTTTAAAATAATGTTTAACAATCTTTTGTAGTGTTTTAAAGTGCTCTTATTTTGATATGTTGACTAACATACTAAAGCATTTGTAAAGTACATGATTATACTTTTAACTGCATCGTGTTCTCTGTTCTTTTAATGAGTAATGCACATTGAAGTCAGTATGTTGCAAATGTAATAAATTGCAACATCATAACTACAAATGTCTAATTAAATACATGACATACAAGTTTCAATAGAAATGACATTAGAGTCAATTTTAGTTTACCATAAACATTACATTCGGCAGTGCACTAAGCATATTTCAAAAGATAATAGAAGTAATTACATATAATAAAGATGTACGTTGTCTTACTTAAGCGGGTCAAAAAACAATCTAAAGTTCAGCTAACTGATTTTACTGTAAATTTTAACTATTAAAACATTACATTCAGTTCGCACTTAAGTAACAAGTACTCTTTCATTATAAAGTATGCTAAAGTGTATTTATTTTTCACAAGGGCATGTTAAAATCCATGCATTTCTAATTATCTAGTTTATGGTAAAACTTCACAAGAACAGATTGTGTACTAAAAGTGGAGACTTACCCGCCTGTGCCTGTCTCTCTCACACACCCTCAGTCCATCGACTCTTTCCGTCAAGTTCTGACATATCTCTGCTATCTCCACCCATTCTAAATGGCCTCACTCAATCTGGTGTTAAATTACTCCCCGTCACCAGCCAATGTGAGCAACAAGTCATTGCTGGGATCTGCCCATTTTTAGCTTTCGTGCAAAACCACGTCTTGAGTCAGCAAATCATCTAACATCCCCAAAACATGTTCAGAAACACTCTGGCCTCCCTTCAGCCCTCTTTCTCTCTCGTAAGGCTGATATTAGATTTCTGTCTTTTTTGTGTCTTTAGTAAACACATAGAGTGCCTCTCTGTCGCCGACCCGCTATCGTGACTGGTTCTACCAGCCGAGCCAGTCTTCTCCAGGGAACAGAGATTGAGACCTTCTTTCCCTCTCAGTCAAAAGGGGGCGAGGCTGGAACCCAACACCTAGTGGTCTCTTTTCACGTCATACACTTCAAGCATCTGTATACTTGATGTTTAGACACATCCGGAGAAGCTACGTGTGTTTTAATCCAATGAAGAAAGTATGGGGAGCTCACCTTTAGGTTCTGCATGGATTCCATGCAATTCATTTATGCACACATTCCTCTTTAATCGCCTCTTCTATCTGTAGGTGTCATGTCTAATGCCGATGTTTATTTTATCTCTTAGACAGTATATATCGTGCTTTTAAAAGCAGAGAGTGTGTGGTACGATGGTATGTTGTCGTGCTGAAGTCATGTGCACAACAACCAAACACAATACATTTATTAGAGCTGTTCAAATTGAACATTTGAATTAGCAGTGCAGATTGTTACTAACTGATTCAAACTCACTACTATATAAACTACTTAAAACAGACAGTAGTAATCCTACTTGAACTACAGCATTTTTGTGATACTATTCTTCTTTTTTTCTAAGCGTTGTCTACTCTAACCAAAAACACAACTATTGTTGTGATTTTGAAAAATATTTTATTAATAGAGTTTGCATACATAAAACATATAATAATACAAAGAAACACATTCAATATTGGGGGAAAAGGACTGGTTTGAGGTTTCCAGTTGTGACATTTTCATGTTGGTAATCCAACGAATTGTTCTAGAAACTTTTCCGGTTTTTTAAACTCCAGTTTTCTTAATGCATGATTTAAAAAGGATTTTCGTTCATCTTCAGAACACAAATGATCTTTTTGGTCTTTTCAGTCTTTTTGATGAAATCTGAGAGCTTTCTGTCCCTCCATTGACAGCTACACAACTAACACTTTGACGCTTCAAAAAGTTCATAATGAGATCGTAAAACTAATCCATATGAATTGAGCGGTTTAGTCCAAATTTTCTGAAGAGACATGATCTCACGAACCTGCGCAAAAATGAACCTCATTGGTTCTTCCAGAAGCTCAAATGCGCTCCGTAACACGAGAATGAACCTCATTGGTTCTCTCACGTCAAGCGAACATGCTTGAGCTTCTGTTTACCACAACTGATGTGTGAGTTGATGAGTGTTTATATGTGAATAAAAGCCTAAATTCAATCTGTTGCATATAAAGTGATCAGAAAAATTTTAATCGCTCAATTCTTATGGATTAGTTTTCCGATATCTTTACGAACTTTTTGAAGCATCAAAGTGGTAGTTGTGTATCTGTCGTTGGAGGGACAGAAAGATCTCAGATTTCATCAAAAAGATCTTCATTTGTGTTCTGAAGATGAACAAAAGTCACTCCTATAAAGCAGCAGTTTCCACACTATGGCAAATTACAGCACTTGTTGATGCAACTTCCCAAAAGCAGCAAAGCAAACTAGTAGGATAATAATAAATTACAAATAACAATAAGCCATATATCATAAAATATTTGACCTAAAAACAGCCATAAGCATTATATAATCTCATAGCAGACTAAACAGCTACACATGCGTTGCGTGGTGTTGAGCAGAAAATCAGGCCCGTTTGCGCAGATGCACATAAAGTGCGCCACTAATAAGTAAAAGGGGCACACAGACCCAGGCTAGAATGTAACAGTAGCCGAAACGACCCGTTTCCAGTTCCTGAACATCTTGAAGAATCTCGCTCCTTTGAAAGGTGTAGATAAGAACAGCCGCAAATGCTGCAAAACCTGTGAGTGTGGAGGAGGTGAATCGTGTGAGAAGAGAAATGGCCACAAGGGAGCAGCACATGTGGTATTCAGGGAATAATAATAACATGACATCAACGTTCTGCCTACCTACTAGTCCAACCTAATACAAAATTATATATAATCAGTTTATAAGTAATTCATGAAAACACTTACCTGCAAAAAATTGACATAGACCAGTGAAGTAGAAAAGTCCTCCTTTGGACATGGTGAAGAGCTGTCCGAGGAACACCATGAAGGAGATGGAAGAGAGCACTACAGATAATATCATGAGGGCCTGGACTGACTGCAGCCATTCTGAGAGAGAAGAATATCAGAATATCACAAATAGCTATTTTTTTTTAAAAGATTATTCGTCAATTTCAGTGTAGAAATGTAGTCTCTAAAATGGTGGGTCGCGACCCAGTGTGCAGTCAAATAAATAAATAAACATAATTCTGAATGTTTTTCTGATGTGAGACTTTTATTTTGAAAGACATGCGTGTCGTGAACGCCGTTGACTCTTCGGTCAGATGCAGTTTATGTAACACGTGCCTCTGATCTCATGAAATGGCGTATGTATGACACGCCAATTCGTATTTCCATTTTTGGCGTGCTATCAACACGCATAATCGTTTTTCAGCGTGTTTATCAACGCCGTTGACTTAACGTTACATTACTGTATAAATATATGACCCCAACCCCGTCCCTAGACCTACCCGTCACTGGGGTTAATACCATTTATGAGTGTTCCCCTACCATCCTAGGAAAAAAAATATCGCTCTCCAGAAGTAGATCTACATTTTGCTTCGTTTCGCTCGGACATATGGCGTGTACATACACGCGGAATCACTCGGACATTTAACGGCGTAGACATACACGCAAAAGATGACGGTTCGTTTCGGCGTGGACATACACGCGGATAGCTCAAAATGCGTATAGATAACACGCCACTTGACTTGAAAGTGGCGTGTATGTTTACGCAAACAAAGTCATGATGCCATGTTGCTGAGAGAAATGCGTTGTCCTGATTCAGTATCTGCTGTCAGGTGAGATGTTGTCAGGCTATATGTCAGTGTCATTATTCTAACATTATTTGCGTAGCTTGTTATTGTTTGCATCTCTCTCTCTCTATATATATATATATAGGCCTATATATAAAGAGCATAAAAAAAGAATGCATGATGCTAGAATAAAACAGTTTTTTTTTGTTTAAAAGCTCAGGGTCTGTTCTTTTCTTTTGATATGTTGCATTTTCAGTTATTCATATACAACAAAATATTTTTGTGAAAATTATCAAAAACGCTGGTGGTGGCTGGCAACTTTTTTTTTTTTAAACGCTGGCGGAAAAAGAGTTAATAACTTTTTGTAATAACAAAAACTAGTTTTGCACTTTTGTTTAATAGCCATGCCTTATACTGTTTAAAAGTGTTAGTTACCCACCGTTCTCCCGGACAGATGCACATAACCAGGTTTCTGTGGCGTTGTCATAGGAGCACTTATACCAGAGATCCGAGTTCTCGGTGTCTCCCAAAGTCCACCAGGACTAGAAAAAGCATAATTTTCTGTTTTTAGTTGAAAATGGTGTAGTTTAAATGCCCCTAAGATGTAATGATGTGTAGATGCTTTTTAAAAATGTGAGTTTCTCAAATTTCATTTGTTAAAATGTTTCACAATTTTGGAAAAATGAGCTTCACCTGATCTCCAGTGATTTACATTATAATATATACATTAAAAGTATGCAGCCGAAGACTTCACACTACAATTTTTAGTACATTTAGATTGACAAACACACATGACCTCTGAACTATGCATTTGCTCATAGGGCAGAAGTGTGTCTTTATTGCAGTTCTGACTAACCTTCTCCATGGTGGCAATGAAAAGTATGGCCAGGGTGACCAGATGCAGAACTGTCACAAACATCAACAGGAAAGACATTTTGGTGGATCCTGTCGGTAGAAGAAGAAAAAGTTCTGTTTGAGCCTCATATACTCACAAAGGAAAATGAGGAATCATTTGGGATTTATCAGTGTGTCTAAAAAGCATCTGATGTAGCCGACATTATGAGTGCTGTGTAAACGTATAGTCTGTTCTCTAGCATGTGATTAAACAAACTGAAAGATACATTTTCTATCTAATGTGAATCCTATACAGTACAAAAGTTTAATGTTTTTGAAAGAAGTCTCTTTGCTCACCAAGGCTGCATTTATTTGATCAGAAATAAAGTAAAAGTGAAATATTATTAAAATTTTAAATAAATATTTTCTGTTTGAATATATTGTAAAATGTCATTTATTCCTGTGTTCAAAGTGTCACATGATCCTTCTAATATGATGATTTGCTGCTTAAGAAACATTTCTGATTATCATCAATGTGGGAACTGATTCACTTGGTTTTCAGGATTCTTTGATGAATAGAAAGTTCAAAAGAACACCATTGTTTTCAAATAGAAATATTTTGAATGTCTTTAGTGATCAATTTGATGTATCATTGCTGAAAAAATCTGGTGTATGATGCTCTGGAAATGTTCTTGACTGCATGAGGAAGTTTACTTAATCAAAATGATGCCATTTGCTGACAGAATCTTTCCAGGGAAAAATGTAGGACTCGCGTGTGAACTTTGATTGGACCACTGTAATAATCCATCACTGGCGTCATACCTATAAATGAATTTTCACCTCACTGCTAGACGCTTTTGCATCATCATGTTTCCAAGACGCATAACATAGCAATACCACAAACGTTCCATGACTTTTCCGTCCATATATGAATGGAGACTTCTGCTTGAATTCAACAAAACCTCCATTCATACAAGGACTGTGACGGATCGGGATGGGGATTGGGAACGACACACACGGATCCTAAGATTGCACACCCTCTGTGTCACTACTGTGCAGTGAAAATAACTCACACTGCGTTTCAGATCTCTTTCCAAATCAGAGACCAAGAGGCCTTTTGCGGTGGCCGAAAGATTACGTATTTAGACAACATTCTCTAACTCATGGTTTTCATTAAATCGGCCCCCACCTCTCATGTTTACATGCAGGAGCTGCTCATTATGCGTTCCTGGAACAGATTCGGACAGTTCTTGCTCTTAAGTCACTCTCTCTGCCATGCAAGACTTTACTAAGATGTTCTTTAAATTATAGAGCTGTAATTACCAATCATAAAAGCTACAGAAACACCTCACGCAGGACGCTCTGACAGACCAGATAACAATCTTTTCTACATCTAAGATTTTTCTGGATTGTTCTAAATGAACAAACAAACAGAAGAATGTCTCGGAGAACATAAATAGTTTGACTCTAAGGCTCTTCAGCGGGTCTTAGGTTCAGGATACGAACTATTTTACAGGGTTCTTTTTAAATGACATATTCTTGGTGTGACTTTTAGGTGTTAAGGGTTCTTGTGCATTAACAAAGTAAATGTGAAGATCTATAGGTTCTTTATGGACCAGTACATCCATGGAACATCAGGCTCTAAAAAGTCTGGAAGTATTAATTAAAGAGAGGATATACTCGCTGTTGTTGAAGAAATAAAAATGCAGCTTACCTTGTGTGTGCTCGTACCAGCAAATCTTCGGAAAACTCTCGTCTGAAGTCCAGTGTTGTTTCTTAGCTGGTCTCCTCCCCTTCTCTCATCTCCTCAACACACTCACTCACTCTCTCCACAGACTCACACGTTTGGGAAAAACGGTCCAGGAAGGAATGTGGGCTCTGTTAGAGGAGGAGTTTTCTTCACAGAAGGAAAAACTCCAGAAAAACTTTGGGTTAGTTAAAAATGGGCTTGAGTGTGTGTCCGCCCAAACCCAGAGAGAGTCTGTTACATAATTACACAACACTCAATGCAATGATGTTCTAATATGGTAGTTTCAGCTATAAAAATGTGGATTTTTTAAATTGAATTTCATAGATATTTTCACTTTGATGATTAATGATTATATTCACATCTTGTTAAATTCATTGATGGCCACGTGTTGTTTAGTAGGCAGTTAAAAACGGGAGCAATCTGGTCAATTATTTCCTGTTGGAGGAAACGCAGACCACCCAGAGAAACATCAGTTCTCACCCAAATCCCCTGTGAAGCGTTTCAATCTTTCCGCTCAACCAAACTGAACTATTTTTATCTTGTTCTGTACATTTGTGGTTTAATTTAGAGTTAGTATAAACAGGCTAAATACTCTAATCTGAGGAAAGGAACATTTAGTAATTTAATACAATGTTTTATGTATCTTCCCATGCTCGTAATATGTGGGTCATTCCATAATTTTTTTTTTTTTTTTTTTAAATTTTTGTGTCCTTCATGAACATTTAAAAAACAAACAAAAAACCCAATGAACTAACGCAGCTTTTAACGCAGTGTTATGTCGCATATAAATGGTCTTTTGTCAATGAGTAGCCTATGCATTATTATCTTAAAATAAAAGTTTATATAATTAACATTTACTTTAAATTACCCTTTCAAAGTGGAAAATGGCCCCGTTTCGTGAGTGAACCTTATAAAGCTACTTGTTTGGGAACCTCGTTTATCATTACGGAGTTTGTGGGGTTCTTTTGCAGGACGTCCCACACAAAGACACACACACACACACACACACACACACACAGAGAGAGAGAGAGAGAGAGAGAGAGAGAGAGAGAGAGAGAGAGAGAGAGAGAGAGAGAGAGCGCACACACACACACACACACACACACAGTCTGTTGTCGCTGGTGAACGCACGTTCCAAGTAAACGCTGAAAAATCCTTAAGGTGAAACATTAACATCCGTTTCTAGGCGACCGTGACCGTCTGAAAGTTCTGTTAGAATGCGACAGTTGCAAGAAAGAAAAACGCTTCAGTCGTCAACGTGTGCGTGCGTGCGTGTGTTTCGCGGGATATCTCTCTTTTAAAACAATAATAACTTTTAACAACAACTAAAAGGTAACTTCAATGGTTTTGAATAACGGTAGGTGATGTGCACAGCACAGGTAAGGTCTGGTTTTATAAACCTTTCCGTGGCGAATCGCTCATTTGACTTTTTTCTTTAGGCAATACATCACATCTGGTTTTGTGGTAAATATCCGTCTGTTATAAGTTATGTAAATATACCTCGTACTATCTGGTGCTTTCGCTCTATTCTTTTCGCAGAAAAACAAATGTAACTGAAAGTAATAAAGGTTTAATGCTAGAAAACCGCAAGTCGTTTAAAAGGAAAAACAGATGTGCGCATGTGCACAACCTCCTCCGATCTGCAACAACAGCTGTCAAAGGAGGTTTAAACAACATGAGCACATCACGTGTTTGATGTACACATCTAAACACTGATCTCGGATGTTTAGATCGAAGATAGATACATAGACAGTTAGATACAGATAGACAGATATAGATAGACATTAGATCATGCATCTCTATGTCGGTTTAGGATGGAAAGATGTTGCAGGACATGGAGCAGCGACTGCAGGAGGAAGGTTTGGACCCCTCGGCCTCCATTAGTGAGCGCTTGTCTTTGCTGTGGCAGCTTTACAAGAGCAGTGAAAATACTGTGAAGTCCCTCAACCAACAGATACAAGATCTTCAGAAGGAACGGGTCGCTGAGATTGAAAAGGTGAGTTGGGCTAAAGAAAAAAAGACTCATCATTTACTCACCTGTATTTGTTTCAGATCCATATGAGTGTCTGTGGAACACAAAACGAGATGTTTAGGTAGATATATATATAAGAGAATATGTGTGTGCCCAGGTTCAGCAATACATCAATCACATTAAGAGTCTCACAAAGACCCGAGACTCTGTGGCTTTACATCTCGAACAAGAAAACATAACTCTCCGTGCGTCTCTGGACGACGTCCACCTGCAGCAAGGTGCGTTCCTCTGTTCTCTCCTCCCTCAGGCCCGCTCGCCCTACACCACTCATATGACATTTAAATCTATATGTACAGAGGCTCAGAGGAGCGAGGTCTCCGAGATGTTACTTCAGGAAGGTCTGGCTGATATTATCCCCATCAGCTTGAGTGAACAGGTAGCCTACCTCCTCGCAGACAGAGCATCCCTGCTGGAGAAGATACAGAGCCAGGATGTGGATGTGAAGAGCGCATGCCATCCTGATGTCCAAACGTCGCAGGGTTGTGAAGATAATGTGGTCAAAGTAAGAGAATCCGTTCTCAGGTTGTTTTACCTTCCTACATGTATTTAAATGCATGTTTTAAAGCAGCTTTGCAAAAATTCATCATGTTAGAGTTTATAATATCTTAAAGGGGTGATGAACTGAGAAATCAAATTTTCCTTGAGCTTTTGACATCTAAGAGGTCATCATATTATAAGAATATCCTGTAAGTTTCAGAACTGAAAACGTCCTTGTTAGTCCAATAAAAGCTTTTATTAACACCAGGCTCAGCAAACGACTCGTTTTTCAAAGTGGGGAACTATGACGACAAAGAGGATAAAACACCACCCCCGCAGAAGAAGATCAACGCCTACTTCAACACGGCTGGTTTAGCCCCGCCCACCGATTCGCGCATTACACGAAACTCATTATAATATGCAAAACTGTTATCCACTCACAGCAGTGGGCGTTTACTTCCAAGTCTTCAATGCGAGACGCCCATAAAAACAGAGCGTTTTTGAGCTAGGCTCAAAACTAGGGTAGAAAATAGCCTATTACTTATTCATTTAGATGTTTTTGAATGTAAAAACCAAACGAACGTCATAAGTTGACCTCAGACAACAATATAAAACAATTTAAGAAGCCAGTTCATGACCCCTTTAACATCACGCCTTATGTCACATTTAGCAGACTGAAGCTGGACAATAATATTGTTTACATTTTGCAACTATACAACAAAGCAAGCAGTTGAGATCTGCTATATTATAGTATATATTACTTTACGTGAAGATACTGTATATAGTATAATATAGTTTATATTTTCCAACAATATTACATCATGTTCCTGACCTAATTCTTGTTTTCTGTTTTTTTTTTATGAAAGTGCAAAATGTCTGATTAGAGACTTAATAAATCAACCTCCTCGTCTTTCCACAAGGTGTCATCACCACTACACGTTCAGAGCCCTTGGAAGCGGCTCCTAGGACTCAGAAAGGCAGCTCAGAGTAAACAGAAATTAATGCCTGTATGTTTATAATAATTAACCTGATGCATGTAGTTGAAATGCACAACAAAAAGCATAGAGCCGTAAACTAAATTTAAGAGGCGTTAGTATCGCTTCTTATTAGTCTTAATTCAGATGGATTCCAACAAACCTTACAGTATACTTGACAAGGACCACTTTTACTAACTTGACCCTTACTTTCTTTATACTTTTACTAACCTTTGATTTCTTTACACTTTTGCTATCTTGCTATCACAACTGTGTGTGTAAAGTGTACTTACTTTACACTTTACTAACTGGACACTTTTACTTTACACTGACTACCTTTTGATTTCTTTTACTTTCACTTTTACCATCTTTACAATTTACTTGACACTTTATTTTACTTTATACTTTTACTAACCCTTGATTTCTTCTATTTTTACTTTTACTATCCTTGCAATTTACTTTACACTTTTACTAAATTGACACTTACTTTATACCTTTACTTTACACTTTTTTACCAACCTTTACAGTATACTGTGTTTATTTTACATGAGGACCACTTTTACTAACCTTTGATTTCTTTTACTTTCACCTTTACAATTTACTTTACACTTTCTTTTACTTTACACTTTAACTAACCTTTGATTTCTTTTACTTTCACCTTTACTATCTTTACAATTTACTTTACACTTTCTTTTACTTTACACTTTAACTAACTTTACACTTTTACTAACCTTTGATTTCTTTACACTTTTGCTATCTTGCTATCAAAACAGTGTGTGTAAAGTTTACTTACTTTACACTTTCTTTTACTTTACACTTTACTAACTGGACACTTTTACTTTATACTTGTACTAACCCTTGATTTCTTCTATTTTCACTTTTACTATCCTTACAATTTACTTTACACTTTCTTTTACTTTACACTTTAACTAACCTTTGATTTCTTTACACTTTTGCTATCTTACTATTACAACTGTGTGTGTAAAGTTTACTTACTTTACATTTTCTGTTACTTTACACTTTACTTACTGGACACTTTTTCTTAACACTGACTACCTTTTGATTTCTTTTACCATCTTTACAATTTACTTGACACTTTATTTTACTTTATACTTTTACTAACCCTTGATTTCTTCTATTTTTACTTTTACTATCATTGCAATTTACTTTACACTTTGACTAAATTGACACTTACTTTACACTTTTTTTTACCAAACTTTACAGTATACTGTGTTTATTTTACATGAGGACCACTTTTACGAACCTTTGATTTCTTTTACTTTCACCTTTACTATCTTTACAATTTACTTTACACTTTCTTTTACTTTACACTTTAACTAACCTTTGATTTCTTTTACTTTCACCTTTACTATCTTTACAATTTACTTTACACTTTAACTAACTTTACTTTTACTGACCTTTAATTTCTTTTATTTCCACTAACTATTAGTGACAATTTACTTTACACTTTACTAACCTTTACAGTATACTAACCTTTACAGTATACTGTTTTTAATTTACATGAGGACCACTTTTAATAACCTTTGATTCCTTTTCTTGTTAATGTTTTTTTCCTCAAGCATGCAAGTTGAGGATTTCTTGAAGCAGCATCTTAGTTGCTGTCGCGCTCAGTGTCTACAAAGCATGCACTGGTTAATGAAATACACCAAATACCCACTGTCAAGTGGTCTTATATGAGTGTTTGTGTTTGTAGCAAGCGGTTGACATGCGGTGCAGTGGGGATGACAAGCTGAAGGGATGGACGTTACAAGAACTGGAGCGAGATATAGAAGAAGCCTCAGCCCGGCTCTCCATGGCCCACAAGGAGATCCGCAGACTCACGGATGAGCTCGAGTCTGCTCACTTGACGCAGAAGGCTTATGGTAAATCCCTTCACTGGTCTCACACTAGGGATAAAGAGGTGGGACACACTCATAAACATACTGACATCGAAATCATGCTTTTGTTTTAGAACCAGAGCTGCAAGAAGCTCAAATGGAAGTTGAATTCCTCCGACACGAAGTGGAGAAACTGAAACGCTGTGGTATCATGTATTCCTCATTTCTCTGTCTTGTGCATCTTAGTAGTATCAACCTCTCAGCTGAACTGACCTATAGTCTGACTTGCTTTTCTTAGAAGTGGCTGAACTGCGAAAAATAAAAGAGATAAATGAGAAACAGGAAGAAGAACTGTGTTATCTTAGGGTGTGTGTGAAGAGACTACAGGCAGAGCGTGTGAATTTGCTTGAAATGGTAAGATAATCATCTATTTAAAGATGCATAAAGAAATGGTTCCACCAGAAACATATACATACATAACTGTTCAAAAATTTGGGGTCAGTAAGATTTGTTTAAGGAATTGAAAGACACTTTTATTTAGAAAGGATGCATTAAATTGATCAAAAGTGACAGTAAAAACAGTTCTAGTTTTACAAAAGATTTCTATTTCAAATAAACACTGTTGTTTTGAACTTTCCATTCATCAAAAACATCCAGAATTTTTTTTGATCAGTTTCCAGAAAAACATTAAGCAGCACAACTGTTTTCAACAATGATAATAATGAGAAATGTATCTTGAGGATCAAATCATCATATTAGAGTGATTTCTGAAGGATCATGTGACGCTGAAGACTGGAGTAATGATGCTGAAAACTCAGCTTTGATCACAGGAATAAATTATATTTTACAATACATTCACATAGAAAACAGTTATTTTTAATTGTAATAATATATCAAAATATTACAGTTTTTTTACTTTATTTTGATCAAATAAATGCAGCCTTGGTGAGCAGAAGAGCCTTTTTTTTTAAAAACATGGTTGTGTATAAATGTATATAAAGTTATAAAACGTTTGCATATTATATATATACACACACACGTACACACATTATAGTACTTCAATTTATCTTGAGTGAGTTGTTCATGTTATGTTACTGTAACAGGCAGAAGCCCCTGACAGCACTGTCACTCCATCCAAAGCCCAGAAGCTGCAGGAAGAGGATATTCATAAACGGTTCGACCGCAGTTTGACTGTATATAATCGATAAACATACTCATGCTAATGGACCTTATTTATATACATCATTTTTATAAGAATAAAGACAATGAAGAATTCCGCTGAGAAAACATGGACACACCTCTGGCAAGTGAAATGAAGGGTCTGGTGTTTTCCAGGTGTCTCGATGAGATGCAGGAGAGGTTGATCACGCTGCAGGATCTGACTCGGCTCACACTGAAGCTGCGGATGGAGTTTGAGATGGAGGCGGACCTGCGGAGGAGAGCAGTGGATGACTGTGAAGAGCAGAAGAGGAAGAGGACGGAGACGGAGCAGTTAGTGCGAGACTTTCAGAACCTCTGTGAGAAGCAGTCGAGCGATTACAGGTCCACCGTCAGCAGCCTTCAGCTCGAGGTGAGCACTGAGAAGGAAAACACACACACAAGTTGAATGTAGCAAATGCTTTAATGCATGTGTCTTGTGCATTCACAGATCAGAGATTTAGTATCTAAGGTGCGAGAGCTAGAGGTGCAGGATGTGGAACGACAGTGTGACAAACACCTGAAGCAGGTAACCAGAGCGATTCGACTTTGATTTGGTCATTAGTTATGATAAGGGACTAAATCACTGACTTCTTTTAGTTGTCCTCTCTGGACGCTGAAGTTCGCCGGCTGAAGTTTGTCCTCCAGGAGGAGCAGCAGAAGACCAGACAGCTGACAAAGACCACGCAGATAGAAATCCATCAGGCCAGAGCTTTGGTCCAGGTAAAGGAACCTCTATTGGAGTGTTGTTGCTTCCGGAAGTATTTTTTCTATTCATTTCTCCCATAGGGACTTCAAAAAAGTGTTTGTTAAAGAGTTAAGCCATGAGCCAAGTCAACCAGCTACGAGTTCATTCATAACATTTTGCATTTTAAAGTATATGGAAAATCGGACAATGGTGTACTTAACGTCTTTAGTGATGGAAAGAACTACAATCCCATGAAGTACTGTGAACAGCATAATCGAATTAAAAACAATAAAGAAATATAAAACTATTCATTTAAAAATGTTGATTATATATTTATATATACGTCATTTGCGTTGCTTCATAGGAGTGGGAGGAGCTAAAGCGCTAGTCTGGCACGTTTTGCTTCTTTCGACTCTCTGGGATTTTTCTGTACAGAATTATGGGTAATGCAGTTTAACACGATTATTATAAGTTGAAATAGCGTTGGCTGACGGCTTCAACATAAGCAAATAGTGTCTATTAACAACCTCGTAGCTCACTGTATTTATACATTTGCATAATTTCCAACACTTATAAGGGAAGTTTACAGCATTTCACCTATATTCTGCCAAATAAAACTTTGAGGATTTTAAATGTTAAAAGCTTGAGGATTTGAACGTTTAAAAGTGAAGAATTTAAGACATAAAATAGTTATTTTTATAATTATCACAAAAAAATGTTTTTTACAGTACAACTGTAATTTACAATAGTAATATATTTGTCTTCATTTTTATAATTGGAGTTAAAACTTATTATTAATAATAATAATAATAATAATAATAAAGACCCTGAAAGAGGTATTAGTTGGTTTCATCATCATCATATCGCTGTTAAAATTGCCATACATGACAAAATAATTGTAAAAAAATTTTGTGGCCAAGTTGTGAATCCCTATATATAGAAATATTAAATAACTTTAAAATAAAAACAATCAAAATAAAACATTTACTGAAAAGAGATTCGATATTTTATATAATTTGACCATTAACCGTCATCAGAGAACCATGAATATGCGAATATGTTGCTAAATTATTGAAATATTATCTTAGGCTCTCAGGATGTACTTCAAGTACATATTTTACAGGTTCCACTGTCATAAATGTTTGGGACCCCTGCTGTGACCCTGAAATGACACCGAACACACACTTTCAGTGGTTGAGGAGATTCCCCCTTCCACATGTAAAGCGCTTTGAGTACCTAGAGAAGCGCTATATAAATGTAACGAATTATTATTATTCGCATCAGTCACAGGAAGTCCAGCTTCAGCAGGACGCAGAGGAGCAGAAGAGTCTGTTTAAGGAGCTCCAGGGCATCCAGAAGATCCTCAGCACCACCAAACAAGAGCTGCTGTCCCAGAGGAGAAACAACACACAACTTCAACACAGCATCAGTGACGCGGAGCAGGAGAACCACAGGGTACCTGACATTTGTGTTGCTGAGGGAATCTTAAATCTGCTTTAGTCAACAGATTGCAATGGTTTAAGTTGTATATACCAATTTCAACTCATGTACTAACTCTAAATCATTTTTGTTTGCTGTACAAGCAGCTCCAACAAGACATCAGTGACTTGAAGAACAGACTAACCAGCAGTCAACAGGAGACGGACTCACTGAGGACTGAACTTCAGCTAGCTCTAGTTAGCGTGGACACTGAGAGGAGGTACAGAGAGCCAGGGTTATTTTAGTTACAGTCAACATAAAAGTAGTTGCGATTGTGTTTTCTACCCTATTGTGGCATATATCCGAGTGAAACGGCTTCTCGAACAAGAACAAATGTAGGGCGGGACTTTATTTTGTCTGTGGGGAATTGATTGGATGGTTGTGGTTTGCTATTGGTGGATCTCATGTGAGTGACAGGTTGCTCCGCCCTCGAGCCAGTAAACACATCATCAGAGAAGACAAGAGGGCTGCATCCGAAATTGTATACTTACCTACTATATAGTAGGTGAAAAACAGCATGTGACAAAATAATTCTGAACTCACAGTGCTCATAAAAGAGTAGGAAAAAGTACCCGGATGACCTACCTATTCCAGTGAGATTCTGAAATGTGCATATGATGGACACTTTACTATCCCATGAGGCCACGGGAGAGGATTTATGAATGGCAGTGAAGCGACATAACTGACACTGGTGGGTCACGTGATAAGGGCAACATGGTGAATGTAGTACTTCCGAATATCATTCATACTACAAAACATACTTTTTTAGCGAAAAATTAACACAATTTTTTTTTTAAATATATCAATAAAAACGATATTTTAGTTAGCATCTCAATGATGCTAAAGCAGCGCTGCAGAAAGATCCAAACATTAAAGATTAATTTAAAATGCTTTTTTGTTGAGTGATTTAAAGTAAAGCATTTGGAAGAGATGTGCTTTATATTTCCAGTAAATACAACGACAAGCGGATCCACTACAAAAACAAGCTGAGCCGGGCCAGAGGGCTTTACCTGAGAGAGACGGGGTGGCGGGACGACAAAATCAAAGAGCTGGAGAAAGAGATTTTTATTCTGAGGAAACAGGAGGAAAAGGTAAAATGGCAGACTAATGAAATATTCAAAGATTGTGTGAGACTTCTAAATGACGATATCTGCTCCTCATCAGACGTCACACATGATGACGATGGTCACATCTGAAAATGAGAGTCTGCTTCAGAAGAAGAGAGATCTTCTTTTACAGCTGCACGACTTCGAAGAGGCACAGAAAAATGCTTCGGATACAGTTTCCTCCATGCAAATTAGGTACTTTTGAATATGTTTGAAAGTTTGTGGTCAGCAGGATTTTTTAAAAGAAATTAAAGTGACAGTAACGACAAAAAATGTCTATTTCAAATAAACACTGTTCTGAAAAAACATATCACAGTATCCACAAAAAAAAATATTAAGCATATTAGAATGATTTCTGAAGGATCATGTGACACAGAAGACTGGAATAATGATGCTGAAAATTCAGCTTTGATCACAGGAATAAACAGTTATTGTAATAATATTTCACAATATAACGGTTTAACTGTATTTTTGAATAAATAAAATGCAGCCTTGCTGAGAATAAGAGACTTTTTTCAAATGAACTTACCAACCCCACACATTTGATCAGTAGTGTATTTTTGTTTTTCTGATCCATCCATCAAAACTACATTTCTTGTTGAACTTCCTCAGGATAAATTTGCTTGAAGAAGAAAACAGTCGGCTACAACAGACAACAGCACAAATGTCCGAGCACATCGAATGCCTGGCGATTCTGGCCGAGAACAATTGTGATGTAAGTACAAGTACGAATTTACAGATTTGCGAAGTAACAGTCGATGGTTTAGTTAAGGTTGTGTATGATCTGTGTTCATATTTTACAGCAGGAAGACACCGCTGAGAGTCGTGTCATAGAGGGCGAGGACCAAACCACTTTTCCTACATAAACTTCACTTTTATTTTCGGTATAAATTGTTTAAATCGTTTTTTTAAACATAAATATTTCTAAATAAAGATCTCAAAAACTTTTATTTCTTAATTATCTCAAAAAAACCTTCACTTTTCCTCATGTGAGAACATCATTGACATCAATGACAGGGCAGCCAGTCAATAAGACCGTTCACACTAAGAACGATAACTGTATTAGCGTATATTGTTCTGTTTAATCCAAGTCTGTTTTAAGTTCCCTTTCACCGACACCAAAACACATGTGTAACTCAACATACTAGAAACCACTAAGCATTATTAATTATATTATTAGTCAGTAATTGTCTTACCTGAGAGTATATCTGCAGTATTTGACAAACAGGAAGTGTGAACTGCTCTAATGGGACAGAAGCTTCTCCTCTTTTTTTGTCATAATACAGATGGCTTCATCCAAAGTGACATGAAGATCCGTTTTGACATCCTGTCCGCTTGTTTTTAGCAGGAAAAAGTATTCGCAAGACTCACTAACATCAATGCATTGACTTAAAGGAAAACTCCGACTTTTTGGGACTTTAGCCTATTCACCTTATCCCCCAGAGTTAGATAAGTCCATACATACCTTTTTCATCTCCGTGCGTGCTATAAGTCTGTTTGACGCACCCACCGCTAGCCTAGCTTAGCACAAAGACTGGATGTAAATGGTTGCAGCTAGCATACTAATCCAAGTAAGTGACAAAATAACGCAAACATTTTCCTATTTACATGTTGTGATTTGTATAGTCACAGAGTGTACAAAAAACAAAGTCACATGAGACACGGACATATTTTAACCATATAAATACTGGGAACTATATTCTCTGAAGGCGAAGCACTGCTACTTGGGCGGAGTGATAACCGCAGCACCTGAGACGCGCTCTCTGCTCCTCACCACGGTGCGTCTCCTCAGGTGGTGTAATAATCAGAGGTAAAAGTATTAGTGATAACCTAGCATGCATAAACACACACCGATGCAGAATTTTCTCATATATTTATTTGCTTACTTTTACAAAGTCCGTTCCATCGGCGTGTCTTGACTTTGCATTTAGCAGCCAAGGCGAATCTTATCGAGTACCACATTTCAAGACAATTAAAAAGGTATATTTTATAATAACTAGACATGTAGTCATTTTATATAAACTGGTTAACACTTAAGTACTGTATAGTTTATTTACAGCATGTTCATGCTAGGAAATAAAATTACATAAAAAGTACTGAATACACAAGTAAACACCAATATGGTATAAAATATATAAAATGTGATGGTAAACAACTAGTGATAAAATGGTTAAGGCTTAAAATGTGTAAAATCAACATGTTAGTTGTTAATATTTAAACATGGTAATAAGTATAAACATGTATAATAAGCCAAGGAGGTATTCTAGACATCAATTCAGCTACACAAATCTCATGGGCAACTCTGCATTGTAATCCAGCTATTTTTCCCCCCTAATATTGTTCTGTCCTGTGTGAAATTTAAAACGGCAATGGCTGAATTTCAAGAACATGTCCACATTATATTTCAAGCCAAAATCACAAGGAAAAAATGGGAATTTGTATTATGAATAAAAGAAAATGAAGCCTGTTTTGTAGGAGCACTGGGATTTTTAGCATTTTTTATGAGATTTTTTGATAATAAAATAAGTGAAAATAAAATTAAATCGCATTACTGTAATACAGTAATAAAAACCGTCTGGACATAATTTGTATTCCAAATTAATATTAATATTAAAATAAAAGCATGAAATAAGTTTAGTACAATGGTAACACTTTACAATAAGGTTTCATTTGTTAACATTATTTGTACTACACAAACTAACAATGAACAATACTTCTACAGCATTTAGTTGTACTTGTTAACATTAGTTAATGCACTGTGAACTAACAAACAAACAATGAACAACTGTATTTTTATTAACAAACATTAAGTGTGTGTGTGTTTGAGTGGGAGAAAGAGTATGTGCTTTCTGTACATAATCAGTTGTTTTTATCCTATTGTGTACTATATTTATTTACTATACCTTTGAAATAACAGAAATCATTCGGCAAAGTGATATGGAACTGTAATGTGGTCAAAATCTGCCTGAACGTTCGCCAACCAATCAGATTCAAGCATTCAACAGTCCCATAGTATAACAAAGATTAAAGAAAAATACATTGCTCACTTTTAGTTCATGTTAGTTAACTAATGTTAACGAGTGAGACCTTATTGTAAAGTGTTACCAATACAACAAATACTATCAAATACTACAATACGTACTCTACAATTTAAATAATAAGGGGATGAAAACACTGCCTTTAATGCAAAAAATCGAAACCTTCATTTTCTTTATGCAAAATATAAGATTGTGGACATTTCCTGACAGTTTTCACCCATCTAGAATGTCAAATGCATGCTGACATCCGTAACATAACGCGGGGCGTTTGAGTTGGTGCAAGTTTACACTTTTTTAAAGTGTGAATTCTAAACGCTGTACGTGTTCACGCCATTTTCATATTTAATTTTTGGCACCAGACCACAAAACATTTTTGTAAAGCACTAAGATTATTCTTGGAAAACATCTAAATGTGCTGATCTGTCAGTAAAGTCCTCTGCAGATTTATAACAGTCCCCTTGAGAAGTTTACTTGAATGCTAAACTTATTCTTAGTACAATTTCCCTACGAGCAAGGAAAGAAAAACATTTTTACGATTGACATTATCAAAACACAAGACCATTGGTCTCTAAACCAACTCTGAGTTGCCCAAGAGAAGGGGATTTTTCCCAGACAGCATAGAAAAATATGAGAGGAGGTACTGGACTTGGTCCAAGCTTAAAACATACAACGTATGTCTTCTGATTTTATAATGCATAATACCTACAGTCCCAAACGTTTAGCTGCCAAGAGCAATGCCTTTATTGTCATAACAGACCAGAAACGTTTAAAGCCAAACCTGTGTGGCCTGAAAGTGCTGTGAAACCATCTTTGGATTTCCCGATTATTCCTTCTCAACTCAACAATGAGTTCAAGAAGAGTAACGCGTGTAATAGAACCTCCCGAAGTCGCTGCTGTGTTTTGAGCCTCTATCCACACAGTCTAATACCTTTTGGAATGTTCTCAAAAATGAAACAAACTAACAAACACACACACACACACACCCAAAAAAAAAAAGTCAAACCACCGAGAACAGGCGATTTTGCTTGCTTATGCCAAGATTGGGAAAGACTGACCGCAGGACCGGGAGCTCAGATGAGGGAAATGCGAACGGGAACGTTGGGGGAATCGGTCCTTTGCGGCGAGTGTTGACTCACCAGATGTTCTACCACCGTGTGCTTGGACATGTGCTTCATAAGGTAGGTCTCCTGCGAAGGGACAATATATCACAAGATTTAAGATATTCATGGAAAACAAATGCCGTGAAAAACACACAAAACACATCTAAAACGGGAAAGAGCTTTGCGATTGACTGTACAACTAGATTTGACCAGAAATCTGAGGTACTGTATATTTTTACAGACTGCAAAAAGCTACAGAACAGACTATATTCGGCATAATTGGATGTTTTTAAATAAACTCTGACAAAAAACTATACAAGTTTTAGGGCTGGACGATATGATGATATACAGTATAACATTAATGTAAGTGATCACTCGGATTTAGACCCATCTATATTGTATTTGGATAAAACGTTGGCAGGCAAATTTTCTTAATTTATTTCCCCGGCGTCGAAATCAGGCACATATACATGTCAGGAAACACGATTCCTGGCTGCATGTCAATATCCATGGATCACTGGATCTTTGATAAGTTGTAAGGAACACTATATCGAGTCCAACTTTTAGTTTAAACTGATAATAGTTTGTTTTACCCGTGTTTTGGCAGTTTCCCCTATTAACTCCAGCCACTCAGCAGCTCTTTTGCCACTCAGTCCGGCTGAGGGGGGCGTGTTCCGGCGGGAAAGTGACGTTAATGCATTCCCTCTATTGCTGAAAGACTGCCTGAACATGTTCACGAAATCCTAAAAGTGTTGATTTAATTGGAAATGACATCCCGTTTGTTCTCAAACTGTGGTACTGTGGACATTTAAATAAATATTTAAAATACCAATTGTCAAATAAAATGTCTCACTTTTTATTTTACATTTCTAATTCTGGATCTATTTAAAAAAAAAAAAAAGGTTAACATGCCAGAGTATCTCAACCTGTGGAACTACTCGGGAAGTTTAAAATAAACTTTAAATAAATAAGATATTTAAAATAAACATTTCATTTAAATGGTCACATTTTATTTGACAATCATATTTCTATTTGTTCTGAAACTGTTAAAATAGCTTTACATTTTTTATAAATAATGATGATAATAAAAATCAGAATCGAGATTTTAATATATATATATATATATATATATATGAAATGCATTTACTGTAACTAGTAGGGGTGGAACGGTACACAGAAGTCACGGTTCGGTTCATACCTCGGTTCAGACATCACGGTTCGGTATGATTTCGGTACAATGGAGGGAAAAAGCAAAACAAAAATGCAGAAGGCATTGTATTTTTTAAATAAGTTTTTATTAATAAAGGCATAGAACCAGTTTATTTGTAGTGCACTGACAATAGTTTTATATAATTAGTTTATTAATTAAATTAATAAAAAGACAAAAAGACCTTGCGATATGTTTGGTAATTGTACTATTAATTTAAAATTATTTTGCTATATTTCAGATCAATATATTTGTTTTCCTTAATTTTAATTAACATTATTAATTGACAATGTAACATTATTCTCATCTGAATTATAAATAATTGATTTCTGTATAAAATAATACTACCATTAAAAACACATTCGATTTTCTTTTTTAATCAATGTTGAATGTGTAAGATTAGTGCTCCGAGGACGAGAAATGAAAACCAATGCAATATGATGAATGTCCAAAAGACAGACTGTTTTGAAATGGAGTTGGATAAATGTTTTGCTTTCAAAACAGTGTGTATGTGATTTTGGTAGGGTGACAGTTGTAGGTTACAGTTTGACAAGAGTTTACAGTGTGACAAAAGCACAATGTTGTGTTTTATTGCGAGTGTACACAAATATAAGTAAACACTTTGCAGGTTTAATGATCTGTATAAACAAAATGCTCTCTCTCTCTCTCTCTCACACACAGTTCGATCGCGCCCGCGCGCCTCTCTCTCTCTCTCTCGCACACACACACACTCTCCAGCATTGCAATCTTGACATCGCAGCCTGTTCATTATGCGGTCACACCAAACGTGAACAGAGCTTCAAATTCACGTCTAGTTCGACGCTAGTCCAAAGCGAATAGGACGCGCGTATAAGCCAACGTTTGAAGTGAACGCGCGTTCAGAGCTAAGCCGATGGTACAGATTATGTGTCCCTAAAGAACCCGCGTATCTAACAGTAGTTCCGCATTACATTAATTAATTTGCACGCGAGTTTTATTTATTTTTATACCGTGTATTCTCCGTGTAAATTCGTGCACCGAACCGTGACGCCCGTACCGTTTCGGTTCGAACTTCGATACGAATACATGAACCGTTCCACCCCTAGTAACTAGTCACCATTTAACATTTATGCATATTTTTTTTAATGGTCCTGCATTTTTTAATCTCTCAAATAATGTGAGGTCATAAATGCTGTTTGAATATTAATTATAAAAGACTCATACGTTCTTGGTTTGAGAGTTTGAGAACACTGCCCTGAGAAGAGTGAAGAGTATGAGGAAAGCTGTAGTACTCACAGAGGTGTAGGCTCGCCCACACATGCTGCAACAGTACGCCTTGGCGTTTTTGATAGCGTGAGCCGACAGGTGGATTTGGAGGGAGGCGGAGTCAGAGTATGCGCGGTAACAGTTGGAGCACTTGTAAGGCTTGTCTTTATTATGTGATCTCTGGTGGGACTGCAGAAACACAACGCTCTTGTTATACACCAACACACACTCACACAGACAGATGACAGAATTCGGGTGGATTGAGGTCAGGGTTAAAGGGATAGTTCACCCAAAAATAAAAATTCTGTCATTATTTACTCACCCTCATGTTGTTTTAAACCCGTAAGACTTTCATTCGTCTTCAGAACACAAATGAAGATCTTTTTGATGAAATCTGAGAGCTTTCTGTCCCTCCATTGACAGTTACGCAACTACCACTTTGACGCTTCAAAAAGTTCATAAAGAGATCGTAAAATTGAGCGGTTTAGTACGAATTTTCTGAAGAGACTCAATCACTTTATATGATGAACAGATTGAATTTAGCCATTTATTTACATATAAACATTGATCAGCGAACTTAAACAGAAGCTCAACTGAACTTGCTTGATGCGCAAGAACAAACCTCATTGGTTCTTGCTGAAGGCTCAAACGCGCTACGTAACACGAGAATGAACCTCATTGGTTCTCTCACATCTAGCGAACATGATTGAGCTTCAGTTTACCACAACTGATGTGAGAGTTGATCAATGTTTATGTGAATAAAAGCCTAAATTCAATCTGTTCATCATATAAACTAAAGTGATCGAGTGTCTTCAGAAAATTTGGACTAAACCACTCAATTCATATGGCATACCTGTCAACACTCCCGTTTTTCCCGGGTTTCTCCCGGACCCCTCCTGGTTTGTTATTTCTCCTGGGAAACTCCCGTAATTTGCATGGCCCAAACTCCTTTATGAATAATCGGACCAATATGTTTGTCTAATGTTGACCAGGTGCCAGATCTGCATTATATTCACACAATCCACACATCATATACAATTCAACCTGTTTGTCATCTCAACCTGGCAACCTATACCCCAGTTCTGCAGTCGCGGAAAGCTCTTTCATTTTTGTGTGAACTATCCCTTTAATGAAGTATGTGAACGATTGCAAGAGAAGAGATATTTGGGTCTTACTTGCAGATTGGAGAGCTGCGTGAAGGCCTTTTCACAGCCTGGATGGAGACATTTATACGGCCGATCACCTGTGTGGATTCTGTAGAATGCAAAAAACAAGCACAAGGTGATGGAAAATGTCAAAACACAAGATTAAATGTCTTACAATCTCGAAATATCCTCGTTTCATTCTGGTAATACCATGCCATCGCTAGTTGTATTTGTACACACAGCACGCTTGTCGACACATGCTCTTGCAGTACCTGGTGTGCTGCTGTAAGTGGGAGAGCTGGCGGAAGGATTTCTCGCAGTAGGAGCAGTGATAAGGCTTCACTCCCAGGTGAATGCGCAGGTGCTGAGACAGGTAGGACGCGTTGGCGAAGGACTTGGTGCAGTGAGGGCACTTGTGGGGCTTTGCTTCCGTGTGGGACTTGGAGTGTATCTGCATGTCCGACTTGGAGAAGAACGTCAGCGGACACACTTTACATCTGCAAAATGTGAAAAAAAAATATATAATTTTTTTTTTTTTAAATGGGGGTATGTGGGGGACTCAGGAGAAACTCTAAAGCGGTTTATGTGGTTAGTACTGTTTGTAAATGGTATAAAAGCAATTTATGGAAGCTAATCTCTATAGATGACATATACTGCAGTTTGGAGCCATATATAACAGTGAAAAGACACTTGCAGGGGAAGGGAATTCAATTCAATTTGGATTTGGACCAAGAGATCGAATGCTTTTTGCAGCCAAAAATCAATGCTGTTTGATGTTGCAATATTTACATCTAGGGCTTCAGGATTAAAATGAAAATCACGACATCTGATTATCAAATCAGGTAAATAATAAATAAATATATGCACTGTGTGTTCACAGTAAATGCTGATCCACATGAGCTCAAGCATTTAGCAACACAACATGCACCAATCATCTTTCCAAACATATAAACCGGCTTTTGTCAACAAAAGAGAAGCTTTAAGATCGTTCTGACAAAATAAAAGCTTGACGGTTTAACTTTTGAAATTAAAACAGCCATACATTTTTGTAATTTTACATAAATTGTAATTTGTACAATAGAATTATTATTATTTTTCTTAAATTAATTCATAACAACAAATTATTTAGCAGAATTGTGCAAAAAGACAACTATTTTAAATCGCAGAAAAATAGCAATAACATTGCTATTTAAATAACATTTATTCATTTTATTTGTTCGTATACAAAGTAAGCAATTCCCTGGGAATCAAACCCATGACTTTGCACCTTCACTGTCTTGATGCAGCATATTTCTATGCAAATGAAACGCATGCAATAAATGTCTTGAAATATGAGAGCAATACTAGAGGAGAATATCTTAATTTTGGGCCGAAGTGTTCCTTTAAACACAAATCATCATGAAATGCACCTGTTTCATTTTTTTAACTTCTACCTGTATGTTTTGCCCTCCTTGGCAGGGATGCCGCCGGTTGATTGGTCGACTCCAGAGGCCAGGATCGGGTAGGGAACGACTAAGAGCGGCCCAGAGGAGTTTTCAGCTTTGATCTTTTTGCGACCTCGTCCTATGCTCTTGGGAGGCGGACCCAGCAGTCCTGCCAGTCCTCCGCTGTTTTTGAAAGCCTCCATCCCGGGCCCGCCGGCCAGTCCTGAGAGGAGGTTTGGGGAAAGAGTCTGACTGCTGGTGGTTGGAGTGGTCGGGGTGGTCGGTGTCACGCTGTCTGACGTGTTGAGGTTGGCAGTTCGAGAAGACGTCAGTGACAGTCCTGAAAATATACCTCAATTAAAAAGGCCATATTATGCACTTTTACAAAGTCTTGGTTTTGTTTTTGGGCTCTACTACAACAGGTTTTTCACATATTTGACATTATTGCAGCTCCTCTCTTCCCAGTCTGTCAGTAACGCTCTGTTTAGTTCCTGTCTCTATGAAGCCCCTCCTTCTGAAAAAGCACAATATGCTCTGATTGGTCGGCTGGAGCAGTGTGTTGTGATTGGTCCAGTGGTGGAGGAAGTACTGAATGTCAGTACTTAAGTAAAAGTACATATAACCAGAGACAAATTTACTTTAGTGAAAGTAGAAGTATCACAATGACAACCCTACTTAAGTAAAAAGTACCTGATTTTAAATGTACTTTAAGTATTAAAAGTAAAAGTACTTGCATAACAATTTATTCTCTTAATGTCTATATTAAATGATTAATAAAACAGTTAATCCTAACTCATTCAACCTAATACTCCTATTATGATGTTCAATAATGATGGAAAAGCCGTTTTTTTTTAAGTTTCTGTCACCATTTCTGAACAAGCTTGCAATTAGGCAATATACATCACATCAAGCTTAATGTGACGGGGTTTGGCTGTAAACGCGATTCATTTATGGCGTAATTCTGAACCTCTTGGCTTGCCATACTAATCCTAACCAAACGTAGAATACACACGCACCCCACATCACTATGCACGTAAAAACAAATTTCCGCGTATAAATTGCACGATGGGGTTGATATGGCAACCAAACTTCACTGGTGAGACAAACGTGCGACGAACGGACGGTCAGGATGACGTCTTGGCAGGGGAAAAACTGATCAGAAAATGTAACGAAAATGTAACAGAACGTTGTAGAAATGTAGTGGAGTAGAAAGTATAATAATTGCTGCAAAATGTAACGAAGTAAAAGTAATAAGTATGCACTATTGATTCTACTTAAGTAAAGTAAAGATACGTGAAAAATGTACTTAAGTAAAGTAATGAAGTATTTGTACTTCGTTACATTCCACCACTGGATTGGTCAAGCGTTTAGAGTGTGTTTGGAAAATGTCCCGCCCCTTATCATAATCGTGAGTTTCAACACACTGTTTCAACTAACTCAATCAAGCCCCGCCCATTTAATCTGCATATGCCTCTACAGGAATTATTGAAATTATGAATATTGTGACGTCCTCATTCCCGGAAGAAAACTCAAGACTACAATGGAGCGTTTCAGGGAGTTCAGAGACACTGACACTGAAATATATAGATATAAAGAAATATCTCCCGCTGAAGGAGCTTAGCAGACCTCAAACAGCAACATTAATCACTGAAGAGAGTTGAATATGGAAAAAAAAGCAAAATAGGTCCTCTATAAGTATATAATGGCAAAAACATAATTGCATTAAACAATTACCATATTTTACATGCACATACCTGAAAGATGATTCGCTCTGGATGGCTGGTCTATGATTTGCCGCAAATGCCAGTCTTCCCACAATCCCCTTGCTTTAATGGCAGTCTTATCGTCCAGATTCAAGTTGACGTCACCCAGAATACGACCTGGCCAAGTTAAGAGCACAGTTAGCAGTCTGCATGTGTGTCAGTGAGCAGCTTGGCCCCATGCCTGGAGGGTTTACCTGCGACGGAGCTGGAGGCGGGTCGAGCGTGCAGGGCGATGTCGGGCTGAGAGCTGTTGTGCACGTGGAGTCCTGGCATCTGCTGCAGCTTGGGCGTCGATATATTGTGCTGCCCGCCTTCTGTGGATGTGGGTGGAACCAGCAAGGGCTGCTGGGAAGGGACAGAAGTGGGCGGCAGGTGTGGAGGTCTGATTTTCTCCGCCATTAGCTGTTCTTTGATCTTGTTAATCAGCACGAGATTATCCAGCTGGGAAAAAGTGAGATCAACCTGATGGTTCCGACATGATGAGAAGAACTCATGTTTAGCCCTATAAAGCCTGCTGTATCATGTTTGATATGCAGTTTTTAGGCCTTTAAATTATCAACATGATTAAAACCGCTGAAAAAATGCCTTCTACATGCCTTCTTTCGTCTACTTGATAATTTAAGCAAGTAAAACAACTTTTAGTATCATTCTAAAAACTTTTCTGTGAAATCTTTACTGATTCTTATAAAGTAAATGAAAGAATAACTTTTATATTGTTAGTAATATTTTAAGATTAATACCTACTGGACTGAAGAAACTTAGGTTTACTTGATTATCCATACATCGTTTGAAAATTAGAAAATGTGAATATCAAATATGAATCATCAGGCTTTTTTATTTGTACATCTCTTAATCATCATTGTATTGCCTTGTATTACATGTTTCCTTCCACAATAAAAACTAAGCATTCAAGTATCAACTTACCAAGACATATTGTGTGTGACAAATGACAAATGATATTTATATGCATTTTATATTTAGTCTTTTATACCGTTATATCAGAATTCATCTTTCTTTTTGGCCATGTAAATATCAGCAATTTTTGCTCAGTTTGGGCCTTTGAATAAAATTGAGGTGTTTTTCCTCCAATGAGCTTCATATATGAGCTTTAAAACACTGATGTATCAAATATTTTTTTTTGTGATTTTGTCTAAAGGTTCAATACACCATTCCATTACAAAACAATTCGATTTTTGACTATTATTTCACATGTCAGTCTTTACGAGGTTAAGAGCATTTGCTGACTAGAGAAAGATCTGACTGTTTGAAAGATGCATCTTAAACTCTAATCTAATATAGTAATTGCACTCTTATCTGTTACTTAAAGGAGAACTCCGGTCAATTTTAACATTGAGCTCATTTTTTTGTACATTTGGAGTGCTGTCAGTACAGACAAAAACGACAAAAATCGGTGTTGCCTACATCGTGTTATCCTCTTTTTAAAATTCGCAGATGTGAAAGATATTAATAAAAATGATGATGACAGTAGTCAATTGTCGAGTGCGCGCGCGCGATCATTAGTCAGATTAGTTACCAATGATCGCGCGCGCGAACTCGACAATCGACTACTGTGGACTTCGAACGAAAACAGGAAGTAAATACAGGTATGTGAGCTGGCTGAATCAACATCATTTTTATTAATATCTTTCTCATCTACTGCAGTCAGATTGACCGTGGTCACTCTTAATAACACCACTCACATGGCTGTGCACTTGTAATGACAAATCAAGGATGTTAAGAGGCTAAAAGCAGGTTTAGAACTTGCCCCATTGAAGTCAACAGGGTGCGAATTTTAAAAAGAGGATAACACGGTGTAGGCAACACCGATTTTTTGTCGTTTTTGTCTGTGCTGACAGGCTCAGCACTCCAAATGTACAACAAAATGAGATCAATGTTAAAATTGACCGGAGTTCTCCTTTAAGACAACTAGTAAACAACAATGATTCTCAAGACTGGTTGTCTAGAACTAAAGTAAATTAAAAATTATAAAGACAGGGTCTAATTATGTCTGTCCATTGATGCACGTTCATTTTCCTTACCTGACCAGGAATAGAAGGTGGAGGAGGCCAGAAGTATGGATTATTAAATCTAGGTTCTGCCATTCTGAAACACACAAAGTCATGCTTGATTAATGATGCTTTATTTTAGGTCATTCACTATTACTTGCCCAATCCTAGGATGGATCCTTTTTGGGATTGCATATATAATTTAGATTCCTTGCTACTGAGATTCCCAGATTATGGCCTGGTTTCACAGACAAGGCTAAGATTGAGCCAGGATTAGGCCTTAGTTCATAGCTTTTATAAATGTGCCTTAGATTAAAAAAAACATTACTGGTGTGCACCTTGAGACAAATCAATGGCAGTGACATATTTCAAGATATGTCAGTGCAAGTTGTGGTCAGTTGAAACAGCTCAAACATGCATTTTAGTCTGGGACTAGACTTAAGCCTCGTCTGTGAAACCGGGGGAAAGACAATACTAAGAGAATGTGAATGAATGAAACTAGGGCGACTGAAATAAACAGGAAAATATGCATTGCATAGATTAGGTCTGACCTCTCCGGATTATATATTGATAAGAAATGCAGATCTAATCTAAGGAGAAAAATTCAATTAAACAGTATATCAGTTGAGAAACAACATTCACAACCCATTTAACTTCCATAGAGTGTCATATTTGAGAATAAAACAGGATATTCAAGAAAATACAGATAACAGAACAATTTTCTTTTATTTAAAACATTACCAAGGATGTATATCAGAGGTTAGTTAAAATATGTAATTCTGATTCAAACACTAGGATCTAGCTTCATGTACAGAGTTATAGTAAAGCTTTATTACAGTGACATGGCATCACTCCCATTGTTCAGAAGATCTTTTTGTTGAAGACTTGCACTAATACTAACACATTCATTGTAGACTGTGCCTTTAAATGCATTGGTACATTGCTGCGTCATATTATTCATGACACAGTGGTATTAATATGATACAACACAGAACCAGTATTTCGAGCAAAATCACACTGTTTGTTCACACAGTTCACACACCTACAGCAGATTAATAATATAATGCCTCAACATGACGCCCGTTGGGAAAATCAAACAAGTAACTTCTTAATGCAACACTTAAGTATTGCTTGTTGGATTCCTATAGCAAAATACAAATGCGTTAAAACATTTTTAGTAAATATGCTTTGCTGTGATGGAGCAAACTTCTTCAGATTATGTTAGTCTTATCACAACAATGTAAAAGATTTCAACTTAAAAACTTAAGTTCTGTTGCTGCCTTAAATTGTTAAATAATCAAAATAGCTGTACAAGTCATTTCAACTTAAATCATATTAAACTGACCTTAAAAATCAAGTCGTCTCGTATAACTTAGAAAAAACAAGAAAGATCACTTAAAAAATAAGCTGAAATAGCTTAACATATTTTGATGAGTTAAAGTAGCCTAATGTAAAAACGTGTCGCCTTAACATATTGATCATATATTTTTTTTTACAGTGAAAGCTTATAAACAAAAAGCACTTTATTAAATCGATCTGAAAACTACATTGACTGCAAAGTGACAAAAAGAAAAGAAAATGATGATATTTGAGTCTCTGAATGTTAAAACCTAAAAATGTCAACTGCAGTGTCTGATTCATATGGAAAAGTGAAAACTCTACCCCACAGTTTTAGCAGGAAGTGAAACAGACACCCTTTCAGCATCATTAAGGAAATATTCAGCAGGGTCTGGCCTCATATATTTGGACATATCGCTTTTATTATTTTTGGCTGCGGTAAATGAATTTCTCTGCAAGGCCCCTTAGTCAAACACTCTCAAGACCCATAAGCACTGCCAAAACATTCATAGCACGGTGTCATAGACATAATGTATGAAAATGATACGCCTTAAGTAATCACACCGTATGGAAACGTTTCTAAAGGTCCAGAGTTCCCAACGGGCAAAAGAGAGCAGGTAAAGATTGGGTTGAGCGGAAGGATGTTCCTGTTTGCTTAATGCAACCACTTCAAGGAATCATTTTTCTATATAAAAATAAATTACTGTGGTGAAACCAGGGTACAGTGCTGGATACTTCAAATTAATTGTTTTGTAAAAACCTTTCAGATACAAAATAGCTTATCTGCACTAAAAGTAATTTATAATTAATTATTATGAAGATCTCAACTAATGTGGCACTGAAATTCATATCTGGTAAGTATTTCCAAGAATATCATGGTACTACCATAGTAAATGTCCTCCAAATAACAAACAAACAGGGAAGTACCATGTAACTGTACTTAGATTGGCATTAATCTGGGGTGCATTATAAATATAGTTTTAAAAATATAGTTAATAATATGATTCATTTTAGGGTAACACTTTATTTTACAGTGCCATTGTTACAGATATGTAGTTACTAGTAATTATGCTTAATTACATGCAACTAACCCCGTAGTACGCATTTCTACTAACTTATTATTAGTCAGTACTTAAATGTATAATTACACTGTAACAAAGACACCTTAAAATATAGTGTAACCGCAAACTACAAAGACTTCTTCCTATATCCCCAGGTTTCGTCTCATTTAAATGACGCTGAGGTGAAGAAATCTGTGAGTTGCAGGCTGACTGTAACATTTCAAACTATTTCATACTCAAATAAGCACCTTTAAACAACATGTAAACATCAAATAAACATTTCGGCGAGGAATGACACGCCTCCGAGTCTCTGATATAAACTGAGATAAAACTTACTCAACTTTTTCTTTTATTCTATCGACATCCTTGAAATCATTCCCAATTAAAGCACGTCGTCTTTGATCGAACATCAAATTAAAAAGATTCGGAAAATCTTGTAAAATCGTGGCTTCAGAAAGTGCAGGTCCCCGGTGTCTGCCTCTCCCACATTCTCAGACAGTTTTATTAAAAATTTCAGACAAAAGGAAAACAAAAATGGCAGCCTGTCTTATTTTTATAAGGACAGGGCGCCATATTCTGCAGATCCCAAATTTTTTAGCGACAAAAATAAAGCGCGTGAATTCAGATCAAAGGAGCGACGCGTAAAACGCCGCATTATTTGCATTAAGTGTGTGAATTATTGTTTACTTAGATCTGCAGGTTTGAATAGCCCGGCTGGAGGAGAAAAAAAAAACAGAGAGGAGAAAAAAAACGAGAGACTTCCTACAACAATCATGCGATGCGAAAAACACACACAAATGGAAACAGACACGCATCCCTCCCGAGAAAATGTAACATTTCTATCATGACGCGATTATGCAGAAGAGCGCAGATGGAATATTGTTGCAACACGCAACTGCTTTTCATTTTTTTTTTCTTTTATTTGAACTTTTTTGCTCGCTCGAATGACTGTGGTAACTAGCATCGTTTCACTGCATCGTGCAAGCGTCAAACAATTATATGCATTCGTGAATATGAAAAGAGACAAATAGACATACCTTAACAGACCTCGACGGTGGATTTATTAGATTTATTGAAAGGTTGAGATGTTGTTTCGGCTTTGCCTTCGGAGGGAGTTCAGACCTTCCGGGTCGCCTGTCGTTCACTTCTGGTGCTGCAGACACACACACAGCTAGAGCAGAGAAACCATGACAAACACACAGCAGAGCCCAAGCCAGAACATCACACACAATCATGACTCGATGACATTTCGCGTTAATTCCTTTGAGAAGTCAGGGAAGTGATTTACAGGCTATGGAGTTCAAAAGAAGACACTGAGATATGGATTGCCCGACTCATGTCATAACAGATCACAGCCGGTCTCACGACCGACATATAATATGCATTTTTAGAACATAATATGCATATATCAACATATAATATGCATTATATGTCTGTAAGCAGATTGCATTTGGGTAGGAATAGAATAGAGATATGATGTGCAAACAAAAACAACACAATATACACTAATACTACCAGCCAAAAGTTGGAACACATTTACTAGTTATTATTAGGCAATTTTCAAAATCTAAATAAAGTCATCAGACCTATGAAATGCCATTATTATGAGAATTATGCAGTGACCTACATATATTAAACAAACAACAACAAAAATGAATGCATCTGAGCTTCTTTATCAAGATTTCAGCTCTGGACATTTTCTTAAAGGGATAGTTCACCCCCAAATAAAAATGATCCCATGATTTACTTACCCTCAAACCATAGGTGTAAAACAGTCAAACACAATCTGAGTTATATTAAATAATATCTTGACTCTTTCCAGCTTTATAATGGGAGTGATTGGTACCTTAGATTTTGAAGCCCAAAAAAGCGCATTCATCCGTCATAAAAGTAATCCATATGACTCCAGAAGTTAATATATAGGCCTTCTGAACAGAAGCGTTTGTGTAATCAAAATATCCATGTTTATAACTTTATAAACTCTAATCACTGGCTTTTCCAGTAACATCCGTACCAGAGTCTAGTTCTGGTGCAAGAGTGACCTCTGACCCGAACGTGGAATTAGAAGTCTAAAATTATTTTATTTTTTTAAAGAGAAATGTTGGAGAAGCTTGAGTTTGTTGCCCAGCTCTATTAGTTTGAGCCACGAGAGGTGTCTATTCTCACCCAAGCTTACGCTACTCCAACATCATATGTCATGCGTCAGGTCAGAGGTCACTCGTCATGCATCGGGGTCAGAGGTCACTCTTCTTCCGGAACTAGACTCGCATACGGCCGTTAACACATCGCTTCTCTTTAGAAGGCCTATATTAACCCCTGGAGCCGTATGGATTACTTTTATGATGGATGGATGGATGCGCTTTTTTGGGCTTAAAAATCTAAGGTACCATCCACTCTCATTATAAAGCTTGGAAGAGCCAGGATATTTTTTAATATAACTCTGATTGTGTTCGGCCGAAAGAAAGTCATATACACCTAGGATGGCTCGAGGGTGAGTAAATTATGGGATAATTTTCATTTTTGGGTGAATTACCACTTGAACCAATTTAGGATGTTGACAACCTGTCTTATCTTCATCTGTTCCAACTAATCCTTTTCAAAAAGTTTACACCGTTTATAATCTGTGAACTCAATCTGTAATTGTCTACAAACGCATTTAAGAAGCACAAGACTTCAGATTAAATGTTTTTTATGATGATGTGCAACATTGAAATGAAAGTAAATCTTCATTTCTGAGCATGTACCTTCTTTTGTACCTTGTCATTCTGTTAACTGAACACTAGATGGCAGCAGGAGCACAGTCTGCTTCAGTCTGACCGCTCCAGGATTCAAGGGGTTTTTAAACGAGTGTGTGGAGCCACAAACACCCTTCAGTGTTCTTGCAGGAGCTCTTTAGTGTTCGCCACGCCATCAGTCAACGAACCGTGACGTGTGCTGTCAGTGTCACGGGACCTGCATCACACACACACATCTGAACACTGAGGAGGAAGCAGATGGACTGGTTTCTGTGAGATCTAGTCAAACACTCCCACTGCACAGACACGTGCTTTTGAGTCCAGGTGAGACAGGAAAACTCTCGACTGTTTAGACACGTCCCACTGGGGGGAGGGTGAAGAGAAATGCACACACACTCTGAAAAGCTCACACAGAATGAGTGACTGCTGCTGTGTTCAGGTGGGGATCAGTGTCTCCTCAGCGCCTTGACTAATGTTCCTCCAGCTTCTTGGCTAGAGCTTCACTGGGGTCTGTGGTTTCAGCGCTGCATCACGTGAAGAACCTCAGATCTCACAGGCTTTGCTGCATTACTTCATCTCTGCTTTCTGGTGAGTGAGGAATCAGCTTGGACTGGCCCTGCAATTATGCCATTGCAATTGACCAAATGCTCTTGATTTTATTGAATTATTTAGATGTTTTTATACTGTTATTTTCATGAATGTAAATACATGTGTATGAAAATTAAAGTATAAAACATGCGTAAACCAGTCCTCACAAAGATAGTTGTACAAGTACACACACACAAATTATAGAAGACATTATAGAAGTGGGAAAAGTTACTTTTTTGGGGGGGAATAAGATCAGATGCCATTATGTATCCAGTTCCATGTATTAAACAAACAAGTTTGATTTCATATTGACTTTAATGTATCTTTGGCCTTGAACACAGTCCTGCATAATTCGACTCTCTTTTAAAAATCTACTAGTGCATTTAATCAGCTTCCTTCCAGAGAATGTGCATTAACGGACATGTCTGTTCTGTGCAGATGGAGGGTGTTCTGGATGCTGCGCTCCGTGTGTGTGTGTGTAAACTGATGAGCAGTGTGCTGTTGTGTCCGTCTGTAGTCACACACACCATCACTGCGGTCAGTCTTTGCTGCTGCTGCCTGCTGTTATTCACGGACCTGGCCGTCACCCGTAAGCAGAACCGCACGTGTTCTCCTCGTTTTCCTTTAATTCGTCGGTTTAACGCCTGTTTTCTGTGCCTCCAGTGTTTCTGCTCTACGTCTGGCTCATGGAGTTCTGGTTGACGCCTTTTAGCGTTTCTTCGGATGTCGTCGCCCTTCGATTCCTGCTGTTTCTCTGCCAGGCCTATGGAGTCGTGCTGTTGCTGACGCCGCTTCTGATCGCGGTGGAGTTGCTGGTAAATCTGCTGCGGCGTCCTCAGGACGGGACAACCACGGGACACTTGGAGCAAAATGCAAGTGAATCTAAACGTGTTTCGAGGACGATTGGCTGTTTCGGATGTCTTCTCGCATGGATTGTGAGTGGAATCTACAGCAGTCATGACTGGACGCTGGAACGGTTCTCTGTGGAAGCCTGTTTGAAAAGAGGCGGACGCCTTGTTACATGCATTCCCGACATGGATGAGGTATCCTGGGTTCTTCCTGCAATGGTGGTCCTGTTGAGTTTGACGGGGAGTTTGGGTCGGCTCAAGTCCCGAAGTCCGTCTGTCTCGTATAGAAACACACAGATGGGCGAGAAAAAGGACTATGGTGTCCTCGGGCAAATGCATATGTCACTTAGTCTGGTTGACTCAACAACCCCCAACAGCTGTGGCGTTCACAGGGATGGGTGTGTTTACAGTGAGCAACGATGGTCCTGTCCTGGGAACGATGTCCTGTGTGCTCACCAAACCGGTTTGGCAGACAATTACAGCCAGAAACAAAACCTATCAACGTTTGCACAGTCTAAAACCGATCTTCGGCCAGAGGTCACATCACTGGCTGTTTTTAACAGGTCTCAAGGGGAACGCTGTTGTTTTCCCGAAAGGGAAAGTCCCCGCTTGAGGCAAGAAACGCTCACAGGGTTGGTATGCATGGCTCTGGTTTGCGTTTTTCCCACAGTCGTCAGTGGGAATATTCTCCTAATCTTTAACTTGGAGAACTTGGTGGTGAACACCTTCAAACTTTTATCTCATTCGGTCAACAGACTCCCGTAAGTTCTGTAAGTGACGGTGGGAAAAAAAATGTGAACTCTGATAGATGAGGTTTGTGAAGCTGAAAACTGCAAAAGGAGATGGCCGACCTGTCAATGTCCATGCAAATGCATTTGATGGATCGCCCATGCACGCGCACCGCAGCATTAGTCTGACAGACAAATGCAAATTAAGGTTGCAGAAACAGATGTGTTAGGAATTCATGAGTTTATGAGGAGCATTTTCTTTGCAAAATAAAGAAACGGTTCATTTTGAGAGCACCAGCTGGTTTCATATGAGATAGTTGTGTTATTTTTAGACCCAAACCAGTTTACGGTTCCCTAAAAAAGGAATAGGGCCCGAGGGGTGCTGTGCTTCACAGAACAATAGTGACATATGAGCAGTGGCATTTAGAGTTAACATAAAAAAATCGAAATGTGCAATAAAGTTTTTATGCGTACAGACGTGCTTGAAGGCACTGGTAATTTGTCATGAGCACATTCATCAAATGTTCCTCGCAACTTGGCGAAGAGTTTTGAAGTTCGCTTTCATGACCGAACATGTAAAAATAAGAAAAATCACAAAAGTTGAAGGAGAAAACGAACCTCTTGCAGCTCTTGAAGTCTACATTTCAACACCAGAGGTCTCCCTGCGCTGCGTTTCAAACCGTATGCTGAAACCCTAGAAGCTTTTGTAGCTCTAGTTGCAGCTCTTTGGAAAAGCACCACAGGGCAAACGCTACAACTCACGGCACATAAACGTCTCAGACTTGCACGGACACATGCAGGTGAATCTCTGTGAACACAGGAGAGCAAACAAGTCTGATCAGACCTTGAACATCAGGTAAGGCAGTGCTGCAAAACTGGGTGACAAATGCATTAGAAACAGTGTTATTTTAGTATCATTTATATACTGTGATAAAATGTAAAAAGTACTTACAGATTTAATTTTAATTTGTTTTAGTAAGGTTGTGTTTTTATTTTATTTTTATTTATTTATTTGTAAATTTAGTACTTTAACTTAAACATATTTTATTCTAGTTAGTTGCCAGGGACATTTTTAATTTTCAATTTGTTCAAATATTTCCATCTAATATGTTATTTTAGATCAGCTTCACTTAACAAAAGTTATTTTATTAGTTTTAGTTTTTAATAAAAACACTGGTTAGCAGTAGGGTTAAACTAAAACTATAATAAAAAAAATGTGTTACTTGGACATGGACTGAAATAATAAACTTAAAACTTATTTAATTTCAGCTATGTTGCCAAGGCAAAATTTCTTATTTGAATGTTTATTTCAATTAACAAAAACATTTAAAACTATACTATAAAACTATATTTTTACTTAAAATAAACATTACTAAACTATACACACACTAAACTAGTTGCTGAGGCAGCATTATTTCTTATTTTCATTTAGTTTAACGATGTACTAAAACGACAAACTAAACCTGAAAATGAAAAAAAAAAACGCAAAACACAATTTTACATTTTTTTTTAAATGAAAATGGAAAATATATCAAATAAAGCAATAAGCCCCTTGAAGCCGTGATTTACAGTGAATTTAGAACAGCTAAGGTGCGTTGTTAAGCGCGATGTGGAGCGGAGTTATAAAACAGTTACTCCATAAAAATATTAATTTTTCATAAAAATATTTATAATATTCATAAAATAAACACCAGCAACAAAAAATATAACGTTATAACACATTTATTCCTCCGCCAAGCAATGTAGTTCCAATTCCAAAAGAGGTTGCCAAGCAACACATGCCGCAACAAAGTGTGTTGAGTAATTTACAACGGCTTCGAACGCGGCTCAACCAATCAGAATCAAGGGCCAGAACTATCCGTTTTATAAAAAATAATTCAATATCTCAATATAATGGTTAGCAATAACAGTTTGGCTTATAAAAATGTCAGCATATTGGATAGGATGAACAATTCATTATGAGTTTGCATCTGTCATGTGTGATCAAAAAAAACTGATTGAATGGAAAGGACAGCGAGCAAGATCAACTTAGATAATCAGATACACAAGTGACTGCATCTCAAAACCTATTGAGTTGCCCATCTATACTGATCTTTTGAGTATTAAAGTTGTTTTTGAATGCTTTTAACCGGTATGATGCCTCATCATATCTAGGTATGATATAAACCAGCAATATGATGCCTAAGATGCTACCTAGATAGGTTGCTCACTAGGTTTTGAGACACAGCCACAAAGTGTAATGACTTCCCTGAAGCGAAAGCATTGCAGTGACATCCTCTCACGTATCAAGTGTGTGAGAAAGTGAACATTTCATTAAAATGATGGTGAGGTTTCAAGACTTTGTCTCATTTTAAAGCTTGTATCCCCTGAAACCTCATACCACCCACACCCAGTTATATTGGTATGACAGAATCTATTCTTGTAGAGATGCATTGAACAAAAAGTCTTTAGGTAAGTCTATAGGTTTGACAGGACACTTGTCCCGAGGGATACTTACACAATTACACTCTTTGCTTGGAATCCAGCAATGATGCAGGCGACTGTGTAATAGCAGCTATTGTGTAATAACATAAAAAGCTTGTGCATTGTAAGATCCATAAACAGAAACAGTGTCCCAAGTCTCAAGAGTTTCACTGTCTTGTTGGACACAGGTTGATGCAATGATTTCATTAAAAATGCAAGGAAAATCAATTCTTCTCCTCGCACACAAGCCATTTTTCTGCAGGACTATGTGCCAAATTGCAACACATTGTTTTCAGATGGCAAGAGCGATTTGTTGTGATGCCTCATCAGCTGCTGTTTGGAAAAGAGACGAACGTGTATGAACAGGAAGTTGGAAATTGCTAAAGATGGAATTTTTGGAGAATTTCGCAGTAATAGTAACAATCGTAATGCAAATAATTTCAAACACTGGTGTATTGGACCAGGACCCAACTTTCTTACCAATGGTAAATGACATTCCATATTTGATCATTTTGTAAGTAGCTGTGGTTTTGTTCTGGTTTTTGTTAGAATCACTCACATTATCATGCATCTATTTTATTTCAGCTGTACTTCAGTTAACAAAACCCTTTTTTAAATAACACTGGTTAGCAACAGTTATTAAAACCATAAAAACATTTGGTTACATTTTATTTTAAAGTGATGCAGTTACATTTTACTTATTCAAATAAGTACTGAGTAATACTAATTAACTACATGTACTTACTATAGAGTTATGGTTATAGTCAGGGTTAGTTACTTGTGATTATGCATAATTTACTGTTATTACTATAGTAAGTACATGTAGTAACGTGTAACTACGTCATCTTAAATTAAAGCGTTACCAAACATTTTGTTACTTGAAATAAAATAATCATTACCTAGAAGAAAAATAACGCAACAGTCATAATGATAATCATTTCAAATACTGGCTATATAGGACCATAAACAGTATTTCTGTGAAACGTCATTCAAATCAACAATTTTGCTCCACATCAGTGCTGTTTATTTAAATATTTTAACCTTTATTCGTTTATTTAATTTTTTAAGTAATTTTATTTGGCCCTCCATAGCTTTTAAACTCTATATATATATATATATATATATATATGTATAAATTAGATGAAAAACTTAAATAAAAATTAGAAATGTTGGTTTGGCAACTAACTGAAATAAAATAAGTTTAAGCACTAAAATGACTAAAAGTAAAATTGATAATTTGATAAATTAAAGCTAAATAGAAACATTAAAATAAAAATGATAAGCTAAAAAGCTATATTAATACAGCAGTATATAAATAATACTAAAATAACACTGCTCCAGTTCACATATTTATGTTTGTGTGGTTTAACGGCCAAAATGTGTCTCCACAGTTCTGGAGAATAATTAAAACAGAACAAAACTTCCTACTAGTTGGAAGGCCCTGAAGGCTAAATCATTCTTTAACAACTGGATCTCTGGCTAGTAACTATTTTTGTCTCCTTTGGCACCTGTGTTGGACTATTAATGAAGTCATTCAAACATAATGAAGAGTCAGAAATGTTTTTGGTTTTACCATTTTTTTAATTGAACATTAAAACACTTTTCCATGAGCCTCCAGCTTCAAGAGCTCAGCAGAGTGCATTTCGACAACGATGGGTGTAAAGCAGCTTTCATCCAAACACACAAATCATCATCAACACCAACAACAACAATCCTCAGCAATATTTATCTATATATCTTAAAGAACCCGTCACCATCATCTAACAATAATAATAATAATCATCGGACTGCCTCATAACACAAGCATAGACCTTGTGTGACACTGACCACCCCATGGAGGTCTCGGTTATAAATGTCCAACGCCTTTATCCTTTAACAACAAAAATGACAGAACACACAGGTAACATCATAACCAAACAGGAGTGAAGTTCAAGCACAGAATAAAACATGGAATGGATTCCGAACCCGTCCGTCATTCTAGGTAAGATCAGAGAAATGTATTATTTCGACCAGGTGTATTGCTCCATTGACAAGAATTCAAGGAGAAACAAGCTATCCGGGATCAGGATATGAAACCGAGCCTCGGAAAACATCAATGCACCAAATTGTAACAGTGGCCACATCTGAACAATCAAGGACAATTTATGAGAGCATTCTGACAGGGTGTAGTGTTTCCATTCAAAATTATATATGTACTATAAAAATGCCATGTATGTATATATATATATATACACACACACATATCCTTTAAAAAAGCCATTGACTCGTAAGGAAAAATACATTTAGACATACATTAGACTCAACACTTTTATAAAGAGCAACGGATGCAGATTCTCAGAAATGGAAATGTCTTTAACCATCTCGCACTATTATCACCTGATTTGATGTGACAAAGCTGACAGATGACCCAGCGTCCAATTTAACACTTCGGCCATCCTAATGAGACGTCCCGGGACCGCAAACTCTGGAATGTTCTAGAAAGTAAATCACAAGATGAATAAATAAAAGCAATAGCAAGCTAAAGGGAAAAGGAAGGCGCAGGGGACGCACTTGTCACTGAGCAAAGGTAAAGCTGTCCTGCGATATGTACAAATGCGCAAAGTCCCTTTTTTATGATAGCAGCAGATGCGTTAGCGGCATTCGAACCCTAAATCTCGACTAAAAGGGAATAAAAACATACACAGTCGTTCACGCATACAGAAACACGCCAACATGGCTGGGGGGTCAAACACCATCACTGTCGCAAGCATAAGCATGACCTGAGGAACACGATATTCCACTCACCGTTCATGCAGTTACAGGAACAAAAATAAAGTAATAAGTTCGTACAGCACTACCTCAGTCTGACGCTGGACACACTCCACAAACACACCAAAGCCAATTGCACAAAACGAAACAGGCAACACATTTCTTATTTCTGTCTGCACAACAGATAAGCTCTTTTTTCCAGACTAGAGCCATGAAAGGAGCGTTTGGACCCAGCAGGGGCTGAGGGAACATAAGTCGGGGTATTGTGTACGAGCAGCTGGGAAATCTTGGGCAAGCAAGGCGGCCACGGCAAGATTACAAATGACCAGCAACAGTGAATGTACAAAACGCCCATAGGCACCTCACAGAAAAGTGCAAGGCTCTCCATTTTATTTACCAACTCCAGGCGTTCAGAGCCTTACGTCACAATCCATCAGTCAGATCGCTTCATTCAGTACAATGTCGGCTACCCACCGAGTGCCCTAAGGAGGCAAGCTGAAAGAAAGAAACTTTATTATACACCCTAGTTTTTTCAGTTTCTTCTTTTTATCCCAAAAACTTCTCTGCTGACTCAGTATCTATAAACGCACTGTGTTAATTCGCAAGGGCTGCACATTTTTTCCATTAGCGTGACTTTGACCGGGGCTGAAGTATGGGAAAAGTTTGGCTAGAAACTTCTCTCGGTAGGTGTAGAGCCAGGACATGTCGTCGGCGTTGTAGAAAACCAGCAAACCTTTGGGGTAGTCCAAGTAGACGCCCACTTTCTCGAGCTTGCTCTTTACGTTGAGGCGCGTCCAGGGCTCGGTGCAAGCGCTGTATTGGTTCCCGTCATGCATGACGATGCAGTAGAAGCCTCGGCTGGGTTGGATCTGAATGCTGCCCTTGCGGTTCACCGTCTCATTGGCCACACCGATCATCCACTGGGTTTTCTCGGACACCATCACTTCCCAATAGTGGACGCCCCCGGAGAAGCCCTCGGCACCCAGCACTGACACCTCGACGTCGAAGCGGCGTGGCGAATCCTGAAGCGGCTGTGGGTGCAGGTTCCCGTATGCAACGATGGTGCAGTCGTCCGACAGTATGAGCCGCTGGTGAGCAGTGATGGGGTCCATGGTTAAAGCGGCAGGCACTGTGAACATAACGATAGAGGAAATGAAAATCAGTGCATCCAATAAGCTTGTTACATTACATCAAAATAAATAAGCAAATAAATAAGAAACAGAAAAAGTTAAATACATAAAAAAATAGGACAAGTTAATAAAAACAAATACATATATAAATGAGTACATTTTAAAAATACATATATAAACCATATATATATACCTTTTATATTAAATGTCAACACTTTAAAAAAAAACTTTTGCTGATAATTTACTCACCCCCATGTCATCCAAGATGTCTATGTCTTTCTTTCTTCAGTCGAAAAGAAATTAAGGTTTTTGATGAAAACATTCCAGGATTTTTCTCCATATAATGGACTTCAATGGGGTCCAAACGGTTCAAGGTCCAGATGACAGTTTCAGTGCAGCTTCAAAGGGCTTTAAACGACACCAGACGATGAATAAGGGTCTTATCTAGCGAAACGATCGGTCATTTCAAAAATAAATAAAAAAGTTAAAGTTTTATAAGCACAAATGCTCGCCTAGCTCTGTTCTGTGATGCGCGTTCGTGACTCTCCTGTTCGAACTCGTTCATCAAAATGAACGAATGTTTTTTCGAGTCATTTCGTTCATTCAACGAACGAAATGACTCGGAAAAAAGATTCGTAGATAAGACCCTTATTCATCGTCTGGTGTCGTTTAAAGCCCTTTGAAGCTGCACTGAAACGGTCATTTGGACCTTGAACCGTTTGGTGCCCGTTGAAGTCCATTATATGGAGAAAAATCCTGGAATGTTTTCATCAAAAACCTTAATTTCTTTTCGACTGAAGAAAGAAAGACATGGACATCTTGGATGACATGGGGGTGAGTAAATTATCAGCAAAAGTTTATTAAAAAGTGAACTACTGCTTTAATACATACTGAAAGCATACACTCCACAATCATGATTACTAGCTTGAGTGTGAATCAGGTTTTTAATAATTCAACAGTCATCGTCAAGTCATCAACTGTTCCTTAACATATCACTCTTCTGTTATTGGTCTTTTATGCATTGATCTGATCGTTTTCCTAAAGAGGCTTTCCTAGGAGTGTTGAAAGATGTGCAGGGCTGTTTTCCTTTGGGCATTCATAAGCACATGTTGTGGGCTGTTATTTGCTTTTCTCTCTCTCTTCCATAATACTTATCAATGAGAAAATGGCTCAATAAAGGCTAAATAAGCAGCTTGAAATGAATGGTTTTGGAGGTCATTCTTGTCAATCAAAAGCGCTGACACAATCACTACCTGAGCTGGTGGAATAATACTCCTCTGAAACACAAACACACTCCCTCTAATTCATTATCGTCAGGTCATTTCAAGCGTACACTCCTTTGAGTGCAAACACTTTCAGAGGCATTCAGCAATCGCAATAAGCGTACAGGGCAGTGTGGTTTTCAGTACTGGCCATTGTTTAAGCGCTTCTGCCAGGCATTGAGTACTTTGTTGAAAAAGGATAAATAAACCACCCATCCATCAACCGCTGCCTGGCTAGTAATGCTTGCAGCAGACCGTCTGCAGTGCCCATTATGGTGCCAGCTTGCTGTGGGTTCAATGGCGAGCAAGTGTGCCAAACTATGGACTGAGAGAAGAGCAAACCCTGGAAAAAGAACAAGCTTCCTGCATACAGACAAAAACAATGGACACATGCCACTTAGCGAAAAGAGTCCAAACTAGCCTGGACCTGAAAAAGAAACCCGAGCCAAGCAGTTGCAGCACATTACGATATGCAATACGCCAAGATATAATTCTGGAAAGTCGAGCTATGATGAACTATATATCATGTTTATAAGGCATGATGAGGAAATGTGGGGAGAAAATGAAGCTGAGGGTAAAGAATGCTTATCTGAAGCAATCACTTATCAGGCATGTTGTGCATTCCTTTGCACTGAAATGATTCTGTATGTGCATTTTTAGGGTTCATAAGTTCATAAATTAGGCTAGAACCTTCTCAGTGAAACCATGCTGGCTTGTTTTCCAGAGGTCCATAGATAGTCATGCCATGAGAGGAAGAGTGAAATTTTTTAAATATTTTTATCTTGGCTATTTAAAACCTTCGCCACAAATGGCAGAGCCAGAAGCCAGTCCAGAGGATAGGATGTCGACATTTCCACTCTTTGACATTGGCAGTTTGCGCTTCAGGTAACCTATAAATAATTTAACCTCTGTCGCCTTGCTTTCGATCAGTCTCTGCCTCTCCTCTCTCTCTCTCTCTGAGTCACGCAAACAAAACAAGCACCAGTAACAGGCTTTGGATTCAGAAAGAGGCAATATTGCTGCTCAAGTTGGGAGGAAAAACAAATAAGGATAATAGAAATAAATTTAAAAAACGCCACTCCAGTACAGAATAAAAGGCGGCGAGTGCAGCAGTGTGGAAGGAAGGATTTGAACTGGATTCGTTTCATGTGACAGGCTGAGCGTCGCTCCTTGCCTATTTCTGTCGGTGTAAAAGACGCTGGACAATTGATTGAGAGAGCGAGATATTCCCTGCTGTGTTATTTTAAATAATGCTCTGCCTCAGGTGGGTACTGAGAGGGAATACAGATGAAGGAGGCCTTCTCGTCGCAGCTATTAAAATGGGCCACTCGTACAGATCTCAATCAGATGCATATTATCTCATTCACAGGGCTGTAAACATGCAGGTTGTGTTTGTGTTGATTAGATCATCTCTAATTGGATGCACTAACAAATACACAATAAGTATTAGATCATTGGACATGATTAGTATATTAATGTACTACAGATGCACAAATAACAACAGGCTATTTAACGAGATTAATAATTGAATGCAATTTCTTTCTAAACAAAATGAGAATAGTGCTTAAAACTCGCTGCCATAATGCTAGGTTGTTGCTATTCGATTGCTAAGGTGTTTCTAGGTAGTTCCTAAGTGGTTACTTTAGTCTCCGGTCAAAAGTTTCAATGATATTCTGGTCTCTAGACTCAGGCTCTTCCAGCAATGCAAGTCTAAGGGATTTTTATCAAACTGTCTATGCGCCATCGAGCTAAAAAATAAAACCCAAACATTTTTAATTTTTAAAAAGTTAACTGAAATGAAGAAATATTGCCTTTGCAAATATTTGAATTATTAAAATTACTAACTGGATAAAATAAAATAAATTAAATTAAAATTAAAATAAATTAACTTAAAAACAGTAATATATATATATATATAAAAGAAAAACTACAAAAAAAAACAGCAAAATTACAAAGAAAAAAATCTAATTAAAGCTGAAAATACAAAAGCTAATTCAAAATACATTTAAAAAAACTATAATAAATAGTATATAAATTATACTATTATAACCTCTTCTAGATAAGCTGCACAGTGCTAGGTTTGTTTAAATTTGTCAGGCCAAGTGCATACAAGACAGAAGCTAATTTCCCCGTGCTAATTTTAAAGTTTCTTGTAGGAAACCAAGCGACCATAATTTTGACCCACATAGTCTACAATTAGTGATGTAAAATGAGCTCCAACATGACAGCAAATAAGATTGAAATTAGTGTCTTCACTCAATAGAAAGGGCAACACTTTAGTCCTGTAGTGTGTGCTTGGCTGAACCTCAAATACGTGTAACAGTAATGGTGACGCTTGCCTTGGCAAAAAAAGTGCTGGAATATAAGCACATGATAATGTTAGCATTCACCTTGAGATGCTGGGATGTATTTGCTAAACAAAAACAAACAAACTGGTAGATCAAGGTTTACCAAGCAGGATTCACAAGGGAAATCGCATAAAGCCATCAAAGATTATTCATAAACCCTGTTTGGGAAACCTATATCTAGTATTTTTGTGCAGATTATTTAATGTGGTTAAATTCCAGGTATGAGCATTCAGAACAGTGAAAAAATGTAATTTCCTTTATTTGCAGTCATTTTCTCAATGACACATAGTATGTAAAAAAACTTAAGTTATGGAACATTACCTGGTGATATATCCAGAAAAAGGGACTTCCAGATTGTATATTGTAGGGGCCCCATGTATTTGGATGTCGGAAAGTCTTCGTAGGTGAGGTTCGTTTCATGGATCTTTCCCTTTATTCTGTGGAGACACAGGACAACAACTGCATTATTCAAATTCAACACTGGCAACCCACCAAAACCCAAGCAAACGATTCTTCCTCAATGGCTAGATCCTGTTTCCAAACACTCATTTTCGAATCGTACTGTTTTCTATAGAGCTGTGCTGCCCCCGCAAAGACGAACAGCTCTAAATTCGCCTTTGGGAATGAGGTCAATCTGGGCAACACTGCAGATCACTTTCATTAGCTCAACCTAAACATTAATCATGCTATTCCTTTCCCATATGGCTAACTCATTCCCCTCTCGTCATTACCTAGAACAACTGCTACACAGCCATTCTGAGAGAACCGCATTTCTAAATGGATAAAACGTACATATTTATGCTGTTTAAGCATCGATGATCTCTCTACCTCCTAACTATCTTTAACCTTGCTCTGCAGACTAGTCTCTTTTCTGACTGGGTTTCTGTGACATACAGCAAAGGGCAATGGTCACATACATAAGTCAAATAACCTGACTTGCCTTGGTAGCTTCCACCAGCAATACCCTCCACGAATCACTTGCTCCCTGACCAGCAGTTACAAGAAAAAAGACAAAACGGTTTAGACCAGAGAATCTCAAACTACCATATAAAACACCCTCAACATACGCGCATCCACTCGTCTCCGAGTCACACCGCATCCTTAGTACCTGTCTGACGTCAGGGCTATTCCTTCCAAGAACTCGTGCCGGCTGGTCTCACTGAGTCGCTCCTGAAGGATCTGGATGCCTTCCTTGACGTCACGGAGCTGCTGGCTGTAGCGCTGGATCTTGTGCTCGATGTCAGAGAGCGTGCGTGCCGTATCCGCCTCCAGCTCCTCAAGCGTGCTCTTCTGCCGCTCGCGCAGGAAACGGTGCAGTCGCTCAAACGCATCGCCGATTGTGGCACGAAGGCTCTTCGCTGATGACTATAAAGTAGAGAAGAAAGTTAGGACTTTTGGTAGGCTAGACTTTGTTCAGTTAAAATAGTACACACAGTCTCAAATAACAACCCTCCACTGTGCATGCACTAATTGAGATGTCAATCAAGCATGTTTGTTTTAAACAAGTCATTACTCCAGGGCAAAAGGGTGCATAAGAAAATCCTCATAATGGCCGAAAGTTTCTCTCATAAATGTATCTGAAGATATATACACCACCGTTAATAAAGCATTAATAAAGCAAGGATGCATGAAATTACAAAAACATTTTATTTCAATTTTTTTTTGTCTTCATAAAAACATGAGAATCCTCATAAAAACACTGACGCATGGATATTCATCAACATATATTTGTAAGTTTTTAACTGTATATTTGATCAAACACATGGAGCCTTGGTGAAATAGTGTGTCTAAAATAAAATACAGCTTGAAGTGACAAAAACACAGACAAACAACATAAATGATTTTTAAACTGGAGTGTGAACTGAAACTACAGAACTACGTGATGAGGAAAAAGTGAATTTAGTGACCGGTAAAAAAAGTGTCTCATTGTGGATTCACATAGTTAAGACAAAAACACAGAAGAGATGCAAGTGACTTATCTGGTTAGGACAGCAAAAAGCATGCAGCTTCAATAACCATACTTATGTCTCTAAATTCATATTAAATAACAATTTTATATGTACACAAAAATAAAAATTATACATAGATTTATTTTATATACATACACTCACCGGCCACTTTATTAGGTACACCTGTCCAACTGCTCGTTAACACTTAATTTCTAAGCAGCCAATCACATGGCGGCAACTCAGTGCATTTAGGCATGTAGACATGGTCAAGACAATCTCCTGCAGTTCAAACCGAGCATCAGTATGGGGAAGAAAGGGGATTTGAGTGACTTTGAACGTGGCATGATAGTTGGTGCCAGAAGGGCTGGTCTGAGTATTTCAGAAACTGCTAATCTACTGGGATTTTCACGCACAACCATCTCTAGGGTTTACAGAGAATGGTCCGAAAAAGAAAAAACATCCAGTGAGCGGCAGTTCTGTGGGCGGAAATGCCTTGATGCCAGAGGTCAGAGGAGAATGGCCAGACTGGTTCGAGCTAATAGAAGGGCAACAGTGACTGAAATAACCACTCGTTACAACCGAGGTATGCAGCAAAGCATTTGTGAAGCCACAACACGCACAACCTTGAGGCGGATGGGCTACAACAGCAGAAGACTCCACCGGGTACCACTCATCTCCACTACAAATAGGAAAAAGAGGCTACAATTTGCAAGAGCTCACCAAAATTGAACAGTTGAAGACTGGAAAAATGTTGCCTGGTCTGATGAGTCTCGATTTCTGTTGAGACATTCAGATGTTAGAGTCAGAATTTGGCGTAAACAGAATGAGAACATGGAACCATCATGCCTTGTTACCACTGTGCAGGCTGGTGGTGGTGGTGTAATGGTGTGGGGGATGTTTTCCTGGCACACTTTAGGCCCCTTAGTGCCAATTGGGCATCGTTTAAATGCCACGGCCTACCTGAGCATTGTTTCTGACCATGTCCATCCCTTTATGGCCACCATGTACCCATCCTCTGATGGCTACTTCCACCATGTCACAAAGCTCTAATCATTTCAAATTGGTTTCTTGAACATGACAATGAGTTCACTGTACTAAAATGGCCTCCACAGTCACCAGATCTCAACCCAATAGAGCATCTTTGGGATGTGGTGGAACGGGAGATTCGCATCATGGATGTGCAGCCGACAAATCTGCGGCAACTGTGTGATGCCATCATGTCAATATGGACCAAACTCCCTGAGGAATGCTTCCAGCACCTTGTTGAATCTATGCCACGAAGAATTGAGGCAGTTCTGAAGGCAAAAGGGGGTCCAACCCGTTACTAGCATGGGGTACCTAATAAAGTGGCCGGTGAGTGTATATATATATGTATAGAGAGAGAGAGAGAGAGAGAGAGAGAGAGAGAGAGAGAGAGAGAGAGAGAGAGAGAGAGAGAGAGAGAGAGAGAGAGAGAGAGAGAGAGAGAGAGAGAGAGAGAGAGAGAGAGAGAGAGAGAGAGGGAGAGGGAGGAGAGAGAGAGAGAGTCATCTCTTCACAGGTGTTGGGGCATATCATCATAATTATACCGGTACTATTTTTATATGTATAATTATCATTATTATTATTTCTGCAGAGCCTTAGTGAGATGTAATGGACTATGAAGCGAGTGGAAACTGCCTCATATGAATGCATCACTACAGGGACACGGTCTAATAGTCACTGGAAATGGCATGTTGCTCGTTCCTCAATCTTCAGGGTTATTGTAGGACAGCTTACATCATTACACATGCAGACGAGCATCGAGATAAAAGCGGAGGGGATGATGCAGAACGTAAAAGAGAATTGCGAAACTAGCTAACAAACCTCATCATTGACCGTGAAGAAGGAAAAAAAAGTCAAAGAGATAAAACGAGATGTTTCTGAGGAAGCCGGTCATCCCCATTAAAGCGTAAAGAACATCAGGTTCAGTCGCCGGATCAGATCTGAAACCTCAAGGACGAATCGAGGCAGGACAGAAGCCGTTCCACTGATGGCCGTCCATACAAACAAGGCAAGCTCAGAGACGAGTTATATTTCCATTTCTTTCTTCGCCTATAATAAGAACTGGAAAAATAGACTTCACAGATTACAAGATTACTCCTACTAACAAATACAATAAAGGACTTGTTCCACTTCTGTCTTTCCAAAGGGAAATGTGATTTCCTTGCCACTGGGAAGATGAAATCCTATTAAGATCACGTCTTGCTCTGGTGTTATTTGCATCGGCTGAGTCAGCCCACCTGGTGTCGCATGATGGATGAGTTGGACTCAGTGATGCTGAGGTGGTGTTGGTCTCTTGAAACCGTTCTCTCCATGGGCTGTGCCGTCTCACATTGGGTCTATTTAAAGCCAGTAAACACCTCCTATGAGCCTAGCATGACCCGGCCTCCAAGCAGCCTGCTCGCTTCGACATCTGCTAATCAGTCACATGTTTCCCTGGGGTCTTCCATTCAGATTCAACATCGGCACTTCAGATGAGAGGGTCTGTCAGCAAGTCTGCCGGCGAGATAAATCTAGAGCATGCTAGCGGGGAGGTGCCAACAAGTAAAAAACCAACAAGGAACTAGCGGTATCACTGACATAAGCTACATGCTCAAGTTGAACTTTTAGGGTTAGAGGTTTGACCGCTCAAAAGTTTAGGGTCAGTACGATATAAAAAAAATATATTAAAAAAAAAAACTTTTATTCAGCAAGGATGCATTAAATTGACCAAAAGTGACAGTAAAGGCATTTATAAAGTTACAAAAAAAAAATAATCTAAGTTTAAAATTAATGCTGTTCTTTTGGTTTCCACAAATATTGTGTTTTCAACATTAATAATTCCTACTGAAAATTCTGATCAAATAAATGCAGCCTTGGTGAGCATAAGATATATTCAATACATTACAAAATCTACAGTAGTGTATGAGCAGCAATAATAATAATAATAATAGATAAGTTATACACTCACCTTAAGGATTATTAGGAACACCTGTTCAATTTCTCATTAATGCAATTATCTAATCAACCAATCACATGGCAGTATTTCAATGCATTTAGGGGTGTGGTCCTGGTCAAGACAATCTCCTGAACTCCAAACTGAATGTCAGAATGGAAAAGAAAGGTGATTTAAGCAATTTTGACCGTGGTTGTTGGTGCCAGACGGGCCGGTCTGAGTATTTCACAATCTGCTCAGTTACTGGGATTTTCACGCACAACCATTTCGAGGGTTTACAAAGAATGGTGTGAAAAGGGAAAAACATCCAGTATGTGGCAGTCCTATGGGCGAAAATGCCTTGTTGATGCTAGAGGTCAGAGGAGAATGGGCCGACTGATTCAAGCTGATAGAAGAGCAACTTTGACTGAAATAACCACTCGTTACAACCGAGGTATGCAGCAAAGCATTTGTGAAGCCACAACACGAACAACCTTGAGGCGGGTGGGCTACAACAGCAGAAGACCCCACCGGGTACCACTCATCTCCACTACAAATAGGAAAAAGAGGCTATAATTTGCAAGAGCTCACCAAAATTGGACAGTTGAAGACTGGAAAATTTTTTGCCTGGTCTGATGAGTCTCGATTTCTGTTGAGACATTCAGATGGTAGAGTCAGAATTTGGCGTAAACAGAATGAGAACATGGATCCATCATGCCTTGTTACCACTGTGCAGGCTGGTGGTGGTGGTGTAATGGTGTGGGGGATGTTTTCTTGGCACACTTTAGGCCCCTTAGTGCCAATTGGGCATTGTTTAAATGCCACGGCCTACCTGAGCATTGTTTCTGACCATGTCCATCCCTTTATGGCCACCATGTACCCATCCTCTGATGGCTACTTCCAGCAGGATAATGCACTATGTCACAAAGCTCGAATCATTTCAAATAGGTTTCTTGAACATGACAATGAGTTCACTGTACTAAAATGGCCCCCACAGTCACTAGATCTCAACCCAATAGAGCATCTTTGGGATGTGGTGGAAAGGGAGCTTCGTGCCCTGTGCATCCCACAAATCTCCATCAACTGCAAGATGCTATCCAATCAATATGGGCCAACATTTCTAAAGAATGCTTTCAGCACCTTGTTGAATCAATGCCACGTAAAATTAAGGCAGTTCTGAAGGTGAAAGGGGGTCAAACAGTATTAGTATGGTGTCCCTAATAAGCCTTTAGGTGAGTGTATGTACTTCTAGTGATATGATAAAGTTACTTTACGAGATCAAAGGTCTAACACAGAACTGAATTAGCCAGGTTTTTAAGAGTTAAAAGTTGGCCCACTTTATTACCACTTTATTTTTCTCTACACTGTCTCTAAAGATGTTCTACCTTGGACCGAAGAGCACCCAAACTAAACCCAAAAGGAATTGAGCACGCCATTCATCCTGAATCTAAACAACACTTTATTATCATTTAGAAGCCATGAGCCCACTTTATTTATGGTTTACTCCATAAATCTACTTCTCAAAAGGTTGTGCTGTGACAGCTCTCTTGACACAGCGAATGTAGAATAACCTTTCGTCCTCTTATCTCTACAGGAAAGTCAGGGCTGCAGGAGGCATTTTGCATTGATGGTCCTGAATGTCAATGTCAAGCGTCTGGCTCTTCGTAAGCATCTTAAATCACTGCATCAATGAATCCACACAGGATACCACTGGCTGGTCAATGTTACATCTACATTTTCCTGGGAAAGAACTGAAAGATATTTTCAAGATAAATGTGCAATCTGTAAAATCAATGAGATGAAAACATGGTTTGCTTCCAAAAAATGCAATCACAGGGATACAAATCTGAGTTTAACTCGACTTAAGAGAATAAATATGTTCTTCTGAATTCAACATGTAACAGGGTCTGCAATCCATTGTACCTTCGTAATATAAATCCTGTGAAATAGGATATTCAATTGAAAAAAAATACTTGATTTTTGTGCATTAGGAATAGATTAGACGAGGGGTGTCCAATCCTGCTCCAGGAGGGCCACTGTCCTGCAGAGTTCAGCTCCAATCCCAATTAAACACACCTGAACCAGGTAATCAAGGTCTTCTTAGACCCTCTAGAAACGTCCAGGTATGTGTGTTGAGGCAAGTTGGAGCCAAACTCTGCAGGACAGTGGCCCTCCAGGACCGAGTACGGACATCCCTGGATTAGACTATGAAGAGTAGGTCTATACGACCGGTCAGAGGAGGGCTCAAAGAAAAAAATTAAGAGGGCTTGGCTCATCAGTACTTTCAAACGTGGAGCAAATGTTTATATTTTGATGAAAGATTACAAAAACAAAAAAGGATTCTCTCTGGAATGGTGTGTGTGTAGTGTACACTGATGAATCGCTAACAATATAACCAGGAACTTGTATTAAGAGAGTAAATAGGCTTTATTTTCATTTCTTGTTGACTTCAAGTAAAAAAAAATTTTTTTTTTAAAAGCTAAAAATGTGATTAAATGAATGAGACAGAAATGGTGAACAATAAAAAAAATTGTACTTTAAAAATACTACAAAATACGATTTCTATTTTTAAAGTGTATAACACTTTATTACATAATATATACTTTAAAAATAGAAATCGTATTTTGGGATATAGATATATATATTTATATGCTTTTCCCTTACAGATTCAAATGATTCAAATAATATTTTACCTTTAATTTCAATTTTAGAAATAAATAAATAAATAAAATGTATAGATTAAGAAAATAAAATATTTTTCAAAAAAATAAATAGATAAATAAAATATAGATAAATAAATACATCAAAATAAAGTAGTAAAACACAGACAGATAAAATAAAGATGAATAAATAAAAGAGATAACTAAAATAAAAAATCCATAAATAAAACAAAAACATTATATATATTTCATACCACACACACACACACCAACACACCAGTGTTGCAGACAGTGTTGTATATAATGTAGGCTAAAGATCAACTCTGGAACAATAGGACCGACACCAGAGATCCACAGTGTCACGAAGCTCTTTCTCTGCATTAGTCCCCAATCCCAAACAGACGGATAATTAAAAAAAAAGAGGGCGAAGAAAGCAGGGAGACGAGAAAGTTGCATTATCGACTGTGGAGTCTCTCTCCGTTGATTAAAACAAGGTGTCAAGATTAAAGACCTGTTCAATAAACCAATTTGCTTGTTGGGAATTCAATGTCAACAGAATAGAGAAAGAGAGAGAGAGAGAGAGATGAGCAATGGACAGAGTGAGAGATCTGCCATGAATCTGTAATGGGCAGTATGCGCGGTTTGTCAGCTACATTTCTATTTTTATGCGGCCTGATTCCAGATGTGGTTTGATAGAGTCCCGTCAGAGGTGAAATGTCAATGTGGTGATTTGAATCAAGCTGCCAAATATATGGATGAATATAAATATAAATCACTGTTGGTCCATCAATCTAGAATTGATCCTCGGGCTTAAAACATTTAGTAGTAAACACTTCTATAACTATTGCAAATCATAACGTGAATCTGATCTGAATGACAGCAGCAAACAGCATTCACTTTAATCGTTATGTGGCTTGGGTTGCCCCTTTAATGGACGTCCAAGGGAAAACTGTTCTATGGAGCATCAGGCTAAATCATTTTTTTTTCTCTTCAGAATAATATACACTGATAAAAGGCATGTGCTGAGGTTTACCTTGGTTTCGGTGAGCTGCCTCTGCAGTAGCTGCAAAGCCTCTGTATGACCCTTCTCACTGTCCTGTAGAGTCACCAGCTGCTCCTTCATCTCCCTCTGTAAGAAAACCACAGCGCAACACATGTCATTTATTGCCCATTAATCTGGCAACCTCTAACCCACAGTAATTACTCTGAACCCATCCAAAGCCTTCCTAAGAGAGATACCACAACTCTGATAGCAGTAATTGTGATACTACTGACACTACACACTGGATGATCGCCCAAAATAAAAATCATTGGGACACTCAGACATAAGATTGAAAGTGCACTTTTCTTTGCCACTGGGGTCCTTATCTTCAGTATACAGGACATTACCCGTGTGTTAGAGCTCCATTAAAACCTTAACTATGAGAATGATTTCAATTTGCTTCAACATTGACTTAATATCTCCAACTTCTATGTAGCTTCCTAAATGCTGATATCTGATTTGAAAAAAACTTTTATGACTGAAATAATCTATATTACTATAATTCAATCCTTTCATGCATGGGTTTGATCTAGACTGGAAGTTTCAAATTGTAAGAAAGGTACAGAGAACGGTGGCTTTATAGTTACAGGCAAAAAAAAAGAAAAAGTAAAAGCAGAAATTAATAAATAAACAGTGAGTTTCCAGAGAGGTCTGTGTCAGGGAAAGTGGGTCTCTCTGCTGCAGTGGACGTGGCAGAACTGGGACGACGGGGCCATGTTTGCTCGCCTGGAGGCAGAATAAGAACAGGCAAAATGCACCATGCACCAGAGCTCATCTGATTAATATACATATATTAATATAGAGCTGCACAATTTGGGGAAAAAATATAATTGTAATTTATATATCAATATGGCTATAAAATAATTTGACTGTGTTTAGTGTCCGTTTCATGCAAAACGTGGATAAGCTACAACAGTTAAACATGTCAGCTGTGTGGACACTAGCTCTGGATTGACCATATTAATTTCTTGATTTTAATCAGTAACATGGTTTCTTAAATCTAAAATCTTTTAGTGTGTGCTGTTTTCTGTAGATGCTCAGCATGAACAAAACGTCACTAGCCTGCCATCCAATAATCACAAAAAGCTTTGTGCTTTGTTATTTTTAATATAAAGTAAATTTGTAAATCTGTCGATTTTATTACGAAATTCAAATAATGTCATTTTGGGGCTCTTTAATACGGCGTGACATAACAGGGCCTTTACACAATGAAGTTTAATACGTAAGGTTAGGGATTTGACTCTAATGCTAAAGTGTGAGCAATACTTTATGATAGCCTCAAGAAACACCACTAACTCATGCTCTTCTTGTTCCAGAGGGAAATAAAAACCAATGAGTCCAGGCCACACATTTTATAAACAAGATTATCCTGAAAAACATATTCATCTGACATTCCAGCACCATGTTGTTTTGATAGAGGTGATTCATTGAAAATGAACAATATGACTATGAAATGCTGTTGGAATCCATTTCTCACACTATATTTTAACGACCCAGTTCACTAACATTTAAAAAGTCAATATGTTCGGAAAATACACAATATGTTCGGCAGTTTATCTGACAGCTATTAGACTCAAATACATGCGAGCATTGAAATAGTTCTAAATTATATCCAGGACGAGGAGCAGAGAATACAATTACTTTCTTTATAAAGCTCATTACTTCAGGGAAATGCTGCCTGTGCTCTACAAGTATCTAAATGCCCTTCCCAGCATCCAAACCGCCTGGTTTCAGTATGCATACCTGATAGATGAGAGCAGTCTTTAATGCATCAAGTTAAAGCAACATAACCAGCCGGTGCACTTCAGCAGTAAAACGCAAATGGTTATTGGATCATTATACACCATATATTTTTTATGTGCCATTTACCTTCACCTTTAAAAAGTGTATTCTGAGAACTAACAACTTCTTTAAAAAAAATGTGTCTCTGTAATGTTTCGGCACAGAGCCTGCAACCGAATCACTTTTGCAGCAAATCAAGTTAGCACACACTCAAAATGTCTGAACAAAGGACTGAGTGTGCTGGTTTCAGCTGCATGGAGAGCACAGAGCACTGGAGGTCAGAGGCGGCCCACGTTTATATCAATCTGAGCGGGCGAGAGGAAGTCTGACATGACATTTCCCCAGGATTCAACACAGCAGGGGGAAGAGGTTCATCGAAGGCCGATTGCAAGACAAACTCATTTCACTTTGGCTTGACTCATCTTTCCATTTGAGCTACATATTCAAAAGAAAATGGAAGTGCGTGTGACTATGTCATTTAATTATATACTAACAATTTTTCATTTTCATCACATGCATTTCAGAAAGACACCAATCCAACAACTCTCAATTAATTATATATGAAACAAAGCCAAATATATTTGAAAATCAGAACAAAACGATGTAAATTTACTCAACCTCATGTCGTTCCAGACCTTTATGGCTTGGAGCAAAAACAGGATATGTTCACGATGCTATTTACCATGTAATGAAAGTGAATGGTGACCACTAACCATGGCTGTTTTTGGATGTTCTGTCCCTTTAAGAAAGAATGAATGAACTACTCTTCCCCTCAATCAGATAATGTTATCCACCCTGCAAAAACTCACCACAAACCTAAGTGCAACGCTTGATTTCCATTCCAACCCCGACAGCAACCTCTCTGACTGGCGGATCTTCTGCACTGGAAAATTGGCAAGCAAACAAATACAAAGACTTTTGTGGAAGTATATAACATCTATCTTCTAAAGTTTAGCTGTTATTACAAAGAAACTTTCGCATGAGATTTTGAATTGGGTTTTTGCTTCAGAAACCCTACTGTTGAGCGCCATTCAGCTACATTGTACGTTCTATAAACTTCCTCAAAGGTTCATTAAACCACCACCTGCCTATGAGCTAAAGATACGTTCTAACTGCTGGCACTGATGAGAGTGAAGGAGATAATCAAGGGTGCATAAATAATGAAATGCGGCAGGCGTGCTCAAGATACTTCACGCACCCCTTCAAACCCTGAGAACAAATGCATTCCAAGTAGAGCAGTTTGAAGTCATTATTGATGAACCTCGAGTTAAAAAAAACAAGAAACTTGCACAGAATCACCAAATGGTGAACATCTTTTGATTCCTGAAAAACACCATCTCTCAGAAGACACAAAATGCACTCACTCACACAGCAATTTGATGACATGAGGAAATAGTTTGCCAAATAATCCGACTACAGTACTCATCAGCCCGAAGGGTGCAAGATCAAGGACACTTTGGCCTAACCTTGCACGCGCTGGTGTCATAATTCTGCAAGGCAGCAGGATCCGAAGTAATAAACAGCCTGGGTGCACAAGGCTGGTTCTGTCATCCCTCTTTATGACTCGTGTGTAAATCACATCTGAAGAGGACAGCAAATGTGTCATCTGCACTCCTTCTTTAACAGGGTCCAATCAAACCAACTCAACCACATATAACAAACATGAATCATAAGCATAGTGGCCACATGTGAGTCATTTGGCCATCGCCATGAATAACTTGCAAGGACAAAACATGTCAGTTTGCTAGACATCACTACAAGGTGTTTCTGATGTCAACTCAAGATATCTGAATTAATAAAAAAAACACCCATCACCATGAAATCTTCTACTACTAAAAAGGGTGTTCTTACACAATAGGTCTAGATGTGGTGTAAGTATCCTTGGCTTGCATTGTAACGTGACCACCAAGCGTAATACACGTGGTGTGATTTCTGCTCGATTCGGCAGCATTAGAGTCCCAGACATTCTATTGTTTATCAGTAAATTATTAAGTGTTTCTTAATTTATTCAATTTCATTAAGTCTATAGGAAAGCTACTGTTTAGTATTTACTCATTGCATCCAAAAACCTGCTAATGCAAATACAAACAGCTCCATGATCAACCCCGGTGTTTCAGAGTCCTTCGTCTGAGTCAGTCAAATGGCTTTAAGAACAACAACAAATCAGACTTTCACACCAAATTTACAATTGGCTTTAAGGACGTTTTCAGACCTGTCGACTGTTTGCTTTGTTCCGAAACAGGGAGCCGAACCGCTCCAGAGTTTGTTTTCAATCGAGCCAAGATCACCTTGTTCAGGCGATCTTGGAGCGATTGTTTTGGTGTGGATACGAGCGCAATCTCCGTGTTCATATATGCCTAATCGAACGAACTAAGGGAGAAAACACACCAGGTTCCCGAACTAACGCCAGGTGTGAAAAGACCCAAACCAATGAGCTCAAAAATCAAAGACAATCTTTAGACCATGTTCTATCCAAATAGAGTCTATTCAAACAAAATATAAAGTAGAGAGAGTTAGAACAACTTGTTATATAATGGACGTTATTCACATTTCCAGGGTTCTCAGCAGAAGTCGTCACAGTTGAGCAAACTTCTACGTAATGTATATAGTTTGTGTGTTCACATTTGATCCAATAGCAAAAGATAAAATCTATAATAGTGTTTCTATCTCTTACCAAACGTGGAAAAATAATAATCGAGAGCTCGATTGCAGTGGTCAGAACAAAAAAAGATGCTGAATTTTTTTTTATGTAATGCCAAGGTCACAAAGTATAGTATTACAAATGTACTTTTTTTTTCTTCAAAAAATGTAAATATGTACATAAAAAAAAAACGTCGCTAGATTTATAATGTTAATAAATGTGGAAACGTGTCATCGGTCAATGAAAAGGATCCATAATTATTCTTACGGATGCATTTGAGAGGATTCTGACTCATGACTGAGATACATGAGGAGGCGCTTCATTAAATGATTCTGTTGTTTACTTTGTGCATAACTGCAGTATCACACTGTATAATTTTGCAAACTTAGTTTGTGTTTATTATGCAAGTAGCGGGTGATTCAGCTGCACTTGCCCTCTATGCTGTCCATTATACTGTGGTAATGGTGACATCTCAGGAAAGATCATCCCCGCTGTGCTCACCTGGGGAATAAAATGGTTCAGCAGATAATATGAGTACCCATGAAAGAAGATATGAAAAAAAAAAAAAAGCAATATGTCTGTGCATAAATTGGGCTGCTGAGTAAAGCCAAAGAGATCTTACAGCTTTTCATTCTCTTTTCTACATATGAAAATGCTCAAACTG